GCGCCACATTTTTTCCTGTTTACCCTTCTTCTTGCCCTGCTCGGCGCTCTCCGCGCTCCGCGTCCGGGCGGTCCGGGGCGAGCGGGACCAGGCAAGCGGATCTGCCGACCAACCACGCGTCCGCGTGCCCCGCGCGCTCCGCGTGCACGGCCAAGCCAGCCCGGCGCCCTTTCCGGCCCGGCCTGGGCCCGGCCCTGCACAGTGGGCCAGAAGACCGGCGCAGGCGGCCAAAACTCTAGACGCGTTTTGAGCTCCAGAGTCGCTGAACAGGGCTCGAAGCGAACGTGTGACCCCACCAATGGATTCCTCGTTCGGAGAGCAATCCATTGGTGGGGTCACACGTTGGTTCAAGTCCCGTTCCGCGACTCTGGAGCTCAAAACGCGTCTAGAGTTTCAGCCGCCTCCACCGGTCTTCTGGCCCACTGTGCCGCGCCAGCACGGCCAAGCCAGAGCAAGCCCCGCAAAAACATCCACGCGATATCGAGCGCCACGGCCTCGGCCCTCGCCGGCCTCGCCTCGGCAGCAGAGGCCTGGCCTGGCCGGGCCTGGCCGGGTCCTGCGCGGCGTGGGGACGCCCACGGAGGCCGAGGCCGGCGCGTTGCGGGCGAATTTACACAGCGTTAGAGGCCGGGGGGAAACTAGCCGAGGAAAACACGACGCGCCCCCAGTGGGGCCCAGTGGGGCCCACCCACCCCCTCCCCCTTCCGGGCAATGGCAGCGCGCCGTGGCGGCAGCGCCGCGGCAGCCCAGAGATAGAGTCGAACTTTATTCCAAATCAGATTTATCAAACAACCCCGGCAGCGGAGAGGCGAGCGAGCGCGCGCGGGCAGCGAGGGCGGCGCCATACTCAGGGCGGCCGGGGCGGTGCCAGGGGCACGCGAAAACAAAACAAGCCGGCACCAACAGAAAGGGGGAGGGGGAGGATAGGGCGCCCGAAGTAAAGTTTGAGACGCGCGGGACGAGTCGCCCCGCCGCAGCGGCACGCGTGGGAGGGGTGGCGGGTAGCAAAGGCTGGGGCTAAGGAGGACTTGCCGAGGTCGAGGAAGACCGCGGCGGATTGCTCGTGTCACCGCGGGCCGAGGGCTGCCGTGGGCGGCCAAGGGCCATTCGGTGGTCCGCCGCCGCGCCTTAACCCCCTCCACATTTGCATAGCGTGCAACCCAATCTCCCTCATTGCGCCAACGCTTTGCCATGGCTTTGCCGTGCCGCAGGCCGCAGGGCGCGGGGAGCCGCGGGGCCGCGGGGCCGCCGCCGCGTCAGAGAGACGTTTGCGAGCCAGCCTAACCGCTCCGACAGTTCTGACAGACACTCCAATCCCTCGGGGTGCTTGGCGGAGCGGGCGGAGCGCGGAGCTAAGCTGCAAACCAGGCCGCAACCTGCCAGGCGGGCAGGCAGGCGGACTCACGGACGGCACCCATACACCGATACCTATCCCGGCCGTTGGCCACCCCGCCGCGTTTAATGGTAAAACGCACAACACGGACAGGCGGCCGGCAAGCCAGTCAGGCAGCCAGCCAGTCCCCCACCAGCCCGCGGACATGAATAAAGCCAATGCAGGGAGGGAACTCCCCGATTCCGATCAGCTGATCAGTAACGAGACCTCTTCCCCTCCCCCCCTCCCCTCTCTCACACAAACACACACAAGAGCGTGCGCGCGCGCGACCAGTGGCGTGGCACGACCCACAATAAAGGCCTGAATGACGGGATGGAACTGACCCGGCTCGCCCCGCGGCGTGCCGTGCCGTGCCACGCCGTGCCACGCCGTGCCGCCCCGCGGACAAATTAAAGCTCGTCAACAAGAAAGGGCCGCCCTTCCCTTCCGCCCTTCCCGTATCCGTGCCCTTGGGCGCGGCGCCAACCCGCGCCCACCCGCGCCCTTCCACGACGGCGGCATGGCGGTGCCGGCGGTGCGGACGTCGACCGGCCCGCGCCCCGCCCGGCTTCGGCCACGCCCGGCCACGCCGCCGCACTCGTATACTTTTATGGAGCGCAAGGTCCATCCCATTTTCCCTTTCGCCAACGAGGAAGAAGCGCGCGGTGCGGGCGACCCGCGGCGCACGCGAAGCACGGCCACCACCACCACGGCGGGGAGGAGCGCGACGGACGGGGTCCCCTGGCAGCACCACAGTGCGCGGCAGTGCACGCGGACATGATGCGATTACGAGCCCCTCGCCCCCCGGGGCGGCCGACCACGCCAACCGGACCCCAGGTGAACGCAGTCCAATTGGGTGGCCAGGACGCCGTCGAGAAACCGTCGGGAAGCCTACGGGAAGCCGTCAGAACACCGTCAGGACACCGTCAGAACAGCTTCAGAACACCGTCACCGTTCAGAACACCGTCAATACAGGCCGGCGTCAGGTGTCCCGGTTCACCACCCTCATTACCGCGCGCGACACATCGACACCCACACGACCCGGCGCGGCAAAAAACGCCGCGAGCGCGGTGGCCGCCGGCAGTGTCGCGCGCACGGTCATCGACCGGCCGGGGAGCGCCGCGCGCCGCGCCCGAGACCGCACCACGCGGCCCGGGGCCGCCGGGGCCGCCGGGGCCAGGCGACAACAAAACCAAATTAGCCCAATGCAATCCCGGGGCGACGGGGCCGCGCCGCCGAGCGGGGCAACACGGCGACACCAACGCCGGGCGTAAAAAGCAACACGTTGACATAAACCGCGGAAGTCCGGGCGGCAGCTTCGCCGCTTCGCCCTTGCAGCCACGGAGGCGCCGCGCCGCCGCCGCCATTTAGCCCGGCCATGCGTGCCGCGGATATCGCGAGGCGAGCCGAGCGGGGCGGAGGGAGCGAGCCCAGCCGGGCCGGGCCGGGCAGCGCAGAGCCGAGCACTCGCGTCGCGCAAAGGCAAAACCACGAGCAGAGAGCCAAAACGATGCTAATCCGGGCAGCCAAGCCAGAGCGGGCAAAACGGCCGCACGCACGCATGAGCGCGCCGCCGCGCCGCCCGTCCCAACGACACACACACACACACACACACACAACACCACACACACATACGCACGCATCGTTAACGGGCAGGCGCGCAAATGCCGCGTGTACTGCCTGCCTGCGCGCACTGCGCCCGTTCCGCCAGACAAGGACAAATCGCCCAAACAAAACTGTGCCTCCGCCGCGACCACGACGACGACCACCACCACCAACGCCGCCTGCAGCACTGGCTGTAATAAAGATAGAGTGCGATCGTGTGCAGCACACTGCAAAAATAACAAAACGCGGCAAAGTTCCTCCTTCCCCCGCTTATTATTCCGACACGGACACGTCGGCCCGATTCGGCGCGCGTCCCCGCATGCGGCGCACGTCCCGGCCATCGAGGCCCCGCCTCGCCGGTCCCGGCGCGGGTTCGAGTACCGCCACCGGCGGGGCCCATTTTTCCCCGACGAGCGAGGAGGCAGGGCGCGTGCGACCGGCCGCCCCGCTTCCCCAGTCGCGACCACGGCACGGCGGAGTGGCACCGCGCCGCCCCGCGAGGTGGCTGCAGCGGCTGCAGCGGCTGCAGTGCCAATGCGGCGACGGGCCAAGGTCGCGTTCGCCGCGAAAGACGGCCGGCGTGGCGTGCCGTGCCGCCGTGAGGTGGGATGGCGGCACGGCGGCATGGGATGGCGCACCGGGGGTCAACGGCCGCCGCCGCGGCGCTGTGGCGCTTGCCTCGCGGTTCGCGCCTTGCTGCGCCTTGCGCCCCGCGACGCAAATACCGTGCCGGCACAGTCACGCGCTGGCTGGGCCACAGAGTCGTCGTCGTCGTGGCTGTCTCTCTCGCACTCGGCGGGGGAGACGACGACAACGACGACTCAACCGACGGACGTCCTGGAGTAACGTGACGTCATCGCCATGCCTTATCGCAGCTGATAGTAGTGTAGTGGTGCACGTTGCGCGCGGCAGAAGCTAAGGCTAAGCAGCAGGTAGGCCCTTCCCCTCCCCCCTCCCCCCCTCCCCCGCCGCCGGCCTCACCCTTTTGTTTACAGTCGCCCATTCCCCGCATTCCACGCCCCTCCAAACAGCTGTTGTTATGTCACGCGAAGCCCCCCCCCCTCCCCCTTCCCTCTTTCTCCTCAAACAGACCAGCACACTCACACATGCAGACAGACACACAGACACACGCATAATCTGTCGGCTTAACAGCGGCGGCGCGTGTTCGAACCTAGACAACACCTAAAACAATAAGCGCGAATCGAACACACGTGTACACACACACACATGCACACACACGTCGTTCATAGTGACCACTGAGCGCGAGCGTTGCGAGTGAATGCGTGCGTACGAATGCGGCAAAAAAAGGTTTGGCAAAGACGAAAGCGACGCGGATAAACGCTGCTGCTACTACTACTACTGTATGGCGCTGTGTGCGTGTGAGCGAGTGTATGTGTGTGTGTGTGTGTGTTCATGCGAGAGAGTCCGTGGGCGCGAGCGAACCAGGCAGAGCGTCCGTCTGGCTGTCGGTCTGTCCGTCCGTCTGTCTGTCCGCGTCCCGGTATGTATTTGTTTTGGGATTGCATGTGGGTCAATGTCACGGCCTGGCTCGCTACTATACTATATATATAGATATACCAGCGGCTTAGGCCGGGGCGGGCGGGGCGGGCCCATCCACTGAATGAGAGATAGTGCGGGGGAGGAGGGAAGGAGGAGGGAAAGAGGGGGAGGGAGGAGGGAGAGAGGAGGAAAAGACGGAAACCCATTTACAAAGGGCGGGCGTCGTCGACGACACCACGCTCCGCCGAACGCCATCAGCTGTTCGCAAAGAGACCGAGCGCGCCCAGGGGCCCACGTTACATTTTCGACAGTGTAGCCGATTCGGCCGTCCGCGTCACTGTGCCGCGGTGGCCGCGGCGGCCTGTCCCCAGGCGCCAAAACAAAAGACGAATTAAACCCCCCACCGAGTCTGACAGCGCGGGCCGGTGCTGTGCCGGGCCAGGGACCCGGACTCGCCCGGACCCCCAGGGGGGCCACGAGATCGGGGGGCACCGAGGGGGCGCCGAGGGAGACAGAGAAGCGATTAGGAGGCAACACTTACGGAGGGCTTGGGGGTCGTCGATTCCCTGGGCGATCCAACGCGATTACTCACCTGAAACACAAGAGAAAGAGAGAGAGTCAGACACACGGTCACAAAAATGAAAATGACACAGCACCGACGGATCAGCCGCCACTTGAAACATCGGTACAACGACACTGAATCATGTCAGCCAGGAGACAGCAAAGGCTCGCGTATGAAAGTGTGTGTGTGTGTGTGTGTGTGTACGCCAGTGCTTCTCCCGGGAGGCCAGTGAACCGTCAAGTTCACGGACGTCAGTCGCGCAACGCACCGCGCTACGCGCTCTGCGCCGTGAGTAATGACGCGTACTAGCGAGAAAGAGAGAGACAGAAAGAGAGGGGCGTCGAAGAAAGGACGGAAGCGAAACGGAACGAGAGAGGGAGATGAAGAAAAACGCGAAAAAGAAGCCGAAAAAAATAAGCGCGCGCGCACACGCGTGGAGGACCCAGAATGCAATTACGATACGTTGACCAGTGCGTCTCGTGGCCAGCAGCGCCAGCAGGGAAGGCAGGCGGCAAGGGGAGGGGGGGGGAGGCTTCGAGAAATGAGGGGAAAAGGAGAGCCCGTCACTCCGTGTCACTCCAGTGAACGCGACAGGGAGCCAGCCCGACAGACAGACAGCCCGACCGACAGACAGCACCGGCCGCGTCATGCTGCAGTGCAGAGCAATAAGCCGAGTTCTCAAAGAGATCAGCGCGGCGCACCTTTGCCCGGCTTTGCCCCGACGACCTCCGCGTCCCAGAGCGAGGCGGCAAGGCAGCGTACATCCAGCCGGACGGGGAAAACAAGAAAAACCACCCCAATCAAACAACAAAACGACAGCAAAAACAACGCGAGCGCCACAACGGGATCGCCGCGTCAGATCTGCTCAGCGCAGCGCCGCGGCGCCGCCGGAGCGGCACGGGACCGACGGCACGGCAGGTGAAAGGGGTGGAAAAAGAGGACGGCGACGGCGGGGAGGGGGAGGGAGAGCGAAAGAGCTTAGGCGCCGCCGGGGGTGGCTGCAGGCTGCAGGGGTGGGGGCATTTATCATTTGATTGCAGTCTTTAATCATCTGCTGAAGCAGCCAGGGCGCCGCGGTGCGGTGCCGCCGCGGTGTGTCGTGAGGAGACCAAGGAGACCGGGGAGGGCGAGGGTGAGCCTCATCTATCACCCGCCGCCCCCTCGCCCCGCCAGGCCCTTCTAGGCCCGGCCGAATATTCCCCCCCGCCCCACCGCGGCCACCGGGGGGTACCTCCCTCCCCGCCGCGTTCGCGTTGCCGCCGCGGGTAGCGCCGCTGCCGCCGCGCGCAGTGGAGTGGAGTGCCACGAATGCCAATGCCTCGCCCGCCGCTTCCTCTGCGCCCCGTTCCCTCTGCCGCGCCAATTTTTCTCGGGGCGGTGCGGCACCCCGGCACCGCGGCACCGCGACACCGCCCTGCCGGACAGACACCTGGCCGTTCCCAGCGCGACGGCCCCGACGGCCCCGACGGCGACAAGAAAGCGCCGAGCATCGCCTGCAGGTTCTTTCCGAACAGAACGCTCTCGTCGTTCCGTCTCTCCCGCACACGTGGGGCGTCCCGTAAGGGTGCGAGAGAGACAGCGCGGCGAAAGCACTGTTGGGAATCCGCCTTCCGCCAGTGCCTCGCTAACGACCGGCAAACTCCACTTCTTGCGCCCAGAACACCATCATCCCCGCACGGCACGGCACGCCACGGCACAGCCCGTCGGGGCGTGACGTCACAAACAGCTGATTAGGCAGCGGGGTGGGGCGGGGCCGAAGGGTCAGGTCGCCGCCCCAGCCCAGCCAGCCCCAGCCAGCCCATGCAGAGGAAACTGATGGCCTGGCCGAGCAACGCGAGCTGCGCCGCGCTGCGTGCCAGCACAATAGCGGCGCACCCCCACGCCCCCTCCCCTCCCCTCCTTCCCCTTCCTGCCCTTTCTCGTCCAAGTTTCCTTCCGCGGCCCGGGCCGGCCTGCCCGAGGGCCTGCCCTTCCCTCGGAGCGAGTGGACGACAGTGGCGGCAGGGTCAATGGGGTTGGCGGCGACATCCGCTATGCCACCGCGAGAACTCGGACAAGGGTACCAACGTCACCGTGCCGTCAACGTGCCCGTCAACGCCAGCCCTGCCCGAAGCACCCCCGCAGCCACTAGACCGTTATGCCCCTAAAATTTTAGCCGCGCCTGGTCCGCCCCGCAGCCGGCATAGTCGTTACGGTAACTGCACTGCTGGAGCGCTGGAGCCGAGCCGAGCGGAGTCGAGTGGGCGGGGGGTGGGCGGGGCGGGGTGCAATGCGCCACGCCAGCGCTCCACGCACCGCAACCCCGCGGCACCACTGCGGTACATCGGGGCTCTGCGCGCCAGCGCCACGCCTAGCCACTGCAAGGGGAGCCAGGGGGTTGCGGTCCATGCGGTCCAGGCTCTGCAGCACAATGCCCGCCTCACCTACCCTGCCCGGCATGCCCCGCGTGCCCCGGCCTGGCTTCGGTCCCCAACCCCTCGACGCCGGCCGGCGTCTTCCGGCGCCCACCCCAACCGGGCCCCGCCGCGCCGCGCCCGCACTGCCAAAGGGAGGCCTGGTGGCGTGGTTGCCACGGCAACGGGCCGTGCTGGCCGTGCTTCGGATGGACCCTTACTTTCGCTTGTCCGCACCGTCCGCACCCCACCGCCGGGCCGCGCCGCGGGGAGGGGAGGGGGTGGGGCGAGGTGAATGCCACGTGATGAATGAAACCTCATCTCGATCCCGTTTGACTCGGGACACTCGGGGCGCCCCGCCCCGCCGGTCCTGCCCTCCGGCACGCCCCCTGGCGGCGCCCGGCCGAAGCAGCGACGGCGCCGCGAGGGAGGGAGGGAAGGGAGCGGCCGGTGACGCAAGAGAGACTAACTTCCCCGAAACTGTCAGCGCGATTCGCGCCGATTCGCCGAGCCCTGCAGTGCTGACCGTGCTCCGCAGCGACGGCGCCGTTGACGGCGTTGACGGCGTCCAGGTGCGTGCCGAGCCCCGACCCGGTCCCCAAGGCCTCCCTGGCGATCACCAATTAGCCGCCGGGCACGTCCGCGAGGCCCTCGACCAGCCCGAAGAGGACGTCCGCGTTTAGCGCCTCGCCGCCAGCACAGCCCCCTGGAGCCCCAAGACCGCGTCCTCGCGCATTAATTATTCATCCCGGTGCAGACGACGCACCCCCCGGTGGCGGAGATGCTTTCACGCGCGCCCCGCCACCGCGCCATAAACCGGCGCCATTATCGCCGCGAACTGCCGCCGACATCAACCGCACCGCAGCGGCGCCAGCGGCGCCAGCGCGCCGCGAACCCGCGAACCAACCCTCGGCGGCGGCGGCCATCGCCACCAGGCTACGGTGACCCCGCCGGACTGGGCACGGCGCTCACACATGCCCTGGCCGCGCTGCAAGATTGGGGCCGCGATAGCGGGCTTGTCACGCAGAGCGCTCGGAGCGCGTAGCGTGGGGTAGGACAGGGCCTCGACCGCCACCGTGCCGCCACCGTGCCGCGGCCATTCCCGCAATCTGGAAGGCGAGGCAAGGCCGAGTGCTCGCGGCCTCGCGCCCCTCCCCTCCCCTCCCGCGACAAGTGCACCCTTTGCCATCCAGCCGGCACCCAGCCGGAAAAAAAGACCCCGTGGCACGCCGTGGTCGTCATCCCCCTGGCGGGCGTTCCCCACGGCGTAGCGCGCATAGCGGCGCAGATACACTATTGGAAATGCAAATTGAACGGCGACGCGCGGAGCCTGGCGGAGCCCTGTCGGCGTTTGCGTCACGACACGCAAAAAAACTGGACAGAATGGTACACTCCAGCCGGGAGTGTACACTGTACACGCCACCGCGCGCCGCCAGTGTACACGCACATCCAGATTCCTGGTCACCCGTTTGAGAAACGTTTTTGACGGCCGACAGTCCATTCCATACCGGTGCGATCCAGCCTCAGCCACTACAGCAAGGCTACAGCCTCGCCTCCGGGACTCCAGGCGGGCTGCACAAGCATGCACGCGCCACGCTCCAGCCGCTCCGACCGGGCCGCTCCAGCGCCGCGGCCCCTGCCCTTCCAGCCGTGCTTCCAGCCGAGTGTACAAGGCTCGCCGCGGCCGCGGCTCGGCCGGCCAGCAGGACGGGTTTCTTTCCCGGGGCTGAGCCTGGCTGCGCGCTGCGCCGCGCCTCGCCGGCTAGGGTGTCCGGTCGCGGGGCCCGCCAAGGCAACCAAGGCCTACGGTGGCCGGCCGTCCCCGCCGGTCGGACGGGTACCACCACCGCCACCACGGACCGCGGCGGCCTGCCTCGTCCCGCTGCGCTGCGCAGCTAACCATCACTTACAAGCGGCCCGGCGGACCAGGATCGCGTTCAGCGGTAAAAGCCACCGCCGCGACTCCGTGCTGGCTGCGCGCTGCGCCTCGTCGAGGACATGATCGCCGTGGTCACATCAGCGCGCACGACTCGGGGCATGACAAGCGCCGACCGCCGCTCCTCGCCGCGGACGTGCCGGGGCGCAGCCGAGCCGAGCGGCCTCCATGGCGGCGCAGCGGCCGCGCGGTCGGGCCTTACAAATGACGGGGTGCGGCGCCGAGCCAGCGCGGGCCTCGGGCCTCGGGCCGGGGAAGGGGCAAGAATGTGGGGATCTCGTGAGGCTCGGGGAACGAACGGCCGGACGAGACGAGTACCACCAGGCGGACCAAGGCGGCGCTGGCGGCGCAAGCGGGAGAAGATGAACCTTGACGTCAGCGTGGGAGGCCCGGGAGGCCCGGGAGGCCCGGCTGCCGGTCCCGAGCTCCACGCCAAGGCGGACGGCCCGGACGGGACGGGCTGCCTCGCCTGCCCTGCCGCCGCGGCATGCGCACCGAAATCCATGCCGCCGAATCATTTCCGTCGCGACGAAGACCGACGCCGCCGTCGACGGGTGGCTAACGAGAATCCTTGACCTCGACGGCCCCGCGACGCCAGGCGCCGCGTCGTCCATCAAAGTCAGTCGCACACCGCCGGGCCGGGCCGGCCGGGCCGGCGCTTGCATCCTGGCTTTCCTGGCCGCCAACCGTTTCACTCTCATTTTCCTCGCGGCCGCGAACGCTGCGAATGCTGCGCCACACGCTCCGGCCTGGCACGCCGGCACGCCATCGAGGCGCCAGGCCAGGGAGATCGGGAGCGACATCGTCGGGACGGCGTGCACGGCGGCGTGCACACCAACGAGCGGGGAACTTCAGCAATGGACGCTGTAAAATCGTAAGACTTTAACGACGGCCTGGAAGTGGGCGGAGGGGAGCCTGGACGAGGTGGCGAGGGCCGCTGCTGCTGCCGGTCGTCCTGAGCCCCGTGCGCACGCCGTGCTTTCCGCCTCGGCGACCATGTCGAGGCCCAGGAGGAGGAGGAGGCGGCCCGGCGGGAGGGCGGCGCGGCCGCGCCCTGGATTCCGCCAAGCACCGCGGAATGCCCTGCAGTGCACGCCAGTGCCGAGACTCGACGTGACGGCCGCAGTTACGCGGTAACGCCGCGGCATGCCGGGCCTACGTCGAGCCGGGCGGCAACACGGTGCCATTCAGGAAGCGCTTTCCCGCCTTCCGCTGAAATTCCCCCTTCCCTCCCAAAAATGAAGCGGACCGGCACACCGAATTATACACCACTCGCCTCCCCCCCCCCAACTCACCGCCTCCCCGCAGCGTCAGTCCCAGTCCGATTCACGCACGCAAAGGGGAGCCGAAGACCCACGCGGCTAATTTCCCCCTTTTCACGGCAAAGAACCCGCCAGCAGCTCGCCACCAGACTGATTCCAAAAGTCGTTTTCGTCGCTCTGTCTCTCTCGCACTCGCGGGGCTTCCCGTACAGGTGCGAGAGAGACAGAACGACAGACTCTCGGAATCAGTCTACACAGCCCGCGCAGGGCAAGCCCACCCCGTCCAGGCGGCCCGTGCCCCACCCCTTCCTTTCCCCGCGGATTTAAAACCCCTCCGTCCGGGGCCCGGGGGGCGCCGCGCGCAGCGTAATCCCAAAGAGCTCATTTGCATGGGCACTGCCGGCACGGCATGGGCCAGCAGTGAGCGGGGCGCCTCCGCGGCGCCGCGTCGGTTCGACGCTCTGCTCGCGTCTCTGCGACGTGCACCACTCGTCCGCGCCGCGTATGCGCCGCCGAACACGTACTGAGATTTTGAGGCGCCTAGATCTCGTAAACGGCTTCGGATGTATGTACTGAATAACTTTAAACGCCTTCTTTTCATCTCTAACCGTTAGCGAAATAAATTGAGACATCGCGCCCTGCCCAAACGGACACAACACAGAGAGTGTACACTGCAAAGCTCGCTTGCGAGTGTGTGTGACGGACGCGAGGCGCGACTCAAGACTGCCCCAAGCGTAACCGACGTGTCCGAGACTCTCTCCGCTTGATCCAACGACGGGCAGCACCCCGACCGCAGCCGCGGCCCAGCGCCGCCAGCGCCCCTGGCACCGGGCCACGAGCCTACGCCTGCCAGGCCAAGCAGTCCCTGCTGCAGCCCATCGTGTTCACGTCACTCCCGGGGAAAAGAATCGCCCCACACCAGCGCGCCGTCCGACAGGCCGACAGACAGGCGGACGCACTTGTTCGCCGGGCGCAGCACGACGCGCACCAAATGCCCCCTGACAAAGACGGCCCCGCAGCTGGCGTGCACCTGTCGCACAAAGGCACCTGCAGCTGCCGCCGACGGCGCACCTGCCCGCCTCGCCGGCCGAGTCGCCGGCCCCGCCATGGCCCTGCCGCGGCCCTGCCGCCACCGCGTCCGTCCGCCCGGAAGCAGCCCCCTCCCCCCTCCCCCCTCCGGGCCCGGAAAAGGACCAAGGGCATGCCAGGGCCGGGACGCCAGGACGGGCACGAACACGGCCTGGCCCGGGCTGGCATGGCTGGCCCGCACGAAGAGGGGACCCGAAACGAAGAGGCGCCGTCAGAAAACCGTTGACGCTAACGTGGAAAGAAGATTGAATCGAAGTCCGCCAGAAAGCTTGCGTCTCGTAAAGTACCTGCTTTGCTAAAACATGAAGTACCAGAGAGGAGAATCGCTTACAAAAGCCTCTTTTTCTTTATGTTCTCTTAGTGATATCCAAAGGTTTACTCGTTATCGAACGCGAAACGCGGACGCTTGGTCTGGAAAACGGACTCCATCTGTCCGAGAGCCTTCCCCTGTCAAATCCCCGCTCCGTGCCGTCCTGCCGTCCGCGCCGCTATTCTCGGCGACACACTGCCATGCTCCGACCTGGCCGGACCTGGCGCTAATTGACACGGCGAGCCGCCAGTGCCGCCGATCCGTCCGGATCCAAGGAGCAAAGGTCAGCATCACCTATTCATAGCGCGCGACGGGGCCAGGGGGCGGGCGGGGGCAAAAGTGCTGAACCACTCCGGAAAGCTGCGACGGCGTTGCGCTCCGACCGCAGCGCGCGGCAGAGAAGTGAGTCACCGTCAGCGCCGCCCCCAGCGCGGCCCAGCGCGGCGCGTCACCGCCAGGCCACCGCCGGGCCCTCGGCATTGGCCCTCGGCCGCGCCAGACTCGGGGTGGGGAATTCCCTGGGTGCATCCCTCATCAATGAACTTGCGCCAAAGTTTACGTCGGCGCGGAAGAGGAGCGGGGCGGGGCGGAGCCCGAGCCAAGCCAAGGCACTTCCGGCCGGCCGGCCAAGTTCGTGAACCCCAAACAGGAACAGTTGGGCAATCAGGCGGGAGAGCCCCCGCCGGCCCACCAGCCCGCCCTTCAAGGCCTCGCCAGAGCCGCGCCCCGCGCCCCGCGCCCCGGCTCAGAGTTTGTTGACGAGGCATTCGGGGAGGCGCGGCGCGGAGGCGGCGTCAGCACTACACCGCCCCGAAGCGCCACCGCGGGGAGAGAGAGAGGGGGGGGGGGAACCCCGAAAGGCGCCTGAATCGCAATGTCAATACGAGATAGAAGCAGACCGCGCGCGTTTTGATGGTGGCGGGACGCGCGCGACGTGTACATAACAGTGTACCGACGCCCGGCGGATGAATGGGCGCGAGAGGCGGGTGGCTGGTGTCAGCATCGCGCCAGCGCCGGCGCGGGGCCGCAGCCACCAACCCACCCAGGAGATTATCAAGCAGTCTGCGACAGCGTCTCCGGGGCGGCCGAGGCGGCCAAGGCGGGAGAGGCCGCATCCTCGGGCCAGTACGGGACGCACAGTGGGCCAGAAGACCGGTGGAGGCGGCCAAAATTCTAGACGCGTTTTGAGCTCCAGAGTCGCTAAATGGGACTCGAACCGAACGTGTGACCCCACCAATAGATGGCTCTCCGAACGAGGAGTCCATTGGTGGGGTCACACATTTGGTTTGAGTCCCATTGAGCGACTCTGGAGGTCACAACGCGTTTAGAGTTTTGGCCGCCTCCACCGGTCTTCTGGCCCACTGTGGGACGCGCGTGCGAGAGAGACCGTGGCTCCGGGGGGGCTAACGATAACGAGGGACGTCGTCGTGCCCGAAACGAGCGGCGCGCCCTTCAGTGCCGCCCTTCGGCCCCTCGCAGCGGCCCTTGGGGTGCCTGCCCTGCTGCCTAATAGGACGGCCAGCATTAGCCAGAGCGGCACCAACAAAAACAACAGCAACAGCGCCACGCGCAGCGGAGGTGAAGGGAGACCAGTTCCGTTTCATGGAGGTGTAAAAAGTTCCCCCCTTTTTCAAATGTCCGTTTCTTGAAGCTTCCGTGGAAAATTTCATCTCGAAAGTTGGAATGTGGCATTATTCCGTGCGCCCTCTGTTTAGGGATGTTTGTAGTTCGTGCGCCTCTTTCCTGGTCAAGAGAGATCTCTTTCTTCCTCTCACTCTCCCCGTCGCCTCCGGTCGAACACGGCCGCGCAACTTGTCCTCCGGACGACGCCACGTCTCGGGCGTCTCGGCTCCCCGACAGCGACAGCGCGACAGCGTCCTGGCGGCGCCGGCGGCGTCCAACGGGCTGCTGCTGCTCCGCTATCGCCCGGAATCGCCCCTCCCGCGCCAAAACGCGCGGCGCCGCAGCGCGCTCCGCCTAATGGGGACGCTTCAAGGGAGCGGGCCGCCCGGGGCCGCCGAGAGAGGCAGGCGGGGACGAGCCGCCTGGCAGTGGCGCCGCCGTCCTCCGTCGCCAACTTCGGGGCCAACTTTAATTCTAACACAATAACGCAAAGAAGTGGCGTCGGCGGTACTTACAGCTGCGTCTGGCGGGTGAGCGTTGGATGTCGGCTCCCCGGAAGGCCGGTTAGAGAACGACTGCAAAACCAAGACAAGCGTCAGCCAACCCTTCGGACACGATACCCGCAGTACGCCACTTCGATAACGACAGGCACCACTTCAATAACACATGAGAAATGAAGCGAATGGCGGCCCTCCAATCAGCGAGACAAACGCGGCTTCGTCGCTCTCGCTCTCACGGGGTATCCCGAAGGGGTGCGAGAGAGACGGCCACAGAGCAGCACAGCCTGGCGAGCAGCCTGATTGGCGGACAGGTGGGTCAACACAGCGGGGCTTCTTCTTACCTGGTGTTGTGGCGAGGGCGGCTGCGGCGACGGCTGGGGGTGCGGGGATGGCGTCTGCGAGGGGTGGGGGCCCTGGTTGCCCTGGTGACCGGCCAGGTGCCCGGGCGAGGACGGAGGCGGTGCGGGGGAGGGCGGGTGCGGGGGCGGCGGGTGACCGGCGGGGTGCCCCGGCGGGTGACTAGCCGGGTGACCGGGCGGCGGCGCGTGTCCGGGCGGGTGACCCGGGCCGGGGTGGCCGGCCGGGTGACCGGGGGGTGGGTGACCGGGCGGGTGGCCGCCGGGAGGGTGACCGGGAGGATGACCGGGCCGGGCGGCGCGGGCGACCCCCACGACGGCCGCTGGTCCGGGTAGGGCTGCTGGCCGCCGTACTGCAACAGAGAGAGAAAGACGACGGTCAGGTTGCGGCTCTGGCACGTGGAACTACAGTAGTTGCAGTAGCCATGAGCGAAGGGCTTCCACCGCGGACTCTCGGCAACTCTACCGAACCCTACACTGCCACCTGCCGCGACGGCAGACAGGGCGCTAATCGCACGGGGAGACGCGTCAGCACACACACACACACACACACACATACAGACGAGGCGATTGCTCCTATTCACGGACGTGCCGGGAAAGCAGAGCGCAAGTGCGGCGCGAGTATCGGCCGGGTCATCCTGAAGCGCCATTTCACCGGAAGTACCGGAAGTGGCAGAAACGCATACCTCATGCATGAAGACGCGCCGAGGACCGCGTCGGCAGATCCGTCCACACACACACACGCACAGACGCAACCGCAAACATAGAGAGGCCCTGGCCGAGACCCCGCGCGAGGTCCCAGGCCCCCCAGGGCCCTGCTCCGCGTCAAGTGCTGCGAGATGACAGTTCCGTTCCCCGGCTCGGCTCGGTCCGCCACGGCCGACTCATCCGCGGCCGCTCGACTCGAACACGATCGAAGCGACCAATCACGACGCGTCACGCAGGGCGACGCAGAGCGACGAGGGCGAGCGTTCTTCTTCCCTCTCGACGAGAAAAAATAAATACTCGCTGGAGCGCTGACGCAGCGGGACTCAGCGACGACGGACGAGAGGGAATTAAATCCAGTGGGCCAAAAAGACAGGCGCAAAAACGCCCGTTTGTTTCGGTCGGCTTCGCGGGAAAGCCCGGAAAAGCCTCACCGCTTTTGAAACGGCGGCGCCGCCGATAGGCTGCCCCCGGCCTCCCTCGCGTTCATAGAGGCTTTAACGCCGCCAGACGGTGGTTATCAAACTTGCTTTCGCTTCGCCGGCCGAGTGCGGCGGCGCCGGGCGGCGCGGCTGCAAAAGTGCACCAGTGCAGTGGCAGCAGCCCCGGCGGCGGCGTCGCGACCTGTTGGGATTTAGAGAGACGGGGGTGGGGTGGGGTAAGGCGAGACGAGATTGGGCTTTAATGCCGCCGAGGGTTGGGGTGGGGGCGGCGGGGGCCGCACCGAGGGGTGGCTGGCGGGGCGGCGGGGCGCGGACCCAGACACACGTGGCCGCGTTGCCGGGTTGCGGGCAAAGAAGCACGCCCAAGTGGCACCGCCGGCACCGCCCATTCATGCCCTGGATGGCTATTGACTCGCGGATCCCCACCCCTTCGAGACAGGTTGCTTCAAGGTAGTCGGTACACACACCGCAAGGGCCGGTAGGACGACGAAAGGAGGAGGAGGGGGAGTCGAACCCTGACCCTCCGAGCCAACACACACATTCCGGGATCGCGTGTCGGCAACGCGAACCAGGCGCCACCCGCGCCGCGCGCGCCGGCCAATCAGCGCCATCGGCGGGCAAACAGCGTGGTGGCGTGTAACAGTGCCACCACACTGGCGTGTTTTCGCGCCAAAATCAATCCACGGCCACTTTCTCCTGGGCCACACGGCGGCGAGCTTATCAGCTCGTTGATGTCACCCCGCGGTGGGCGTGGCGAGGCGTGGCGTGGCGTGGCGGGCCGGAGGCGGCCAAGGGGTCCACAACCTTGCCGCGATAAGACCACTACACTACTATTTGGGGCGTGACTCACTAGTAATTAACGGCGCGGCCGAAAAACGCCAGGCCATTTCTTCAATCTTTAACTAAATTCTTTTGGCAGTGTCTCCGCGAGAAAAGGGCGCAATTCGTTCCCCCCGCAGCGCGGTGCAGCGCGGCCACGTCACGTGCAGCCGCAGCGGGCATTTCCGACCGCTGCGCTGCCCTGTCCGGCCAGCAAAAACAACAACAACGCAGCAATTCGGGAAAGACAACAACACAAACGAACGACGCCGCGCCATCAAACGCTAAATACATCAGCCGGGCTGCCGGGGCTGCCGGGGCCTCGGACCGTTCCAATTTGGAGTTATTCATTTTTCATCCGTCCGGCCGCCGCGCCGCCACGTTGTCCGCCAGTCAGTCATGCCGGCGTAACGACACGACATGTCCGGCTGTCTGTGGTCGAACTGTCTGTCAGTCAGTCTGCCCGTCCGTCTGTCCGTCCGTCCGGCCGGCATCGCGTGGGCAAGGATCTCACGGAGTAGCGCGCAATCAAAGCGGGTCGCCGACGGCCGCCCCCACGCAGTGCCACGCAGTCCGCGCACCGAGACCGCGTACTCTTCGACGGCCACCTCGGTACCACCGCGGACCCATTGGCCATGCAGCAGCGCGGGGCGCGCCCAGGGTGAAGGAGGGCGTCATGCACAGTGCAGCGGCCGCGTCTTCGGCGACGCTAGAAGGACGGCGGGGCGGCAAGGGCGCACAGCTGACCGGGGCGGTACCGCCGTTCATGTCAACACTAGGACGCCCAGAGGAACGGCCCGAGTTGTGCTTGAGTGTGCGTGTCGACGTGTCAGTGTGTGTGTGTGTGTGAGTGCAGCCTTTCTCCGTGACCTACCACAAGGCCCCTTCTTTCTTCTTTCCCTCCACCCTGCCTAACCCATGGCGCGGGGCTGCGCGGGGCTGCGCGGGGCTGCGCGGGGCCGCGGCGAGGGGAGGCAGGGAGTTGGCCCCACCCTCGCCAAGCGCACACACACACACACATTCACACAGCAAGAATATGGCGCGCGTGTCTGCTCAAGAAGTGCGGCAGCACCCTGAATCCGAAACGATTCATCGTCGCACCTATGCGGAACGCCCCATGAGTGCGAGAGGGAAAGAGAGAGAGAGAGGGGGGGAGAGGAGAGAGAGAGCACATCAGCCCCAAAGCGCCCTGTGCTGTGCGTGCGGCGGACACGAGAGCAGAGCACACACAGCGTCGCCACTCGCAGACGCTCTTCTCGGCACCTCCACGCTGCTCCACGCTGCTCCACGCGGACAGGGCGGAGTGGGCGACGAGCACTTCGGAAAGGGGCGAAGTGGACGGTGGACGACGAGGACCTTGAGGAACGGCCGAGTGGGGGACCGTGACTGACGAGGGAGGAGCGTCCAAGACCGACAAAGTGGGTGTCAAAGACGCACAAAGTGGGTGTCAAAGACGCACAAAGTGGGTGTCAAAGACGCACAAAGTGGGTGTCAAAGACGCACAAAGTGGGTGTCAAAGACGCACAAAGTGGGTGTCAAAGACGCACAAAGTGGATGTCCAAAACGCACGAATTAGGTGTCTAAGATCGAGAAAGAGGGCGACGAGGACTTGGAAGACCAAAAAAGTGGGAGACGGGGGACCTGGCGGCAGACAGTGTGGTCGGAAAGGCGCCCAGACGCCGGCCGCCCGCGCCTTCGGGTGCACTGTCCAGCCCAGCCACTCCCCCTTCCTGACCCTAGAATAATTACAGCACGCCCCGGCGGCCCGGCCGGCCCCGCAGGCCCCGCCCCACCAAACAGAAACTCGGTCAAGAGCAAGTGCAAGCCGGGACTATCCTCGACAAACGCGTAATCGCCGCCCCCCTCCAGGCCCGCCGTGCCGCCAGGCCATGCCGCCAGGCCATGCCGCCACACGACAAGGAAAGCCGAGCGACCTTTGCGGTGTGGTTCGACGACCGCGGCAGCACAGCGAGCGCAGTGCAGCACCGCCGTGGGATCCCTTTTATACACTTCCGTGCGTAACCTGGAAGCACAGCCCCGCTGTGGCCTAGACCATGAAAGGGAGTGCCAATCGTTTACCCGGGGGCCGCGGGGCGGGGCGGGGCGGGGCGGGGGCGGGGGGGGGGGGTGGGGCGACCACTCATGCTGATAACACGCCGGCAGCGCCAGGCAGTCAGCTGATCCCAAAGCAGCAGCAGCAGAAGCGCCCTCCAAACTTCGAGCCGTACCGCCGTGGGCTGCGGGGCGCTGCGGCAACTCGCCGCCGCAAAGCCCTTGCTTTCCGGAGTGCGCAGCGCGGCAGCGCGCCGCCACCGCAAAAGGTCCAAAAGGTCCAAAAGGCGCACGGCGCGCCCCGAGCCCTTCCCCCGCAGCGCCGCCGCCTTCTTTCCTCTCCGATCGAGTTCTCGGGGAAAACCCCGGCACTGCGAGGGAGCGCCGAGGGAGCGCCGGGTGAACGCCGGGGGAGCGCCGGCCGGCGTGCCTCGGCGTGCCGGATCGATGTGGGCGACGCTACGCCGGGGCGCGGCGGGGGCGCGGCGGGGCGCGGCGGGGCGGGGGCGGTGGCGCCGGGGGCGGCAGTGGGGGCGGCTCGCCCGGCCCCGGCACGCCTGCAGTTCGATAACGTAGGGGCCTGGTTGGTGGGGCCTGGCTGGTGGGGCGCAGCCTCGGGCCCACGGCCCACCAGTGCCAGAAACGACGAGGGAAAAAAAACAACAAAGAGGAAAAAAGTAGCATTAAAAACAGCCACGCCCGCCCCACTGTCATTCGCATTCATGCCGAATTTGGGCGATAAAAGACACGCGCGATACGGCGCCGGCCGCCCCTCACACACACACACACACATACATGCGCGGGCGGGCACACACACAGACGGTGCGCCACGCATACAAACTTTGGCTCAACAAAAGCGAAAGTTGCGGCGCTCAAAGGAACCCCCCAGACAGCCAGACCCACCCCACGACGGCCACGCCACCGACCGGGGACGAACCCCCGACTGTCAAGGGCCGCTGCCAGCAGACTGAGAGTCGTCTTCGTCGCTCTGTCTCTCTCGCACTCAAAGTATAGGTGTGAGAGCGACCTAGCGACGAAGACGACTCTCAGTCTGCTGCAGCCGCGCTGGAGAAGCCCGCAAAACGACATCAGCCGGCAGAGGCCCAAGTGACAGTCAGCCGTCCTGGAGGTCGTGGTTCTCGGAGCTCACAGTGAGGGAGAGACACGGGCGTGCCGTCGCCTCAAACCGTAATGCACCACCGCCAACGACGCGCACACACATGCGCCAACGCACTCACACACTCACAGCGTCGTGCCGCGAGGTGCGTGAGTCCCTCCATTCAAGCCGGCTTGGGACAGTCAGTGTCGCCAAAGTTAAGGTCAGGGCGGCCACACCGCTCACTTAGCGGCAGGCGATGCCGCGTGGAGGAGAAGGAGAAGAAGAAGGAGGAGGAGGAGGAGGAGGAGGAGGAGGGGACGAGGAGGCAATTACCGAAGCCGCCGGCAAACTCCCTGCCAAATGAAAAGGAAAGGGGTAGACCACCAGCAGACACTATCCCAAAGACGGACGGACAGACGGACTGTGATCGAGGCCGCCCCACGCAAACCGCGCGTCTTTATGAATGGACGGCAGACAGACGAACGGACAGACGGGCAGGCAGACAGACGGACGGCACGCACACAAACAGCGGCGTGGCGCCACAACACGGCAAATGCAGAGATAAAGTGCGCGATCCGCGGGGAGAGGGAACGCTCTTCGAAAAGGGGTGGCGGTGCCGCCACTTTTGCCACTTGCAAGGAAACGGGGTAAGGGCGGCCGGAAGAGCCTCAAAGAGCCTCGCGGCCCTTGCGGCGCCGTGCCGAGCCACACATCAAACGTATCGGCACTTGTTTATTTTGGGCTCAAACTAAAAGCGTCCTCCAATTAGCGGGCGATATGAAAAGGAGAGGGGAGCGGCGCGAGGCAGCGCACTTTCAAGTCGGAGCGTCGCTCAAATTATCAACACAGAGAGGGAAAGTCGGCGAGGGGGCGGAGGGCGGCCCGGAGCGGACTCGGGGGTGGCGGCGGCGCGGACGCTAAATCACATTTAAAAAACGAGCGAGAGGGGAAACGGGGGAAAAACGAAAAGGAAGAAGAGGGCCGTGCACCGGTGTTCGAACCCGCGCCAGTCTTTGGCACACTTTGTCCTTTATTTTTTCTCTTTCGGGGCACAGCGAGACGAGAGGAAGGGGCCGCCGAGTCGATGTCGCCAGAAGAAAGGGGAAAAACAAAGAATTTAAAAAAGGCAGCGGCGTGACATCACACGTGCAGTAGGTCAGTTCCGGCGTCAGCTTGCGGGGCGGGGACGAAGACCGCCACTTGCCTCAATAGATTCCTCTTTCGGAGATCAATCCATTGGTGGGGTCACACGTTCGGTTCGAGGCCTGTTTAGCGACTCTGGAGTCCAAAACGCGTCTAGAGTTTTGGCCGCTCCACCGGTCTTCTGGCCCACTGTGGGGCGTCAGCCTGACGGCCGGCGCGAGGCAGCCCCGCTCAGCACGGCTGGCCGCCGCGTTGCCTACCGCCACGGCGCGCGGCCCAGCCTGGCGCCTGGCCGGCCCATTCCGAGCGTCGCTTTCATCGCTCTGTCTCTCTCGCACCAGAATGGGAAGCCCCACGAGTGCGAGAGAGACAGAGCGACGGACACGACGCTCGGAATCAGTCCGCAGCGCGACGCGGCGCCACTCTCACTTTCCTCTTTCTGACCGTGCCGCGCCGTGCCGCGTCAATCCGGACCCACTTAGAGGTCGGCACGGCAGCCGGGAAGAGAAAGATGTCACCAAGCCGTCGGGACACGGCGATTAAACTTGCACCGCCGCCCACAATCGATGCAGTCATCGGCAGTGACGGCCACGACGACTCAACCGGTTTCAAACTAAACAGTGCCGCCTTGAGCCGCCTTGAGGCCTGGAGGGACACAGCCACCCCAAGAAGGACTGGGGCGGGAGGGGAGGGAAGGGGGGGGGGGGGAGGGCCCTCGCGGGGCGAAGGGTTAGGGGTTGGGGGAGGGAGGGATGGGCTAGCGTTCTATGATGGATGGAGAACTAACCTTACACAACAAGACGGCCCTTGCGTGAACGAAACTCTCACTCACCGACACAGACACACACACGCACACACACACCGTCACACACGGGCCTCACATCCGTCAGACTTCTTGAAGCCACAGGGGAGGGAAATGCCACGGTGCGGTTGGAGGCTTTGCACAGTAAGACACTGCCACACATGTGAGGGGAATCGCAGTTCACTCTCTGCCTGATAAGGGAGATCAGAGAGCGGGCCAAAGATGAAATTAGTCCCGTCCACGGCGGGAAAAAGGTGGAAACCAAACGGGCAGAACCAGTTTCTCAATGGGATGAATATAATCGTTCACAATTAAATTCATTGGCAAGTTACTGTCTGTAAGAGCCTTACTTTGCTAATTCCCTAAGAAAGATGAATGGAGACGAGAGCCTCCCAATCAATTAGAGAAATGGTGGCTCATTGGAGTGGCCAATTTGCTAGCACAAGGTCAAAGTACAATGAATTACTAGGCAACAAATTATCCACCATAAGAATCACAGATAAGCAAGGAGAAACATTCGACTGTAATTACCTCCGTATTATTCTGGTGCCCTGATGTGACAACTGCATTGAAATGTTCACCCAGGAGGAACCATAAATTACACAACTATCATTCAAAGCACATCTAGTGGCTCAAAATCAGCTTGGCTTTGATGCAGATAGTGCTAATAAGTGGAGGTGCCATTTACGGTAAAATAATAGATTTAACATGATGAAAGACAAAGGTGAACTCATTAGAAAGAAACCTTTAATAGAATAGAATGTGAAAATGTCACTCTTGAGACAAACAAGAAGGTTTCAATAAGTAGCACCCAGCCTTATCTTCCAAAACAATAATTAGCATTTGCCTCAATAAGAAATTTTGAAAGCATATTGGAACATATATATAATTATACGTGTCTATGGGGAGAATGGGTATTTAGCTATTTTACCAGTCCACATAAAGCTTGATCAAAGATAAACCAAATAAGATGTGGACAAAATGCAAAGGAATTTGAGACAATTAACAGGACATGTAAACAACAAATAACCGCTGGCCTACTTGGACCATAACCTAGAAATAATATTTACCAAAACAATAATACAAATAAAAAAAATTTAACTTACAGGACTCTGGTTGCGGTATCCTTGCGGTATGTGCTGTGATGGATATGAAGACGGCCACTGGTTGTAAGCATATCCAGCCGGGCCTTGTTCACCAGGCTTTTGCATGTTCATTTCACCGTAACTATTTTGATATCTATGCACTGGGTTTGATGATTGGAGTAGCTGGTTCAAGGTGGGAGTAGGTCCAGTGGGTTGAGAGATACTTTGCCCCGACATAAACCTCTGTTGTTGTCCATGAGGAGGAAACGGTCCACTAGGGCTGTTTGAATTAGGACCAGCACTGGGTGGTCGAGGTGGTATCATGGGACCACCAGCTTGAGGCTTTCCAGGAAAGCTGTGCCGCATGCCCTGAGGTCCGTAAGGTAGGTGAACTTCCGAATTGTTGCTGCCTGCAGGGTGCTGATCCAGGTGCTGGTAGTTTCCTCTGGCTGGGTATCCCATGGGATAGCCCGGGGCGGCATTATCAGACACTTTGCCGTAGTTCGGGTCACCAGGGGCGTCTGAATTGGCCGAGAACGGCTTTCCCGAATTGTCGGAATTTAATTTACCACTATCCACATCACTACTATTTCCACTCTGTTCACTGTTTATGCTCGGAGGTCCTGCACCCGACTCCTGTCGGTACTGACTCATCTCCAAGCTTGCGGTCAAGCTCTTCGGGCCAGCCAATTTCGGTTTGCAGCTCACATTGTCACGATTCCCGTTCTTCTCTGTTCCATTTTGTAATCCAGAATTGGCTACGTCCACGGGCTGCTCTTGTTGCACTTGCTCACGAATTGCCTCCTTGTGCTGAGGTTCCGCTTGCGTTGCAGCCATGTTAGGCAAAACCTCTCCGACTGCCAACACCCCGCCGAAGCAAACACAGCCAGTTTAACTTGGTTTGCTCTCGAAATTCTCCGAGAAAGTGTACATCACACATCATAATATGTGCACCACAATCCACATCACTAAAATATCGCGCAGTCTTCAATTTGATACATTAAAACTATGAAATAAAACTCTTACTTCACAACATTCACCATCATTTCGCATTATAGGCCTACACTTCGGTAGCGCGAAAGGAGGTTAGGGGTAAAAAGATATATTCATCCGCACTGCTATGAAAAAATTATCCCAGTAAATGAACCAAATTTGGATTTTTTATGAATAAAAACAAGTTCCTTGCTGAATTCTGGATTTTTCAGATACATCCGCTGAAATTTAGATGCACTCAATACTTTTCTACAGAAATATAAACGGGATCTACTTTCTTTAGAATTAAATGCGAATGCTACGCGCAAGGACTTTCGTTTCGTTGCTCCCTCTCCGGCGCTGCCGCGCAGAGATGTGTTACAAACTTTGTCTTTCAAGGTAAATTATCCAATAAGATACTAAATAAAATGTTTGAATCCATGCGTTTCAACTACGAAAACGCAAGGAATTACTGCAATCCAAGTTCTTTCTCATACTTTCTTTATTGTTCGATGAATAGAACCACGTGACGCTATCTCTGCCTAATGACCCATCACCGGCTTCAGTTACCAATCGGCCAGCAAATTTCATGGCCATTTTTAAGCCACACCATTTTAATTGAAAAATTTAAGAATGACTTAAACCTAGTGCAATAAAATGAGTAACGAGTTATCAAGAAAACAGTAAACAAAAAGCATAGCCTGTTTATGAATGGACCCCGTGCCCCGTGTTGTCTGCTTTCTGCCTCTAGCTTCTGCTAGTCTGGAAGGCCGCGACGTGCTACGAGGCCCGAATACTTTTAACCGCAGTTCAGTGTCAAATATCTTTGGTCATATTTTAATGTTTACCTGAATTGAGGGTTTGGTTTTAATTTTCAAATAAGAACAATGGCATCTAAAGGGGGACCCATGGTGATGGGTACGGATGGCACTGACTTTTCTCACCGACAAAGAGTAGCAACACACTATTTGCTAAGGTGAGCTTTCTGCTAGCAGCTGTATGTTTGCTCAATAATGTATTTTTCATCTCAGTTTTCAGCCACTCTATTACATCAGCAACTATCTTTCAATTTTGATTTTGATGCTGCTGATGCTCATCAAGAAAGTAGGGAGTTTTGACATTACTTCAGAGGTTGGAAGTCCTTAAACCTTGGACCTGTTTTCAAATTTATGTCCTTCCGTATCGCTCGTGTTTGTCACGTCATCGTCCCTTTTAAAGCTATCCTCATCGAATATACTCTCAATGTGATTTCTGAAAGCTGATGATTTTATCCCACTGAGATTTACTATACCATATGGTTTAACTGTTTCTTTCAATTTTTGCTGTTCCAGTGCTCAGAGCAAATCCCGGTTGAAGTACTGCATATTCTTCCATTACCTCCTATTTTTCGCAATGCTAGCAAAGTTGTCGGCTGATATCTTGGACAGGATTGATGTTTTTATCCTGGAAATAGAAGAGCTGCAAATTCCTCAAGTACTTACCGTTTATTTTATTTCTTCTTGGGTTTAATCTTGTAATCATGTCTCTAATACTTCTTTTCTAAATTTACAGCCTTTGTGGTGGGAATATTTGTGGTGCATTAGTCTGTTGCTTTCCTTCCTTGGACTTTCTGCGGCACGGAAAAACAAAATATCATTGATGAAGCGTTATATGCTGGGTATTGTCCTCTTTGGAATTGGCCCTGTGCTTTATGCTGCTGGGTATTATTTCCAAGAAGCATGGCAGTATATTCGCACAGGTGATACCGAAGACCTTCATCTTTGGCAGGTATGTGAATATTAATTTCCTTTCTATTTTTTATTTATTTGCAAAGGGCCTGAGCATTGCCACTTTTGGTGCCATGAATTATGTTACAGCTTATTTATTTTAAAAATACATCTTCTCTTTTCAGGGCTTCCCCTACGCACTTCTGTGGTTTGCTTTTATTATTCTTGCATTGCAAGTCCATTTCTTTTCTCTGTACTTTGCCTGGAGTTTGGTTCAAGCCTGGAAAGCAAGAGGAGCAGCCAAAAGCAAATAATAAAAAGAAAGTTACAAGATGCCAAATTTCAAGAATTGTTGGTAAACATTTCAACATAGCTGTTCAAAGGCTTTCCAAAGACCATGCAAGTGTCAAAGCCTCCTCTTCCAATCGAGAAACTGTGTTGGTCAGACTAAAATTGACTGTCTAGTCTGGACACATTCTTAACTTATTTGGTACAAACGTCTTAATAATTTATTTTTAAACTAAGCAGTTAAAACCATTGCAACTTATTGTTAAGCTCCAAAGTGCTCAACATGCTTTTGCTGTCTTTTTATTCCCTGAACAAGCACTTATTTGTGCCGGTATCTCTTATCTAGAAAGCTGCATAAAAACTCTTCCCACTTGTCCACAATTGTTAATTGAAGCTCTCAAGAGAATTTCTAGAATGGCACATACATACTGCTTCCTGTGCCTTCAACAAACCTTACATATTCAGTCAGTAAATATAGCTTGTTCCGAGCAGAAAGTACATAGGTATGTACTTATTTGTGGTCCTAAGGGTCCAGGTACTGACCAAGTTTAATTGAGGAGAGGTAGTACCTTAGATACATCAATATGTCCTAGGCAAAGTCCTGCTGACCCCAGTGTGACATCTCTAAGACTGCTACTATATAGAATTTTGACTGAAAAATAAATATGAATTTGTTAATGTTCAGGTAGATGTTTTATTGTGTACAGGTAATATGTTGCAGTAGAAGAAAGTTTAGGATGTTGATGTTGACCCTAAATCTGCTGAGTTAAAGGAAAAGATCAATTGTATGATGCATTATAGTCAATATAAAATATTTTTAGTCAATTGTTATGTTGAATTATTGAAGGGGAAACAGTTTGTAAGCTGGAATTGCTCTCTTGAATAGGGTATTATCCGTGATAACTATCTCTAATAAACAATTGTTAATCTTTTAACTTGTCTTCCATCGTCCTGGTTCAGATGAAATATCAAAAGCAATCTGAAAACACTAAAGCAATTTCAAAAATAATTATATTTTTCACTATTTCACAAAAATCACATTTACTTATCACAAGTCGAGAGCAATCATACTATAAAGACAAAATAGACAAAACAACAAACTTGTTTTTTCAAAGATCATCAATGGTAGAATTTTTCTTTCTTTCACGTTCAGGTGTATTACTCCTTTTAACTTCGTTTTGTACAACTTGCATAAGATTTACAACTTTAGAATCAGGCGTAACTTTGGCTCCTTTCTTTCTCTTAGCTAGAAGTGAAAATTTGGCACCTGTGAAGGATCTAAGCTCATCATCCTCCTCTTCCACTCTTTCATAACAGAGCAAAGGTCCTCTAACCATTTGCTTCACTGTCTTGGTTTCTTTCCCTGTGCTACAATAGTTGGTCTCTTTGGATGGGACACCATGTTCATTTCTAGAGCAAAAAGCTTCATTATTTAAAAAATCACTTCTCTCCACAGAATAATTTTCTGTATGGTCTTTATAACACAATTCATTGCTGATGCTATGCTGAACAGGCTCCAAGACTGAGACATCTTTAGTGACTTCAGCATTAACAAAACTCTCTTCAGCCCTAAAAATGTTATTTGGATCACACCGATTTACATCTATTCGAAAGCCTCCAAGAGAGTCACAAATAGAATAACTAATTGAAAATTGCTCGGATGAGTCAGCACTGGCAGCCTTGTCTTGTGCATTTACCACAACGTCTTCAAAAATTGGAGGAGCCTGTTTCTCATCCGTATCACAATGAACAAAGGTTTTCGCCTCATCATCAACTAACACAGGATTAATATTTGTTACATTTTGTTCCAATTGACAAGCAGGAGTCTGATTGTTGTAATTATTATTATCAGAATGAAAATCAGTTTCAAGCTCATCATCAACTGCCATGGGTACCACAAGTTTACTCTCAAATTCTTTGTGGGTATCCTGCACCTCTGCAACATTCACATTGTTGTGAAGAACACTACTATCCAAACACTCAAACAGAATAGGAATACCATTTAAACTTGATGACTCAAGCATCTCAGGAGTTATATCATGATCTGCAGGAACTGTTACAAGTATGCTGTTGGGTTGACAAATCGATTGTTCAGAAATGATTATTGGTGGTTCACACATGTTGGGTTGTGAAGTGTCTAGCAACAACTTAGTGGGTTTCATTTTACTTCTAAGTTTCGGTTTAAAGTTGTCTCGTTTCAAAGATGTCTCCTTCGGGGAAAATATTATCTTATCTAAATCTGAAGGAAAACAACGTAAATCTTCTTCCCGATCATCATAAACGTCTTTGTCCATTACTGAACATACAGATAGTTCCGGCAGCCGAAAGTCCACACAGTGATCTTCTTTCTCTTGAGTTGACGGAGAAAGTTGTAAAATCTCATCATCACAATCACAGAAAAATTGAGACACCAATGTATCGGGGGGATATGCTGAGAAAATACCAGTGCTGTCCAGTGTCAGAATATTGGTTTCGATAGGCAGTACAAAATTTTGAGAATTTAAAGATAATACAACGCTATGTCCACAACTTAATCCCATTGTTGATCTTCGATATTTCTTTTCCCTCAAGACTACTTGTGGTGTTGACGTAGAAAATTCTGCAAAATTATGGTCATTAGCTGACAGTTGCTGATTGTTGTCAGTTAATTTTCTATCGAAACCAGTGCTCTTTTCTAATGTTTGACAACTGTCAAAAGAATCGTCTCTAAAATTGCAATTTTTAATTGGTGTGTTGCAAAACAAATTGCCATCGGTGTTTTTCTCTGGAGTCTCAAAAATATTAACACAATCATCATCTAAATTGGCATCCTTTGATGGCGTTTTACAATAGTAATCACATTTGTCATTTAAATCAGAATTCTTTTCTGGTGTCTTACCAATGTACAGACAGTCATCATTTAGGTCACTGTCTCTTGCTGGTGTTTTAAGAACATCATCAACATTTTGATCAATATCCATTTCTTTGCCACAAACCCCACTAGACCGCTCCTCTGCAGCAACACTTTCTTCTTGGAGGACACTGTCACCTCTACATTTTTCATCAAAATCATTATCGTCCGCCTGTCTGTTACAAATGCTTTTATCTTCATCCACAGCACTTTTCATATCCATCATTTTACATATTTTAACTTGATCTTTTGTAGTATTACTATGGTTTTCTTCTGATTTTTCACTAATTAATGTTTTAGTTGAGATATTTTCTTGTTTTGGTGAGCTTGAACCAAGTGTCAAGTCAGATCTTTCAATCAAACTGGAATCTTGTTGAATTATGTTTTCACAAGCCCGAATACCTTTGTGTTTATCACAATCTCTCAAATCCTCAGGAGCTTTGCGAGATGTATTCTCCTCGGTTTCCTCTTTTTCGCCGCGTTCACAGTCTCTTAATCCATCCACTGGATCAACCAAGTCTGTTTCATGAGTCACATTATCTTCAATATTTTCTCTCTCAAAGATCGAAACATTCCTCTCAATTACTAAGCTTTCATTTGGAGGAACAAAGTCAAACTGGGGATCAGGGTTCTGTGGCAAACATTCTGGTAAAAATAGGTCATCTAGCGAAAATGGTAAAGATGCTGAATCTGCCTTTTCATGTGCTGCTTTAGCCAAGGCAGCATCAAGTTCATCGATGGCTGCATTATTCCATACGCTTTGTGCGTTGGAAAAGTTTGCACCTTGTTGAAGTTCACTAACAAGATCAGGAAGTCCCAAATCATCGAATTGACAAAGTGAATCTTTCTGAATCCCATTGCTTCCATTCTTATTGCACGCTGAAGGAGCATCATCATCACTGCTGTCTTCATATTTACTAACAGCCAATGAAACTTGCTCCATCCATGACTGCATACTATGAAGTTCTTCTTCCTCTGAGGCTACATTCAAACTCCAATCTGAAACAAAAAGTAAATGACGGATTAAATTAATGTAAAGACTGCATGAATTTAAAAAGAGTACAAGATTATTTATTACCTTTGGGGTTTTTGTGAACATCTCTGTAAGACCGATGATAAAATTCTATGTCACTCGAATTCAGATCTCTGAAAGGTGTTGAGCACTAAGGAGTGAAAAGATAGGCCACAGTTAATGCAACAGCGCTAGACAGCAAACATCACAAAAAAGTATTAAGAAATTATCTAAGTATGCACACCTTGTAACATAGGCGAACAGCTTCTGTCAAGTTGATTTGTTTGATCTCCATTAACTGATGACAAAACCGACATCGTTTTGGGATTAAGGCTGCCTATAATGAAAGTCATACATAATAATTGACTAACTGAATAGTAAAACGAGATAAATAGCAAAGCCATAAAAAAACAATCAAATACTTGCCTTCGCAGAGAGGTAAATAGGTGTTGAAGGCCTTGGAATTCCATCCATTATCAAAGACATTGATTCAGGAAGCCTCCTACTAATAAATGACAGACATCTGTGGGAGATAAGCAGAAATTTTGGCATGAATGAACTCGTAGAATAGAGGTCCTCTATAAAAGGATCGTAACTTCACATTTAGAATATGGATTGAATTAATAAATTTGAGGCTAGAGATGGGATAACAGTGAGCAACTGGTAATGAAGAATGTCACATTAAGCAAATCGTAAGACACTAAATACTATATGAGCAGTCATTAACCGCATTTTGACAATATAAGGTTATGTTTACAATGGTTTGATGATGATAGAGATTGTTCACACGATATGCACATGTCACCCCGAAAATTCCCTTATGACCAAAACACAGGTATAACGTGTATTTTTTCAAGGCGTGGAACAGCAAAAGTATATACCTCAATTAAATCATTTTCCGAGGAGACAGGAATCTCGCAACACTCAACGCTCACCACAACCACACGACCACGGCGGCGGCGGATCACCCCCTTCACCCCCGCCACCCCCTCCTCCCCCACTTCAAGCTCCCCCCACCCCCACCGCGGCACGGCTTCACAGGGAAGTCATGCGAACTTGAACTTCGACATTTTCCTTCCTTTCTAATTTGATGGGAACTGAATTTGAGTGTGTTTCTGTTTGCTGTTGGCTTTTCATGTGTTAATATGTGGTAAAATTTCGTGTAAGTATATCATCGGTTAGCTGCCGTTGTTCACCAGAAAAACTTGAGTTTACTCATACTTTACAATGCTGCAAGAAGAATGCCCATCAAAAATATCAAACAAATCGCTCCAAACCACATAGCCAGAGAATTTGCAACCTGCTAAGTTATTATTTTAATATATGGCCATTGTGAACAAAAAGGGAAAGAGAGGTGGAACCAATATGGTTCAAAAGCAATTTGCGCATGACAATCAACTTGTAACTGAGTGGGAACAAATTCTCAGGCATCAACGAACAAGTCAAGAGCAAGAAGTGAACGTAGAACTATTTGCTCTGAGGCACCAGGGAAAAAATGAGGAAGGAAAAGCAGTATTCCAAGATCTATCGGTCACAAGACTCTTCATGCAACACCTACACAAAGTTCTAGCCAGACGAGGTAGGAATTTCTACAGAGAAGCTTCAAACCTGGGGAAGAGCAAAGGTCATTTGGAAAGGTAGAAACAAAATAGAATTATTCAGTACTTTATTACTATATAGCATATAACCAAATTATGTTATTGACACGCAAGAAACAATATTTAAGAAATTTTTATATATATCACTTCCCACCCAATAATTAAGCAAAGTACCTAGTTGTAGCTCTGTTGTAGCCACATATGATGAAAACTACTTGCATAGTAAAAGATATTTACAAACGAGCCCATTCAAACGATGACAACAGCACCACTCTTCCATAGCTTATTATCTAAAATCTAATGATGTTCCGTCTATGGGCTCAGAGGGAACAAAATGGTGCCAAACAAATGACCATTTTGTTCTAGTAATGCAATTATGCACTCGCACAATTAACTAAAGACAGTTAACACCATCTCCCATACTCTGGAGCAGGTGCAACAAAACAAACATAGCATACGGTATTGCTCAGATTTTCTACCAAGTTCAGTTAAAAGAAAAAAGTTAATATGTGCAATAAATTATTACATACAACACCTAGAATGAAGATTTTCCCTATAATCCTTTTTATCACTTTTATAAAAGAAAAGTTGAAAAATTGTACATAGATTTTTGAATGATGCTCCCCAGTGAGAAAGTCAGCAACCTGAAATTCTTAGCCAAACAAACGCAAATGAAATAAAAAAACATTTGACAATACCTTGCACTTGTCACTCCATTTGAGTGCAAGCGCGAGTCATCCATCGTGGAGGCTGCTGTCGTGCGCTGCCTGCATGCGCTGCTGCTCCGTGAACACAGGAACACGGGATAAACCTTACTTAATAAAACCAACCACTGAACTGTACAAAAATATATAAATTTTATTCAACATGAATGAGCACAATGGATGATACCAGAAATGTGCACCCATCAATGTCCTTTTAGAAACACTGTTCTTTTTCTTTTTTAAAGCATGATGTAAAATCAACTATACAAATCATTGTTCAGTAAAATTGAAAATTAAAATCATCAATCAGGTCACCTTTTGATAAAAACTGAGTACAAATGACTAAGCTGAATAACTTCTTTGGTAACTTATCAAGTTAAGTCCTGTGTTCACTTCCTTTTGACAGCACAGTACAGCACACCCCAGAGCTGAACCACTTCATCGGCTGCAGGCGAAGAATCAAGAACCAAATCACAACCATAAATAAATTTGCATATTGATTAAAAAGAAGGGAAAATACCTACATTCTTGAAAATCATAATGGTACAAATGGAAAGGACTTTCTGAATATCAATCCAGTCTTGAGACTATAACTATGATACACACAACGTGAAAAAGAGAGAAAACATACATCCTGAATTCTGACAGCAAACAACACGATCTCAGTTCACACATCCTGCATAATATTGCAGATTTACAAGTATCTTCCGTAAAGAAATAATTGGAAGGGCTTTACAAATTATACAAGGAAGAAAATGACGCTATGATACAGGATAATACACCCACACACAGTCCATTTCTATAGACCAGCATTGGTTCAAACCAAATGAAACAAACAAAGACAAGCAATTAAAAGTGGAAGTGCCCAGATGTCTTACACAAGGAAAAAGATTCCTTCACAGTTTACCTATCTAAAGAAACACTGTACATCACATTTTTTCTCCCTTTGTAATTGATTTTAAAGTTGTCATTGCTAGAGTTGATTTATGAGGTATCACAGAAAGTGATTTAGGATGAGTGCATGATGAAGAGATAGTTTGCATAATAAAAACCAGTAAAAAATTTAATGGAAGTCTTGGAAATAACCAACGGTCATAACAAATAACATTTAAATATGATCAATCCAAAAAATATTGCACTATACTTGTGAGAGCAACTGCCACACGCAAAAAGTACACAATTTAATTAAGCTAAAGATCATTCTCCACTTGATCTGCTGTGTTTTCTTGGGATTTGCTGTTATGATCTTCTGATAAATTATTAGTGACATTTCCACTGCAGTCATCTGAAATTGGGCCATTGGACCCTAATTGAGCAATATCAGTGGGGCCTTGGTGTTTGTTTTCAAATCTATCTTCAGAATATGAATCACACATGTCATTGTTCCTCACTGGAGATGGATTTTCATCTCTATTTGAGACCGGTTCATAAGAAACCAAATTACTTGAGTGGTCTGGTTCATAATTGCCTTCATTGTGTGACTGAACTGGCTCATAATTGTCTTCGTTTCTTGAGTGAGAAGACTCATAATTGTCTTCATTTCTTGAATGAGAAGACTCGTAATTTTCTTCGTTTCTTGAATGAGAAGAACTGTAATTTTCTTCATTTCTCGAATGAGATGACTCAAAATTGCCTTCATTTCTAGAATGAGAGGACTCAAAATTGTCGTCATTCCTTGAATGAGAGGACTCAAAATTGTCTTCATTTCTTGAAAGAGAGGACTCAAAATTGTCATCATTTCGTGAATGAGAGGACTCAAAATTGTCTTCATTTCTTGAAAGAGAGGACTCAAAATTGTCTTCATTTCTCAAGTGAGAGGACTCATAGTTGTTGTCATTCCCTGAATGCACCTCGTTATAATTTTCTTCATTTCTTGAATGAGCAGACTCACAATTGTCTTCAATTCTTGAGTGAACAGGCTCATAGTTATCTTCATTGTTAGAATGCTCTGGCTCATAGTTCCCTTCATCCCTTGGACGAGTCTCCTCAAAGCTTTCGTCATTTCTTGAATAAGTCTCCTCACCTCTTGCAAATGCAGACGTATGAGAATCAGAATCCGGCAATAGAGTTGCAGACTCCTCCCTATTTTGAGTTTCAAATGTCCTTTCATGCTCAGAAGACACAGCAGAACCATCCACAGCATCATTATTGGACTGAACTGACTCTGAATTAATTGTACCTAACAACGCATCAGAAAGTGCAGCATTGCGGCCAGGGCTGGCCCTATTGCTTTCTTCAGGTTGTGCTTCCTCAATATTAGGCCTAGATTCACTTTCACTTTGAGTCGCTGCAGGCTCCATGGCGGAACCATCGGCCGCGGGCGCGTCCGACACGGCTTCCTTGTTCTGCGCGGCGTCCTCTTGAGGTGGCGAACTCGCCCACCTGGAGCGTCGTCCTCTCTCACCCCTTTCACCCCTCTCACTTCGCTCAGCCCTCTCTCGGTCTCTGTCCTTTCCTCTGTCCCTGTCTCGTTCTCTATCCCTGTCTCTGTCTCTGTCCCTGTCCCGATCCCGGTCTCGAGACCGAGGCCTGCCCATCGCCATTTCCCGCTCACGAGCTCGCTCCAGTTCTTCGATGTCGATACCAGGTCCCATGCCGGGTCCCATGCCAGGTCCCATACCGGGGCCCATGCCGGGTCCCATGCCAGGGCCCATGCCGGGGCCCATGCCGGGGCCCATGCTGGGGCCGTCCCTGGGGCCCAGGAAGGGTCCGTCATCGAGGCCTCTCCAGGCGCCTCCAGGTCCAGGAGGTCCCATGGGTCCGCGGGGGTGCCGCCGGTCCATGTCGTCGAAGTGTCCTGGTCCGAAGAAGGGCCCGTCCGGGCCGTCCATCAAGGGCCCGTCCATCATGGGTCCATCCATCATGGGCCCGTCCATCATGGGCCCGTCGAAGCCCATGGGGAAGCCGCGCGGGCCCTGGCCGTCACGCCACATTCCTGCAACACACGGGCACAAGTGTCATTCGACGGCAACGAGCAAGGGGCAGCAGGCCGTGATCTGGAACACGTGAAATTCTTGCAAAACCCACAAACACGCGTGAACCATCAACTCCAAAACTGGCCGAACAAGAGTGGCAATCGTGAAGAAGCAAACAAGCGAGGTGAGTTGTCATTCTTTGGACCTCACTTCCAACAGCCACGCGCCAAGGGCAAACCAGAAGGACTCACCCCGGTCAGGGCGAGGGCCGCGAGGGCCGCGAGGTCGAACCGGATGGAACATAAACCGAGGCCCTGCCCCTCCCACTGCCCCTGCGAACGGGAGGAGCCATGCATCATGAAACATTCCCCGGTGGGTTTTGCTAAAGGGATCCCTCAAGTCGCTGCTACGCTGCTACGCCCAGAGTGCCTACAAGTGGGAGGCTAGGCGCCAGGCGCCAGGCACCACTACTTACCTCCTCGTCCCATCATCGGCCGAGGTCCGCGAGGTCCCATCATGCCGCGGGCCGCGAAGAACTCGGGAGGCATGCGGTCGAAGTCGTCCGGGTGGCCACGCATATCCATGGCCATTTCCATGTCCATGGGGTCCATGTCGTGGGGGAACATGTGCGGGTGCAGGGGCATCCGGCCGGGGCCGCGGGGGTCCCTCGGATCCCGCGGGTCGAAGTCCATGTCGGGGTGCATCATGTCGAAGTCGTCGGGCATGGGGCCGTGGGGCCCGCGGGGTATCCGCGGCCCGTCGCGGGGATCGAAGGCGTCGGGGTGAGGCAACGGCATGCGCGGCCCGCGGAAGTCGTCCGGCATCATGGGGTCCATGGGGTCGAAGCCGTCAAAGTCTGGGTGGCCGTCGGGGTGCGGCCCGAAGTCCCCGGGTCCTCTCGGCCCGCGTCCAAACGGCTCCCTGCCGCGGAGGAACTCCTCGCGCTCCAGCGGGTGCATCATGTCAGGGTGCGGGCCTCCATGTGGTCCTCTGGGAACGAAGCCGTCAGCGAAGCCGTCAGGCCCGGGTGGCCCGCGTCCGCGGAACCCGTCCACCATTCCCGGCCCGGGTGGCCCCGGCGGTTCGCCGAGCAGCCCCATGGCAGGTCCACCGGGAGGGCCTCCGGGAGGTCCACCAGGAGGCACGCCCATCGGGCCGACCAAGGCGCCAGGGGGCGCACCGAGGATGCTGCCACTCGGGACAGCGCCAGAGGGGCCGGCGGCGGCGGCAGCAGGGCCTCCAGGAATGTTAGGCCCTCCAGGTCCTCTTCCGGCGAATAGCGGTCCGCCTGCCAAACAGAGTCAACAATAAACCAAAGCTGCCACGCAAGCGAGTGATAAGATGAAATTCCACTACACAGTAAAGATGGCAGGCTGCCCCAGCTGCTTCAAGGTAGCACGCACCTGGGGGCAAGCCTCTGTGCGGGAACGGTCCATCTGCCGAAGGCCCCTGGCCGGCCTGCCCATCTGGCGGCGCCAGCTTGGGCATGTCCAGAAGGGAAGGAGGCTTGTCATCATCACCTTTTTTGCTGCTATCTTCTCCGTCCTTGTCGCCTCGGCGCTGTGGCGGCCGTCCGTACGCAGGGTTCCTGCAACATCAAGCAGCGCCAGGTAGCGTGAGGAAGTGGTCCCACCTCACAGACCGAGTCACAGACCAGGCCGAGGCGAGGACTCGGCTACCCACCTCATGTCCGCGTTGGCCGCGCCGTCCATGTTGGCCAGGCTGAGCAGCCTCTCGGCCAGGCTCACTTTGGGCGCGTCCTTGTCCTCCTCCTTGCCCGGGGCCTCCTTGTCCTTGTTGTCCTCGCGCTCCTTCTCGCGACTCCTGCCGCGCTCCCGGTCGCGATCGCGGTCCCGCCGGTCGCGGTCACCCCAGCGGTCTCTGCCGCGGCGATCCCTGTCCCGGTCGCGGTCCCCGCGGTCGCGCTCCCGGTCGCGGTCGCCGCGCCGCCGGTCCTTGTCGCGGTCCCCCCGGTCGCGCTCGCGATCTCGCTCCCGACTGTTGCGGTCGCGATCCCCGCGGTCCCGGCGGTCCCGGTTGCGATCCCGGTCGTCGGTGTCCTCTGTGGCGTTGCCTGCGTTGCCGGCGCCGGGCGGAGGGAAGGGCGGCGGCTGGCTGAAGTTGGGCGGCGGCTGCATGAAGGAGGGCTGCATGTGCAGCGGCAGGTGCGAGAAGGAGGGCCCGCCCAGGGACGCCAACAGCTGCTCGCTCAGGCTGCAGCAGAGGCAATCACATTACGCTCGGCTCAGATTTCAGCAACCAATCTGCACCACGTGCAGCAGTCAACCAACCTTGGATTGTCTGGCTTGTCTGGTTTGGGGTCGTCATCTTGATCAACGTCCATATTTTCATCGTCTTGATGGTTACTCGAGCCATGCATGGGAGCTGCGGAAACGGATAAAAACAATGATGAGTTTTATGATGTGGTAGTCCACTTCGTAACATTCAGCAAAGCAAGACATCAAAAAATGGTGCAGCACGCGGAAGCACAAACACAATGCAGGTGAGAAACTCCATACAATCATAAGGAACAGAAAATCATCTAGGCTGAAAAATATTTTAAATGACAATAAGCCACTAGACAAGAAATGAAAACAACACAACACTGGTGCAAACTACAAGGGGACAAAAAGACCTGATCGCAGTGCAACAATTCTCACCAGATTGTGTGTGCTGTGGTAAACGAGATTGACCACTAAATTGGGTTGTAGCACTTTCAGTAGTTGGCGGTGGCACTCCTACAGGCGGTCTCACTCCTACAGGTCGTACTTTGCTACCTGAGGGTGTTGAGTTGACAAGACTCAATCTCATAATGCCGGCTGCATGTTGTGAGAAATGATCAAAATTTGTTAGGTCAGTAAGTCCTTCCCAAATCAAAGATTTCTGCTTTGTTTAGTTTTCAATGTCTTTCAGGCTTGATTGTAACGAGACAGAGCTAATGTTAAAATGGTCAAGAACAAAAGTATGATTTGACGAGCTCTCATAGTGTTGTCACCTGCAAGCCTCAAAGAATCCCACTGCCATTTGTCAAGGTTAGTCAAAGCCTATTAGTGTAACGGAAACATACGTGCGTTGGTGAATGGGACGTTGACACCCTGCTGGAGCATTTGCTGAGCCATTAATGAACCGCCAAGCATACCCTGCATCCCTGGAGGAGGAACTCCCATAGGAGGCATGATGCCATGACCCATCATTCCCATTGGGGTAATAAGTCCTTTAAAAATATTTTAAAAAGATAATTAGGTAAATGCAACGGCAATCATAAAAGACACCACTTATTATGTATTGAGTACTCACGTTGCATGTTGATACTGAAGGGTTGAACCATTCCTAAAGCACCAGGAACTGGAATTGCTCCAACATTCGGGAGTGATATTTGACCCGAATTACCTAAGATAAGATATTAATTCCCATTACAACAACTGTATACATTTATGGAAGCATAAGACATTTTAGACATCTGCAAGAACTCTTACCAATTTCGGGTCTTAAGGGAGGTGGTTGTGATGTATCTACACGAACTGTTGGCTGACCTTCTGGTAAAGGAACAAAGCCAGGGGGAGCTGCAGCAGGTGCGGCAGCTGCTGGAGGTTCTTCTCCAGGTGGCTTGCCCGAAGCACCAGCTATACAAAATACAATAGTCCATCAATAACCACAGTACACATCTGATTAGAGGAAGTCCCATCATTAAGATGACAAGTGCTTACGTTTCAACCAATCAGGCAGTGTTTCTTCATCGACTAAGCCACCCTCTTCAAGCGTCTCAAGATTAACACGAGAGGTTAACTTGGTCCATGGAACATAGGACACACCCAAATCAACCTCCCAGTAGTCTTTCCATTCCTTTCCCTTAACACCTCTCCCTGGAGCCCAAGCCAACTGTAATGAAACACACAGCAATGATTAACTCAATGTATGTTTTTCTTTCATATGAAAGAACAAATCTACAATCAATTTATTTAATACTTACAGTGATGGCTTTTCCTTGGAGTTTAAAATTTTTTAATTCTTTCAAGGCTCTGTTGGCATCTTGACGTCTATTCATACAGATAAATGCACATCCTCTTGGAGGAATAAGGTCAATGGAGACAATATCTCCATACTCTCCAAATGTATCAGACAGTTCTTCTTGATGAACCAATTTAGACAAATGACCAACCCAAAGAGTAGTACTGCACACTAAAAGGACAAAAATTGCAGCTTGAGCCTAAGCACAGGAAAATTAGTGCCAATGGAAAGGCAAAAATATCTTGCAACAATATTTACCAGCTAAATGATCTTTTTTGATGGGAGGTAGTCCCCTTTTTCTTCTCTCACGATCTATTTCTTTCTTCTTTTCTCTATCAGCCTCTTTCTCCTTTTCTTTCTCCTTTTCCTTTTCTCGTTCACGGTCTCGTTCCCTAGACCTGATGATAAAACAAGGAAGACCACTGTCATACTGCAGACATCAAACTGTCTCATCAAATGCAGCAATGATTGCTTACCGTCTTCTACGAGATCTAGACCGCGAGGGGCTAGAAGATCGAGACCTAGAACGCCTTCCTCGACGTCTTTCACGTGAACGTGATCGACTACGTCCCCTTCTTCTTCTACTTTTGGGTGACAAGCTACGTGATCGGCTTCTTTCTAAATTTATTATTTCAACAGAACTGCCGGTGTCCTGGCTGCCACTTGGTCTCCTGTGAATCCCCCCAGAAAAGCAGCACACATAAGAAAAAAGCTTCCTCTCTGCATCACAAATACAACCTCATCCTCCCAAAGGGAAAAGAAAACAAAGCAGGTACATGGAATTGAAATGTTAAAAAAAACTACTTACACAGAGGACCTATCTTCATTAATAAATTCTATTTCAGAGTCAGCTTGTTCACCTTCTTCTAAGGGGCTGCGCTCGCGCTTTGTGATATTAGTCATGTAACCAGGAGGTGGCTGTGACATATCCGGGACAGGAAAAGAATAAGCAGCCTTGCTCTGGTCAAATAGGCTGTTTATAGGGGGTGGTTTATTCATGTCAGGCAACTTCATCAAGTCACATTCAGCAGCAAAGGGCAGTTTCTGGAAAATAAAATAAAGTGGTCACAAAAAAGACAAAAAAAAAATGGTGCTTCTTAAGTTTAAGAGTGGCAACTGACCGGCACCGTTTGAGCTAAATGTTTGTCAAACTCCTCTTCTTGCTGCTTCATTTCTTGTAGCTTCCTTCTCTTTTCTTCCTCCTGCTGAGCTTGCATTTGTTGAAAATTCTGAAGTTGGCGTAAAATTTCTGGATTTTGCAAAATTCTGTAGAGGGAAAAAATTATGTCAAGAGGAAATTAGTGCAATAAGTGGCTGAAACTTCACATATTGGGGTGGTACAGTATCCAGTTTACATATTTAATTTTAAAATGAGAGAAACTTACGAATCCAACGTTAATTGGGGTGCCACTGGCTTCGGAGATGGTGCTATCATGACATCATTGTCATCTTCTTCTTCCCCATAGTCGAAGTCCAACAGCTTTCTGTCAAATTTCACCTGCAACAACACAACATGTCATTAAAATCTCATAAGACAAGGATGATCAGTCAGGGGTTGACACTCCGACAATCAAGACAAGCTACAGGAAAATCAGCGTCTATCCTAACTACAAATCACACCTGATCTGATTTAGATGCATCTTGTTGCTGTTTGTTTAAGATTAAGCTTTGAAGTTGTTGTAACTGCTGGAGAAGGTTGGGTTCTGAATTATTTGCTGGAGCTGCGGTCTGTGCAAAGAATAGAGTTAACATTTCTGTTCCTCTTCAAGAAAGAAAGATTAAATAAGGGGACTGAAAAGGACTTACAGCTGCGCTTTTGGTGGCTTCCACACTGGCTTGGGCTAGCCAGAGAGGGGTGACAGACTCCGGTTTGCCAGGTTTCATCACTACAGAGAGGAAAGCTATCATTAATATTTAAACACATTCAATCAATAACTTTTTCAAGGGCCAAGTGCCTTTACCTTTGGTTGGAGTTGAAGCTAGTCCATTGCTGGCAGAGGTTGAGGTAGAGGCTGTGACTGCTGCCGCCGCAGCAGCAGCTGCTGCTATAGCAGCAATGGCAGGGTCTTTGTGTATTGGATGGTTGGGATCAGCAAGATCAAAGAGAGGTTGAATAACTTCAGGAGCAAACACCTGGTTCTTCTGCCACAGGTTCAGCACTCTTATAATTTTACTCTAAAATAACAAAATCATGATTAGAGATGGATAAAACAGTGCCAAGCAATTAAGGTACACATTAAAAACAAAAATCTTACTTTATCATCAGGGGGACAGCGAAATAGATATATAAAAGTGGTCTGCATGTTCTTGGAAAACCTTGGTGCAAAGACATCTTTCTCAGGTCCGAACTGATGTCGAGACTGTCTTACAATTGAGTCGATAACATACAAACCGGGGACTTTGTACTCAGATTTGCACTGAAATAAGGAATTCACATGGGATTACAAGAAATCATAAATTTGACTGTCCTACGATGAAGGAAAAGAAGTTAAGTACCTTCTGAATAAATTTCTCAACACTTTGAACAACATGCTTGTAGAATTTTATGGCCTTTATTGCTGTCCTTGTAAGTGTTGTCATTTTGGCTTTGGATATTGGAGGCTTGACCTCATATAATGAGGACAGCTGAAACGAAAGAAGAGAACCATTGATTAGCATCGTCTGTCAAATGAGCAGAGAGGTTGGAACTTCATGTCAGTTGTCAAATAAAATGTGAGTTAAATGTAAGAAGGAATGATAAGACCACAGAATTCTGGCTCTTTTTTTTTTCCAGTATTAGTAAAGAGGACTTAAAACTTGGACACATTTCAAGACTCTATAAATAGATACTGTGCTAGAGTAAAAAAAAATTGTATGACTAGGACTGTTATGGAATAAAGACTGAATTCACCCTTGCCACATATAATATGTCCCGTAGCCGTTAAAAAATTAAGAGAAGTTAACGGGATTCATAACCAAAACATGCCATTTCAAGATGACACCTCCATCATCGGGATAACCTAGAAAACTTCACTTAGGTCCAAAGAGCGGCAGCGGATTCGCTTTTGATGTGTTAAAAATGGTGAAGGGAACGTTGGCAAGTAATGCAATTGACATGAAATCTCTAAAATAACGTAAGAATTATAATTTAACGGCGCCGGATAACAAATAGGCCAAATAAATGTCCCTATGCCAACGAAGGTTGGCAACCGAAATAAGACAGAAAACTTCGGTAAGAGCAAAAATTTGGGGGAAAACGCAAGTGGAGAAATAAAATTGCCATGGTTTAGGATGTGTTTGACAACTTTCATACAGTCAAAAGTGATAACATGAGTGGCATCATTCGAAAAGTTGCAAGGTTTACGCACCTCCGAATTAAATTGCTTCACCGCGTCCATGGTTGCGATGCCGGAGTTACTTTCTACTCAGGAAATAATTGAGTACACCTCCACTCTATCATCAAAGCCCAAATGCATTATTATTAAACATATTTTTCTAAACAAACTAACTACATAGTCGCATGCATCAAAAAATCCAAACTCGTAGAGGAAAAGATGGCTGCCTCCCCTCCCATGATGCCGCGGTTGGCAGTTTGTTCTTCTTTAAATTTTTTTTTTAACGAATTTTAGTTTGCGAGAAGGCCATGGGTGAAAGCGCGAGAATTTGACTTGGTGCGCTGAGTGTCCCATGAGTAAACTGTGACGAAATAACCCCGTCGCTGCCAATTATCAATTTGGAAACATTTTATTGAGCTTTGAGAGGAGTTGTGCCATGAATGAGTTGAAATTGGTCGCACCTTGCAGTTGTGGACTGGCAGCAGATCATGAACGGTAACATAGTGAGTCATGTGGTGTAACATTTCTTCATTACGCATCTTAACTGTTCAATGTAGGAGGATGGGATGGGGAATTTTAAAAACATTTTTAGTAATTATAACCTTTTTTAATCTTTATCTACAGAGTAAAAAGCCATAAAATTCACAGAACCCGCCCTACTTTCAGGAAATCAGCTTTCCTGTATCACTTGCACTGATCACAAAACAAATAGAACACACATAGAAGGAATTTACATGTAAAATACTATGCATCATAAATGGTGTGTCTAAGGCAGATGTGGAAAAGAGGATGGGGGACACAGTCTAGAATAACAACACAGTGTTATCCAGGATCAGGAAATAGATAACTGTAACAGAAACAAAAATGCATTAGATGAAAGAGACTTGGGTGCTTAACGCAGAACAAGCTGCATGAGAGGAAATCTCCATACCTTATTTGTCTTTGTCGAGATCACTGACTCGTTGCTTGTGGCGGGCAATAGCCTCCTGGTGGCGCTTAATCTGCTCCTCATGGAAGCCAATCTCATCGTTGAGGTCAGACTTCAGCTTCTTCAGCTGCTCCTTTTGCTGAAAGAGAAAAAGGAAAGACCAATTAATGGAACAGTGTTGTCTATCAATCCTTGGGCATTGAACTTGCCATATAGCTCTAGCTTACCTGTTTGTAGAAGTATTCCTCCTCAAAAGCTGCCTCTCGCTTTCCCATGGAGCCACCAGCCTCCCTGATGGAGCCACCGCTTCCGCCTCCCTTGCCAGCTCCACTGCCAGGCTCACCCAGCCCTCCAGCAAATCGCACCTGGCTGAGAAAAGAAGGGACACATCAATGCAGGCAAAATGGCAACAGGAGTAGCTAACCTACATATGACAACACAGTTGAAAAAAAGTTATGATGACTCTTTGGAACCAAACAAGAGACAGAATCTGTCAAAACCAAAATTCTTACTCATCCAGGTATGGTTCCGTTATCATAGCAATCGCCTAACCCACACAGAATGACCGAAAGCGAACCGGTCGCACGTTGCGACTGGTGTAGAATGAAGCCGCTACGCCGAAACGTCAATAAATAGGCTGGGCAGTACGTCTAATCACGAGACGCTCGTCAGGAATTTTGGCACCAGTACCTGACACACTCATTCGGGCCGTAACCTACACGACCTTCAGTCAGTCGGGTGAACGCCGAGTCAAACACAAAGCTGACTCAAGAATGCAATAGTGCCGGCAAGAAACGCAACAAACCGGGACTTTACCTCATAACGGGCACATTGGAAATCAATCGGGATGACAGGATTTTCCTGAGTGCCGACATTTTCGCTATCGTTTTCTGCTGCTACAGGCGACAGCAGAAATGAACAACAGAAGCTCGCGAAAATGAAACCGGATATGTAGGTGGGAGGGGAGGGGTCGCAGGCCGCAGGTATGAGAATGTCAGTTGGCGCTTCCGTCGTCTTTCCGGTTGGTTGACCGGTTTGACAGTTGACAGCAGTTGACTTGACAGTGTTTGACAGCTGTTACGCGGTGGCGTTCCACGCAGGCGCTCAACGTTCAAAGGTAGTCACAATAAAATCCGCCTCGAGCAACTGATGTGAAGCGTGAATCATGAATCCCGTGGTGATCACGCGGCGGTACCGATCGAGTACCGCCGTCATCGCCGAGCCCGCGGAGTTTGTTTTCCCCTCGTCGACTCACTCTTGGTTGTTGTTGTCGTCCTCCCTCTTGACCCCGTTGACGTGCCCCAGCGGCTCGGCGGACTCGGCGCTGCCCCCGCTGGCGCTGCCCCTGCTCGCGTCCGCGTCGTCGAAGGGGCTCGGCGGGCTGAGGCGTTCTTGCGTCGCGGCGCTGGCCACGCTGCTGGCCGCGCTGGCGTCGAGGTTGGCGTTGTCGAGGTCAGGATAGCCGGGGTCGGCGACGTCGGCGACGTCTGTCACCTCGCTCTTGGCATTTGGCGGCAGGCCGGGCAGGCCGGCGCGCCGCGTGGCAGCGCTCACAGCGGCGGGCGTGGCACGCGGCGACGCCGCACCAACCCGCTCGGCGCCACACGACCTGCGCAAGAACAACGCGGGGCATGCATTACCCTGGCGCGGACAGACGGACTGTACCGTCAGGCAGACAGACAGACCTGCATGTGAGCGCGCTGACGGCGTTGGCCTCCTCCCGGAGCGCGATCCGCAGCCTGACGTCCGCCGTTTCCTTCTCCACGCGCAGCAGCTCCATCTTGGCCTCGTGCTCCACCTCCAGCATGTCGGCCTTGCGGCGGTGCTCCGGTCTGCGGGGCTCCAGGGTGGGCGGCCTGTGCGCCGCGTGCGGCAGGCAGTTGGCGTTGACGGCGCCCTGGTACCCCTGGTGGCCGTGGTGGCCTTGGTAGCCGTGGTGCTGCTGGGGGGTCGCGGCCCGCATGCTCTGCGCCGAGGCGATGACCTGCTGGGCGGAGGGCGTCGGGGGCGTGGGCGCCGGGGAGTCCCAGGGGCTGTGCTTGACGGGCACCTCCTGCCGGTCCTGCCGGTCCACCAGGCGCCGCTTCTGGCCGCCGCTTCCCATTTTGACAGCAGTTATGGACAACCCGGAGGGCACTGAAACCAAATCCAACAGTATGATTGCGAGGTTCATGTCAGTGAGCTGGGGCTGACGTGACGGTGAATAGGTGCCTACCCATGGAAGTGTCTAGTTCAGGTACATCGTTGAGCTCCACCTTTGGCCGGAGAATGTTCATGAGCTCGGCGGCGCTCTCGTTGGCGGCCTCGGCGTCGCGGTGGTTCTGGTGGTCGTGGTGGTCGTAGCGGTCGTCCGGCTCCATCTTGATGTCGTCCTCGGCCAGCCTGCAAAGGAACGCGCCACTCCAGTGAGCAACAAATGGAAACAACCCCGAATCTGGTACAAGACACCCCGTCCGTCGCGCACCTCTCGTGCGCGCCGTCGCCCTCCATGTCGTCGGCATCGTCCTCGTCGTCGTCCAGGATGACGGGGCTGCCGACGTCATCCCCGGTGGCGTAGCCGTGCGGGTAGTCGTTGATGACCCTCGCCGACTCCAAGGTCTTCCACACGTCCTCGGCCAGGGCGGACGGCCACCGCTGGTTCGCCACCTCGGCGCCGTAGTTCCGCACGCGCTCCGCGAACTCCAGCATCTCGGTGCGCGCCTGGCCCTTCATGCGGCGCCACTGCTCGCGGACGCGGTGCGCGTCGCGGTCGTTGCCAAACCTGTGCAGGGAAAGGGGAGGGCCATCGATTTTAAGGCAAGTTTAAGGCTCGGCGTGGGTTCCATTCTCTGAGGGCGCTCGATGGCTCCGGGACATGGCACGGCACCCACAGGCTCTCAAATCGAAGAGCCCGCGCCAAATGAACCTGCTTCCTCCGGGGAGATTGGCCCGGATCCAGCCTTCCAGCCGTCCAGCCCCGCGGTCCGCGGCTCCGCGGTCCCAAACCACGTGGCCCACCGGGCCTAACCGCCCAGCGGCCCACCCTCCCAAATCCCGAGCGCCACCCGAACGGCCCGAACCTGCTGCCGAAGTAGCGGCCGGGCGAAGCGTGCAAGGGCCGAAGTCTTTGGTGGCGCGGAGGCGGAGCGCGGAGCAGGCCGCCCGTCCCTGTCTCTGACTTACCTCGCCGCGAAACTGGCGTGGATGTCCTGCCAGGCCATGCCCTTCATCGCGCTGGACGCCGAGTCGATCCTCTTGTTCTCCAGCACGTCGAGCCGCGACTTGACCAGCTCCAGCAGATACTTCTTCTCCTCCAGCGACCAGTTCTGGGTGCGCTCCCGCTTGCGGTACATGTTGTCATGAAGACTAGGCCGGCCGCTCTGACAAGGGGATCGCTCACCTTCCTACACATTCGGCACAATCCGCGGAGAGTTTATCTTAATATTACGACACTGTTTATCGTTCGGCACTATCTACCGGCATTGGTTAGGTTTAAAGCGGCGACTTACGGGCGTCCGGCGGCGGACAGCCACTACGCGAGGCGATCGCTGCGGCCAGCGGCGGCGTCGCTAAACATAACCGTGCTTAACTTTAGTCGGCCATGTTAGAACTGAGATTAAGCCGACGGGGGTTCGGGGAGGGGGCAAGGGGGCAGCGCGGCCCGTCAATAACTTGTATGAAAAACTGCGGGCGCCGGGCGGGAGGGAAGGAGAGAAAAGAAATGCCGCGGGAGGTATCGAAATATCCTCGCCGAAGTGTCACGTCAAGCGGGAAAAGTCCGAGTCCGGGGTGACGCTGGGCGACGACGAGGAGAGAAGAGCGCTGGCCGTGCCCGCCGTGCCGAGGAACCTGAAAACAAAGAGCGTTACGACTAGTTGCGCGACCGGTTTGGGGAATGGGGAGTCAGGGGAATCGCCGGCCGGCGACCTTTTGCACAAAAGAAGCGTGCATTTTGGGCACCTGGATTATTGATCACGATTCCTTGGGCTCGTCATGCAAGACCACTTTATCTTAAAATCGATTTTCATAATTAAAATAAATTAATTGATTAATCCTATTTTTAGACGTGTGTGGATAAGGCACATCCAGCTTAACGTGCCTTAATATCAGCACGTGTATAATCGATAACGAACCATCCTAGTCCAAAACGGAAAAATCTACTCCGTGGTCACTCCCTGCTCATGCAGCTGATGCCTGACTTGTCGGTCTCTATTTATCTATCCCCTTTCTTCCACCTATTCACCCTCTCCCCCATGTCCCCCCTTTTCTTGCCCTGCCCGTATCACTCCTTTCTTCACCTCCCCCTCCTTCGGGCGAATCATGCGCGCGCATTCGGAGCGTTCGGAGCCAAGGCGTTGACCGGCGACCGCGCGGCCCGGCCCCCCAGCCGGCCCCCCTTGCCCGGCCCTGCGGCCACGAGATCGGCCCCCGAAGAGGAGCCGAAGTCGCGGACGAAATCGCCGGCCCCACTCGTGAGGAAAAACGTCTCGCTCGAAAAATAAAGCATAAACAGGGTGACGTCACGACACACACGCAGCAGAGCCGCGCCGTGGCAACCTCCTCGGCCGCCACTCCGGAGCCACAGAGAAGTGGCCTGATACGAGTGTGGGTGGCAAGCACGGCAAGGAGCCGTTGAATTACCCGGTCCACCTCCTGCGCATCCTACCGCCTTATCGCCAGCACACCTCTGATCGCACTCGTAATCGAACGCACCGCACAGCCACACCACCTTCGCTGGCGCCGTACCTGTTCAGTTGTCGGCCGTGCCGCGCTGCTGCGCTCCGCGCCGCCGATCAGATCCGGGTGCCGCCGTGGAGCGAGGAGGAGGCCGTGGAGGAGGCCGTGGAGGCCGTGGTCCACGCCGTCAGCCCGGCGGCGCTAGGCGGCCGTACCGCAATGCCGCGACGCTATTTGCTTGTAGAGGCGCAGTGCTGCGGTCTGTTTGCTGTTTGTGCGGCCGGCGCGGGTTAGGCGGGTATAAAGCAAAATCACCGAAATCAGCTCGGCGCTTGCGATAATGTGCGGGGTCCAGACCGGCACACTGCCCGAACCGGCAGCGGCCAACTATCTGTATGCTGGGCGGTGAGGCCAGGCGGTGAGCCCGACTTGTGTAACTGACGACGGTTACTTGTTATCTCAATTACGCAACCCAAATCTATCGGCCTAAGTGTATAAGCGATGTTTTTCGCGCCGCGTCTTTTCGGGTCCTTGCCTCTGGCCGTCTCGGGCTTCATGGCGTGGTTTGGCGGCAGCACCGCGAGCTGCAGATCACCGTAATTAGGTAGAATGGCGTGAGGGAACAAAAATGGCAGGGATCAAGATTTTGTTTTTCTAAACAAAGAGGAAAGTTCTAGGCTCGTCGGCGAATCATTGTTTACTTGGTGTAATCGCTTTGATGGTCGATATACGACGTCCACGGCGATGCACTGTGGGATGCCGCGCTGTCAGGCGGGGCTGGCGGGGCTGGCGGGGCGGTCCGCGCGCGCGAAGGGTTGCCTACCAAGCACGGCGCCGAGTCTGCGCCTCAACGGGGAAGACCACCGCACGGAGTGGGAAAGGGGCGACTCCAAATGCATAAGGTGTGCTGGGCGGGTGCGAGAGAGACAGCGACGAAACACTGCGCGGACACCGGTGCGCGGACCGCAAGAGAATTGTCAGCTTGATTGGCACCTGCAGCCCCCCCCCCCTTTTCCGAATCCAGATCCTCGACCTCCGACCGCGGACCGCGGTGGGGTCGTCCCGAAATACCCATCCGTCGCCGTGCGTGCCCCTCCCCCCCCCCTCCTCCACGACACGCGTGCCGCGTCGCGTGCGGCCGCGTCGCGCCGAGCCACTCGCGAGCCCCCCACCGCGTTGCGTGCCGCCGCGCTGCATTGTTGATGCACCTGTAGCCAAGCACTTACCGTAAGAGTGTAACACGTAAATCGAAGAGTTCACACCTGAATTCCGATTCCGACCTCTGCCTCGCGAGGGCAGAGTGCGTCCGAGAGCGCCTGGGTGGCACTTCCCTCCTCCCTCCAGCGGCCTGGCTTGGCTGCTTGGCTGGCTTCTCGGTGCGAGGGCGGGGCGTGGAGCACGCCGTGCAGTGCCGCCCGTTCGTCACACTCCGTGATAGCAGTATCGGCCCCAACGGCGAACGGCACGCCGCCGCACGCCGCGTGGAGCTCCTGTAGTGCGCGTTCGTGTTTGGCGTGGTGCGGCGTGGTGCGGCGTGGGCGTGGCGGGGCGTGGCGGGGCGTGGCGGGGCGTGCGCATTGTGACAGCCTGGCCGCGCGGCAGGGCAGCAGCCCCCGGCGCGGCACCGCGACGCCGACGGTGTCGTCGTCGGCGACCCAGTCGGCTCAAGTGCGCGCGGCGGAGCGGCGGTGCGGCGGTGTGGCCGCGGTGTGCGGTCGGTGACGCTGCGGTCGCAACATGTAAGTGCTCTGCTCGGTTTCTCGGTTTCTCGGACACGCGGCGCGGCCGGCAGCGCGCAAAACAAAACCCGCATGCGGCCGCCGCCAGGGCAGTGTGCCCGGCGTGCCGCACCCTACCCTCGCTCCGACCCGCACGGTGCGGTATAGAAATTGAAAGCCGACTCACAGATTCCAAGTGCATCGGCCGTGTCCGAGTCACCAAGGTTCTCTTTATTTTCACAGACCTACCGCGAGTGCCTGAAAAAGCCTGAAACCCTCTCGTCATTAATATCCGTTAACGTCGCCGTCAACGTGTCTTTTTCCGCGTTGCGATGCTCGGAAGTAGCTCCCCTCCCCTCCCCCCCCCCTCCCTATCGATTATCGCACGAGTGCGAGTTGTCGCTCCGCGATGCTCCCACACCTTGATACGGCGCACGGAACGGAACGCCCGCGCTGCCAGTACTGGGAGAGCCTTGTGCCTTCAGACGAGCTGGCGACGCGTCGAAGGAGTGGCCGATCGTCTTGCGTTCAATGAAGTGTGCACTCGGACTCAAACGTCATTGTCGTCTGCGAAAGGGAGAAGAGGTGAGTTGGCAATGGAGTGACACGGCGTCTTGTTGCAGGAGACTGGGGCTGCTGGCAGTGCTGGCCCTCGCCGTGTTCGCCTGGTGCGTCGTGGACGTCCACGGCCTCTTCGGCCTGCCCGACGTGGTGCGGGCCGCGGCCCCAGACGCCGCGCGGCCGTCCTCCACGGCGCTGGCGGCCGTGCGTGCGTGCGCGAGGAGCTCGCTGCGGGCGGCGTGCGAGGAGGACGCGGTCCAGGGCACGGTCCAGGACCACCACGAGGACGGGGTGTACAACCTCGCGCTCCGGCTGACGGCCTGCAGTCTTTTCGGCACGGCCTCGGCCAGGGGCACCACGTCGCCGGCCAGGCGGATGGCGCGCTGCGCGCTGCGTCGACGCCGAGGCCGAGGCCACGACGCCTGCCTCGGCGCCGTCCTGGGCCGGCTATCGACGCCGCACTACAAGCTGTTCACGCGCGTGTTCGTGGAGCTGTACCCGCTGTGGCCGCTGCAGCTGTGTCCGCGCCAAGCCGCCGGCAAGGTGGAGGCCAAGGTGGAGGCCCCCGAAGACGCCAACGACACCAGCAGCTGCCGCACCTGCCACCCACGCGCCGCGGCGGCGTCGACGGCCACCTGCACCGCTGGCTGACTGCACGGTAAGTGACGCGAAAATGGGCAGCGTCCGGCCGGCCGCCCCAGGGCGCGGCCCAGGGCGAGGCCAAGGGCCCAGGTCGCGGCACGGGGGTCCTCCTCAGTATTCCCCCGGCGACCCTCAATAAGCGCATAACAGCCGGGTGATTTCCTCGGGGCACGCATCGCCGCACGCACGCGCACGCAGTGCACCGGCAGCGCACGCACGGCAAACACGCGGCCGTCAAGTTGTCGCACTGTGGGTGCTTCCCCGCCCGCCACGCCCCCCGCCCCCGGCTAGGCCTGTCCGGCGCCGCCCCGCCCCCCGCGACCTCCGCTCCCGCCGCCGAGCAGCCCGCCGCGCCGCCGCGCGCCGGCCCCACCGACCGACGGCGACGGCGACCGCCGGCCCGGCCAGTCCGTCCCAGCCCCGAGCACCGCGCGCACCGCGAGGATCGAGGAGGCCCCGGAGCCGCCAAGCGAACCGAAGGCCGAAGGCCGAAGCCTGACGAAGGACCCGCCGACCGCGACCAGACCGCGAGTGCCTCGCCCGCCTCGCCCGCCTCGCCTCGGCGCCGCAACATGCACTGGGATTACTAAGCGCCGAACGACCCAAAGGTGAGAGGGAAGGACCAGCCGGCGGCCCGACGCCCGAAGCCACCCGAGGGCTGTCCTGTGCGCAGAGATTTCATGGTGATTTATCGGCGTCGTCCAGCCATCGGCCATCGGCTCATTCCGAGTTATTAGTGAAGCGTCTCGCACCGCGCCGTGCCGCCGCGCCGCGTCTCGGCCTTACGTAAGCGCCATGCCAGCCTCGCCTTGACGCCCATGGCTCCATGGCTGGACGCTACGCGGCTACGCGGCGGCTAGACACGTCGCGCTGCCTGTGGCCTGGCGGCCGGGCTGCTCGCGGGCCGGGCGGAAATTAGCTAATTGAACGGCTGCAGTGCGGTGCAAGGCAGTGCAGTGGCGGAGTGGCGGCCACCCCTGGCCTTCCTGCTCGATCCCCGGCACCCCGGCCGGATGCCCGCGCCGCGCCGCGCCGCACCGTACGCCTCACCTAGGGCAGGGCGTGCTCGTGCTAGCTCGGCCAACGCGCCGCCACGCGCCGCATCCTTGAGGTTACGCAACCGGTCAACCGGGACGGCGGAATCATGAGCAAACGCCGCAAAGCCGCAAACGGAGCATTTGGGAATGTGTCCACGGCGGCGCCGCAGCCCTGCAGGGCGGCATGCCTGCCTGGCCTGCCTGGCCCACTGCCGCGGCTCCTGTTCGCGTCCACCTCCTTGACTAGGCCTCTCGGATTGCTCCTTCTCCCCCACGGAAACACGACACCGACCGGGCCTCGATGGACTAGGGAAGACACCGGCTCAAAACGGGGCATTTTGGGGTCGAAGCAGCGAGGGGCGGGCATGCCGATGGACTGTCAGACTGTCAGCCGGACGCTTTGAAGTGCTGTGAACGTTTCTCCGTTTCCTCTCCGGCAGGCCGGTGGCAGGCAGTGCAAGTTGAGGCGTTGAGGCACGGGGCCGAGAGCAAAGTCGTGAATGAAGCTCACTGCCTGGCCATGACGTCGTCGTGCCCCCAAAGTCCGCCCGCGCGGTCCGCACCGCAGCCAGGCGGAGCCAGGCCTCAGCGGGCCGTGGGACGTGGCCGACGACGCTGGCCGCCCCGGGGCAGACTCGCAGACCACCCTGATTAAACGGCCCGTGCTGCGCACCGCCGCACCGCCGCACCGCCACACCGTAATGGCACGACAACCTGGGCAAACACTGCAGACGACGTGCCGGTTATTGCAGGGAAATTACCGCCACTGATAATTCATGAGACGAGGTTTTGTTGGGGGGAGGGGGGTATTTGCACCCTTTCGCCCAAAGCGGCCGTCGGCGGCGCCGTACCAAACGGCGCGTCCTCGACAAAGTAGCCAGGAACAGTCCAACTCGAACATCGTGGAGAGCAATCGACTGTTTGGCATTCCTCGCCACCTGGCTCATGACGAGCTTATATAACGCGCGGCCGCGGCTAGCCGAGGTGGCTAACCTCCTCCCGATGCCTAACGGAGGGACCCGGCTCTTTTCTTTCGTCGGTTAAATTAATGACCAAGTTTTGGAGCCGGCTTCGGCTTCGCAGGCTTCGCCTCAGACCGCTGACCGTGGGTTCGAATCCTGCTTTGCTTGTTGTTTTCATTTTCGCTCATGTCCGCGTCGAGGGCATTATAAAGCAGAGCATGTTCAATTGGGGCGGCAGGGAGGGGAGGGGGAAGGCGAAATGTGAAGGGAACAGGTTTGCCGTGATATGCAGTGTGGCAGGCGACAGAATTCCAGTTGTCCGGCCGTCCGGGCCGCGAGCCTCGGCGCCCCTCAGCCGCCCTGCCGCGCGTTCCGTCCTTGTCCGTTCGGGCTGCTTCGGCTGCTTCACGCGCAGCGGGCCGGCAATGAGAGAGAAGGAGATAGAGGCGCAGCGGCAGGGTAGGTACATAAGCCGGATGGATCACATCGATTACAACGCATGGAAAGGCCCGGACTGCAGTCAGGCGGAGGCGACGGGGCAAACTCGCTGGAAAAGCGGTGGGAGGGAAGAGAGAGAGGAGGAGAGAGAGAGAGAGAGAGAGAGAGAGAGAGAGAGAGAGAGAGAGAGAGAGAGAGAGAGAGAGAGAGAGAGAGAGAGAGAGAGAGAGGAGAGAGACGTTCAGGGAGTCCTGGGCCCTCTGGGTCCTGGAGGTTGGCCCGGCCGCGCCGTGGGCCGTGGACCGGGGAAGTTTCCAACGCGTGCGTGTTTGTGTATGTGTCTGCCCGTGCGCGCGTGTGTGTGTGTGTGTCGGTTCGTGCGTGTGTGTGGAACTGTGAAAACGGTCATCACGACTCGGGCGGCGCTGGGCGCTGGGCGGCGCACGATATCCTTCCGTCGGATTTCTCATACCTGTGGAGGCGTTGTTGCGCCCGGCGTGTCCTGGAAGGTCCCGGCGTGCATGAACATGCCGCAGATCGAGTGTTGACACGGAGGCAGGGTGACTGGCGCACTGCGGCGCACTGGCGCCGCCCTTCCGCCATCACGATCACATAACACGCGCGCGCTGCTAACGCGCGTGAGTTACACTCAGTGTGTGAGTGTGTTTGCATTGGCACCGGCCGCTGGAATTCCAGCCAGGCTTCACCGGTCGCCGTGTGTCGCGTCCTCATTGTGTGCAGCCTCGACAAGAAAATCGGAACGGAGAAAAAGCAGGGGAGAGACTGAAGAAACTAATCTTTCCTAGTCCGTATTCGAACCCAGGATCCCGCGGACACACTGACCCGGGGCACGGACGGTGGGCGGCCTACCCTACTCACCGAAAGCACCTCAAAGCCCTTGCCTGGCCCATCAGTCGACCATCAGTCCGGCCACAAACGCGGAGACTTAGAGGCCGGGTACCGGTTGCCTGGCCGGCAGGGCTGGCAGGGCCTTGGGCAGGGCTGGCAGGGCCTTGGGCAGGGCTGGCCGGGCGCAGAGGAAGGCAGCGTGGGCCGGCCCTCGGCGACTCGGCCCATTCGGTTCATTTCCATTGCCAAGGTAAGGGTCAAGATAGGTGCACGCCCCGCCGTCTGGCCGTCCGCCGCCCGTCCGGCTCCCCTTGATCCTCCAGCCTTTAGCGTTATGTAAAGCGTGGAGCTAGGCCGCGGCGGCGTGGCGCGGGGCCACGAATCGGCGTTATATAAGGCAGGCAATGGCGCTCCACCGCCTCAACCGCGCGTCACAGCGTCACAGGGGAGTCATGGCTTTGGTTCCCGAGTTTACCACCCTCTCGGAGGACAAGGAGGCGGAGAGCAGCTCCGGTCCAGGACGCCGACGGCCGCGGCCGCGTCCTGCTGCAAGCCTTCAGCTTCTTTTCCTGCTACACTGCTAGAGCGAGCGGCTTCCCCACCGCCGCGCTGCCGCTGAGAAGAAGAGCCTCGCTTGTCAAAATGCCGCAGTTTGTGGGCGGGTGGCGCGCAGTGCACAGGATGGCACCCTCCCTACACCGTAATCCCCGCCCCGTCCGCCTCCATCCACCCCGTGCGCCAGGCCGCCGCGCCGCCGCGCCGCCCCGTGCCGGCCAAGCTAGCGAAGCTCCGCAAGTGCATCGGACACCCTGGACGGCCGCGGCGGCGCATGTGGTCAGCTGGGCCAAAACTGTGCCTCGGCCGTGCAGTGCACGTGCAAGGCTTTTCGCACGTGGTGTCCAACACGTGCACGCCACTGGAGGAAGTCCAACCGGCAGCGTCTCGTCGCTCTCTCTCTCTCTCACCCCTGCGAGATGCCCCGTGAGTGTGAGCGAGACAGGGTGGCGAACCTCAGCGATCGGTCTGCGAGGACTCGGGAATCAGACGGCCGAACCTTATCGGCACGTCTGGACGTCTGTCTGGCCCCCTGCCCCCTGCTGCCCCCCGCCGCGACGCCATGGCGAAGCCGTGTATCAGTCGAGTTTGGCAGGCAAACTGGTGCCAGTATATCCTGCAGTAACCTGGCGGTGGCGGTCGCGAACCGAAGCGAAAGAAACTGGTTACTTTTCATTCGGGTCGTTCGGGCGAGCTGCAGCTGTCGAGAGTCGTTCGCGCTCTGCTGCGGGACGCGCTGAGTGCGGGGCGGCGCAAAAGGCTCTCGAATCAGTCTGCGGCGCTGGGTGGGCGTGGAGCAGCCGGCAAGCCATTCAGCCGCTTGGTGTCACCGGGACTGCCGGCACCGACCGGCACGGTGACGGTTCAATCTGTGGCGAAGGCGAAGCAGGGCGTGCGGTTGGAGGCTGCATGTGTGGCTCTCACGCGCCAAACACAAAACGGACAAAAAAACACTGAAGGCAGCGACTCGTAAAAACGAAATAAAACGACGACTGCGCGAACCGGAGGGTATCCTGTTACCGTGTGCCCCGATGCAGGCGATGCAGGCACGGGGCACGGACCGGCCTCGCCTAGCAAATTCGCAAAGTGCAGGTGCGGGAAGGGGGGGGGGGCAAGGCGGTGCTCTGAGGCTGAAGCGGACATGTGCAGGCGCGGGGAAGAACCACTGTAAATTATTGCCGGTAACCCATAACGCGAAAATCCTCGGCGTCTGGTTGGCGTTTGCCATTTGGCCGCTCCGTTCCGCCGTCCGCCATTCCCCAGTGCACTGCCGCCGTGGTGCAGTGCAGGGCCATGCCGGCCCATGCCGGGCCAGGCCGCAATGCTGCTCTCACAGATATAAGATGGCCGCGGGGCCCTGGGGCCTAGCCCGGCCGGCCGGCCCTGGCGGCCCTGTAGCCTAGCTGCCTGGCACTGGCATGCCGCCTGCACGCCGCCTCTCCCCGCCCTTAGGCCGCCGATCATCACGCCGATCGAATGTCCCTGCAGCAGTACGGCAGTGCGCCATGCCCTTCGCTGGCGCGGCTGGCGCACTGGGAACGATCACCGCGTTCTGCCGACAGGGACCGACGGGGACCGACGGGGACCCTCACGCAGGGCTGGGCGCCGCGCGGTGCCAGTGCCTTGCGCTCCAGTGCCGTGGGTTCAAATACCGGTTCCATTTTGTTTTCTTTCTCCGGCGGCCACACTGTCAAGAAGGGCCGTTCCATTCCCTTGACTGACGGGGTAATAGTGTGGCCGGCAAGAGGCCCTTGCGGGGCGGGGCGGGGCGTGGCGCGGTGCTCGATAAACGCCCACCGCACATTACCTGGCCGGGTGGCTGTGCACCGAGCCCCGCATGATGTCTTAATTGAACGCCTTGCCCTTCCAGACTGCCAGACTTCCAGGACGGCGATGAGTGCATCATGCTCGGCTTTGCATCGGCGCCGCAGCCTACAGTGTGGTGGCTGCCACTGTTCGTCTCGTCTCACAGCTCCCTGCTTGCTGCTTGCAGGCACCATGGAGAGCCCCGGCGGCTCGCGAGGCTCCGGCCGCGGCTCCCCGGCCTCGTCCGCGGGCGGGGCCACGCCCCCCACGCCCCCCGGGCCCGAGGTGGCGCTGGCGCAGCTCCAGGAGGACGCCACCAGCTCCATGACGCTGGCCTGGAACGACCTCTCCGTGTGGGTGCGGAGGCGGAAGGAGGGTGCCGGGCTGCTGAGCCGCCAGAAGTACGAGCACAAGCAGATCCTCAACAGCGGTAAGGACTCCTCCGTCGTGGCGGTCGCGCCCAAAAAGACCCACCGGCCTCCGAAGACTTACCCTGATGTCTTATTTCAGTGAGCGGAGTGGCCAAGTCGGGGACCCTCATGGCCATCATGGGCGCCAGGTAAGCCCCGCTAGGGAGGTAGGCCCCGCGCCGTGGAGGTAGGAGCCCCTGCGAGGCCAGGGCGGGCCGCCCCGTTACACAGGCGTGTTCGTCGGGTTGCCTACCGCCGCACCGCAGGCGCTCTGCGGGCGATTCCGAACCGGCGCGCTGTCTCTCTCGCACTTATAGGGCTTCCCGCTGGGGTGCGAGAGCCAAGCGTCAACCCTTCCGTTCCCTGTGTTCCAGTGGCGCCGGCAAGACGACGCTGCTGGCCACGGTGAGCCAGCGCGTCAAGGGCATCATGCGCGGCGAGATCCTGGTGAACGGGCACGTGGTGGACCAGCAGTTCATGTGCAAGGTGTCGGGCTTCGTGCCGCAGCAGGACCTGGCAGTGGAGTGCCTGACGGTGCGGGAGCACCTTGAGTTCATGGCGCGGCTCAAGATGGACCAGCGCGTGCGCGCCAGCCAGCGGCACCGCCGCATCCTGTCGCTGCTCATGGACCTGGGGCTCAGCAAGTGCTGCCACACGCAGCTCCGGCGGCTGTCCGGCGGCGAGCGGCGCCGCGTGTCGCTGGCCGTGCAGCTGCTAACCGACCCCCCGTTCCTGTTCTGCGACGAGCCCACCACGGGCCTGGACAGCTACAGCGCCGGCGCCGTCGTCGAGCACCTGCGCCTGTTCGCGGCGCGCGGCAAGGCCGTCATCTGCACCATCCACCAGCCCGCGTCCGGCATCTTCGACCTGTTCCACCAAGTGCTGCTCGTCGCCGGCGGCCGCGTCGCCTTCTTCGGCGACGTGGCGGACGCGTCGCGGCACTTCGACAAGTAGGTCCTCGTGCACTTGCACGCCCTGGCCCTCACGACACGACCGTGACACTGACTGTCCCATTCCTGCCCGCAGCCTTGGCCTCGTGTGCCCGAGCACCTTCAACCAGGCCGAGTTCCTGGTGTCGCAGCTCGCCATCATCCCCGGCAGGGAGGGCGAGTGCCTCAAGAAGGTGCAGTGGCTGTGCGACGAGTTCGACAACTCCAAGTACGGCCAGGCGCTGTCCGACCAGCTGGCCGCCCACACGGGACGCTTCCTGCGCTCCGAGTCCCACGAGGCGGACAGCGACAGGGCCGACGGCCTGGGGCACAGCCTCAGCAGGGTGGGCAGGAGCTGGTCCGTCGCCAGCTGCGACAGCTACGAGGTAGGTCAGGTCCTCCGCACAGTGGGCCGGCCGGAAGACCGGTGGAAGCGGACAAAACTCTAAGACGCGTTTTGAGCTCCAGAGTCGCTAAATGGGTTCAAACCGAACGTGTGACCCCACCATTGGATTGCTCTCCGAACGAGGAATACATTGGTGGGGCCACACGCTCGGTTCGTGTCTCAGTTAGCGACTCTGGAGCTCAAAACGCATCAGAGTTTTGGCCGCCTCCACCGGTCTTCTGGTCCACTGCCCTCCGGCCTCCGCGCGCCGGGGGCGGCAGGGTAGTAGGTCCTAGTGTCCTGCTCTACGACCACTTGCCGGCCCCCGCGAATCCTGGCTTTTACGTCCCTTACCTCGCCTCACCCGGTCGTTGGCTTCCCGAAGCCGTCTTACCGGAATCTTATCTCAGTCAGATAAACCCGGCAAACGACTAATCAAACTGTCTCTCCTCTGTCCAACAGAACAGCGAGGAGTTCCAGAAGTACCTGAACATGTGAGTGCCACGCTGCCACTAAAATCTAAACTTAAATCAATGAAGAAATAAACGAGTGTCTGGCCGAAGGCTGCGGCTCAGCGCCTGCGACTCTGGCATAGGCCACCCGCTGAACTCGCCTGTTCGCCTGCTCGGCCTACCCCGAGCTCGCAGGCGCTAAGCGCTCCGCTCCAGAGCTGTGGCGACTGGAGGCGGCTGGAGGCGACTAGGGCGGCCCCAAGTTATCGTTCCATTTCCCCGCAGAAAGAAGCCGAGGAGGTTCACGCAGTTCTACTGGCTGGTGTGGCGCTCGCTCATCGAGATCCGGCGGCAGCCCACGGACATCCTCATCCGGCTGGGCATGCTGATGGTGAGGAGCGCGACATCGCCCCTTTCGATCAAACTCTCGGGAGCCGTGTTTGAATGGACTTGTCTTTCGGTTGTGGGCAGTTCATCGCGGTGCTCATCTCGACACCCTACGTGAGCATCACCAGGGACCAGAAGGGCATCCAGAACATGCAGGGCTTCCTGTACCTCATCGTGACCGAGATCATCTTCGCCTACTCCTACAGCGTGTTCCACACGTTCCCCCACGAGATGCCGGTGCTGCTCAGGGAGATCGGAAACGGGCTGTACACGCCGGGGCCCTACTACGCCTCCAAAATGCTCATCCTGGTACGTCGATCGTCGCGTGCACCACTAAAAGCATTGTCTGGATTTTGACCAGAGACTAGTTTGCTGCAAACGAAAATCCCGAATTCCGAGTCACGCGATTCGGCGAGCCGTCTCTTTGAAAACCAAACATAGACACTTTTCGGCGAGTCGGAATCCGGGACTTTCATTTACCGTGATGACGGGTGTCTGGTCCGCAGCTCCCCCGCGCCATCGTGGAGCCGTTCCTCTACACCCTGGTCGTGTTCCTGGTGGGCGGGCTGACGGGCGGCATCACGGACTTCTTGTTGCTGCTGGTGCCGGTGTGGGCCTGCGCCATCGCGGCCACGGCATACGGTAACCCTCCACCTCTTTTCTCTGCTACTTTTCACGCAACTCCCCGTTTCGGTATCATTTTATTCAGTTTCTGTGTTTCTGGTGCCGCAGGGTGCTTGATGTCGGCGTCCTTCGAGTCCATCGAGACCGCCGCCATGGTGTCCGTGCCGTACGAGTTCATCTCCGTCACCTTCAGCGGGCTGTACATCCAGCTCGGGTGCGAACTCCGCCGCATAGCAAAGTGAAAACAAAACCAAGAAAGTAAAGAAAACCGTCTACAATACGTTTTGCGTTGTTTGCAGAAACCTGCCCGCTCACTTGGCGTGGGTCCCGTTCGTGTCGCTGTTCTACTATGGCAATGAGGCGGTGTCCATCCTGCAGTGGGAGAAGATCGACTCCATAGGTAGAGCTCGATTCGAGAAAGGCTAAACTATCCCTGCTTTCCAGTTCGTTTCTCTGAGACGGAAATTTGTTTCCAGCGTGCGACGAGGACCCTGGCATTCCCTGCATCTCCTCCGGCCAGGGCGCGCTGGAGAAGTACGGCTACCACGCCGACGACCTGGGGCTGGACATCGCGGGGCTGGCCGGCATCTACGTGTTCTGCCACTTGTTCGGCTTCATCGCGCTGTGGCGGCGCAGCAAGCGCCAGGCGGTGTACTAGAGTCTCTTGTTTTTGTTGTTTAGAATAGTTAACTCTGTCGTTGTCGTTGATGTTTTTGTTGTTGTTGTCGCGAGGCGAGGTCTAGTCTTCTTGCAAGGTTTAGAAATGACATGACTCACGGCGTAACCGCAATGCGTGCTCAGCACTGAGTATATTCAGTCGTTCTCTTTAGTCGTTCGGGGAGTCAACGCTGGTGTTATTTTAACTAATTGTAAGGAAAGATTTGTATAAAGAATTGTTTGTCGTGTACCCAGTCTAGTAATGTCGATGTCTTTGGTGCTGTGCATTCAATGTTATTGAATCGAATGCGTTATTTATAGACAATGTCTTCAATCGCAGACTCGTGAATCAAATCTGTGCCATACACGCGCGTCCCGTCGCGTTATGTAATATTTGTACAGTTAGACTAAGGGATCCTGTTGGCGGGAAGCGCAAGGGCGTGGAATGTCCTTTAAATCTTCAATTCGATCGATTTCTCGCCGACGGCCCGCACTGCCATTCGATTGTTCGATTGTCCCACTGAGTTGCGTCTCAACTTGCCCGCGCCAAGCCAAGTAGAATAATTAGGACCAGTTTAACCCGGGCCGGTGCCAGTTACAGTGGACCTGCCGGGACAAGATGGACACCGCGCACCCCGACGCTGATTTTGTGTTCATCGAGAATGGCTGTGTGATGTACATTATTTTGAGCGTTGCATATCTTTCTGCTGTAACTCTGTATATCTCTCTCTATTGTGATCTACATTTTTTAAATAAGGCAATAATGAGATGCGTTTTTACTTTTGTATCAGTCTTTAATTCGTGTGTTATAACAGTAAAGAATCTACTTTATACATTGCCGTTCGCGTCACTGGTGCCCCTCCCCCTCCCCCTTCCGCCGTGCCTACACTGTGCGTGCGCTGTGCAGGCGGTGCAGCTTGTCTCTAGAAGGCGGACTGCTGGCGGCTACGCCTGACCACGCCGAGGAAGCCCACGACGTGGAGGCCGAGGCACAGCGCGCCGAGGCCGAGCAGGTCTCTGCCCAGGTTGGCCGTGTCGAAGCCGATGTCCTCCAGGACCGCGCCGCCGTCTTTCAAGGCAGGGGAGGTCCGGGCTGGACACGGGGCAGTCTGGAACAACAGAATGAAATTGAAAATGACGAGCACCTAGTCGATGTATTGCGCCAGCACATTGTAGGGAGCCGCACCGATGTGGACGACGTTCTGCCAGTAGACGATGGAGAGCATCTCGTGGCAGTAGAAGAACACGGACACGAACCGCGTCCACTTGATGTAGAACGGCAGTGACCTGGTCCAGGTTAAGTCGTTTAAATTTTTGCGCGTTGTTTTGAGCGAGTCGCCAAGCTAAGTCATTTCCCCGTTTGGACCTGATGGTGTTGAAGATGCCGGCCGAGAGCACGCAGATGAAGTCGACGGGCTGCGTGACGGCCAGCACCATCTCGGGGGACTCGAACTGCGCCGACAGCATGCAACCTGCAGCAGGGAAGTCAAGGAGTCAGGAGTGAGTTGGGTTGCCTACCATGCCGGCGCCAAGCGCCCTCAGCGCTCTCCACTCGCACCGTAGGCCGACGCCGTGAGCGCCGTGAGGAACAGGATGCCCAGGACGCCGACGAACGTGACCACGCCGCCACCCGCCGTCAGGTCCACCTGGCTCTGGATCACGCCGACGAACAGCAGAGGCTCTATGGCAGACCGCGGGACCTGACCTCGAAAAAGGAGAGGCGAAACATTAACGTATTGGTATTTGAACCCGAGACCGGCACTGGTCTAGGCCTCTGCTCACCGTGGCGAGCACCTTGCCGACGTAGTAGGCGGACGACGAGTACAGGTCCGACTCCCGCAGGTAGATGGGCAGCTCGGCGGGGAAGGTGTGGAAGACGGCGTAGGAGTGCGTGAACACCACCTCGCTCACGATGAGGTACAGCAACCCCCGCACGCTCTGCACCCCGGCCAGCGACGTCAGCCTCACGTCCATGAAGGCCAGCGACATGATGGCGGCCGTCACCTGGACGGCGGGAAAATGAAGAGGCGTGAGCGGGATTTGAACTCGAAGCCCTCCTTGCTGGAAAACGGGGACCTACCAAGAACAACGCAAGCTGCGCGAAGACGCGGGAGTTCTGCCTCCTGGCGTCCACCACCTCCCTCCAGACGAGCCAGGACACCTCGGTGAACCACGATACGTGTTTGCTGGGGGCAAAAGTTGGTTCACTCGATTAGAAAGATCAAGACACGCGACGGTACTCCCGCAGTGGACTAGGACTCACATGTCAGGGGCTCGAATGACGTCGCGGGCAAGAACTTCCTGAAAAGCGACAAATAATTAGAACGATTGCTGCATACGGCGCCGCAGTCTAGTGTGCCCACCTCGCTGACGGGGTACTCCTCCAGGATCTGCGCGTGCCCCGAGTTGGCGAAGGCGGTGCACACCCTGGCCGTGTCCAGGTGGGCGGCGGGGTCGCACAGCTGCTGCAGCATGGCGTCGAGCGGCGTCGACGCCGTCCACCCCGCCTGGCCGCGCGCCCCGACCCTGCGCAACGTCAACGTGGATGTCGAGCAGACTGATTCCGAGAGTCGTTATCGTGGCTTTGTCTCTCTCGCACTCATGGGCCGTAACGTACAGGCGCGAGAGAGACAGCGCGACGAAAACGACTCTCGGAATCTGTCTACTGCAGAGCGGGGACAAGCAGGTTGACGCGCACGTGGTACGTACTCGGCCAGGAAGGGCTGCGCGTCGTCCAGCGGCCCTTGGAACACGACCCTGCCCGCCGACAGGACCAGGATGTGGCTGAAGAGGCGCAGCAGGTCCGGCGCGGCCTGGTGCACTGTGCAGAGCACGGCGCGGCCGCGGCCCGCCTCCCTGCGCAGGGCCTCCAGCACGACGCGGGAGCCCTCGGCGTCCAGCCCGGAGCAGGGCTCGTCCAGCGCCAGCACCAGCGGCGACACCATCAGCTGCACGGCCAGGGCGACGCGCCGCCGCTCGCCGCCCGACAAGTGTGCCAGCCTGGTGTGCGCGCACGCCGTCAGCCCCAGGTCGGCCAGCAGCACGCGGATGCGGCGAGCGCGCGCAGACGCGGACACGCGCGCGTCCAGACGCATCACGGCCTGCGGGAAGGGGAGGACGGGCTGCTATGTGGGACCACTGCGGGAAGTCCAAACCACCCGGCGCTGCCATGCCTCACCATGAAGTTGAGGTGCTCCGTGGTGGTGAGCGTCACGGTGGCTAGGTCCTTCTGCGGCACGAAGCCGCACACCCTGGCCAGCAGCTTGGCGCTCGCCGCGCGCCCGTTGAGCAGCACATCGCCGGACACTGCGCGACCTGGGGGAAGTTCAAGCCAGCCCGTCAGCCACCGTTGTGTTGGTTTGGGAGCCACCGGGCCACTCCCTCCCGCGCTCAAAAACAACCTAATTAAATCGTAATAAAACACTTTATGGGCGCACCTCGCAGTCGCTTCGTGATGGCGGCTAGCAGCGTGGTCTTCCCCGTGCCGCTGCAAGCAGTTCAAGCACAATGCGCAGGCGTTGCCGTTATCACGAAAAAGGCTACTTTTTACTCGTTTCCCGCCTCGCTGCCTCTCACTCGCATGAGTAGCGTCGCATCTTATCCGAAGAGCAAACACGGCACCACAGCACCGCCAGGCACCGCCTTACCTCGCGCCGACCACGGCGAGGAACGAGCCGCCATCCACCGCGCCGCTCACTGTGGGGACATTGGCCTCGTCAGTCCAATCACTCGTCGTTTCGGCCTTTCGGCGCTCTGCCTCTCTCGCACTCACGGGGCGTCCCATGGGGCTGCGAGCGAGACAGAGCGACGAAAGGACACTCGGCTTCGTCTACTCACCGCCGTCGATGAGAAGCTTCTGACGCGCAGCCCGCCACCCCAGGAGCGGCTCCCCGGCGCCAAAGCCCGGCGAGGACGGCAAGGTCGGCATCCAGGACCGCCAGGACCTGCCGGCCGCGCCTAAAGAGCCTTCCCGGTGGTCCTGCTTCACCCGCACGCGGATGTTCTTCCAGGACAGCGTCACGGCCGGGGTGTGCACCGCGTCCATGCTCGCGAGCCTCTTCTCTCGTCTAGAACCCCGGAAATGGCGGTTACTGCACACTCATCCCGAAGACTGAGACAGAGCGGTATTTGGAATCAACCCGCTGGAGGAGGTGCCTCGCGCACCCTCGCACCCCCCACGGGTGGCTGAGGGAAGGACCCGGAGGGATCAGGGTCCTTACCTGCAGTGAAGGGCCGCCGCGCCGCGCCTCTGCTCCGCGGCTAGGTCTGTTAAGACTACTACTGTGCTGCGCCGCTTTTGGACACCTCACTGTACCGCGGCTAGACGCGCGTCCCTTCATCAGCCTTATCAGCTGGAAAGGCCGTGCCGCGGCCATAGTAAGACTAACGAACGTCGTGGCGATACCCCGGCACTGTCAATACCCCAGCAGACAGATTCCAAGAGCAGTTTTTGTCGCTCTGTCTCTCTCACACTCATAAGAGCGCCCCATGAGTGAGAGAGAGACAGAGCGACGAAAACGACAATTGGAGCCGGCGAGAAGATTACGGTGAGAAGATATCGGTTAGGGGACCGAGTAGGACACAATGACATAGTTAGGGGTAACCACAATAACTTTATTTACAAGAAAACACAGATGCACAGTAGGAGTACACATCCACATTCCACCAGAAAACAGAAAATGTGTCGGAAAGAACAGTGTGACAAAGTATACTTAACAAAGAAACACAACACAAGTTTGGTCTAAGTTCAAACTTAGTAATATTTGGGTGATAGAACTACATCACAGCTTGAGCCCGTCAAAACTACAAAGAAAAACAGGAAAGATTTTAACCAAGATTTTTTTAAAAGCAAAACCCAAATTATGCTTGACCAATTACCAACTTGACAAAGACTACAACGTGCAATTATAATTCCACTCCACCAAGCATAAATCATAAAATCACAAATCATTAAACCTTGTAAACATTGAGCAAAACATAAAATAACAATAATAAGGATATTTTAATAAAACACATTCTTCTACCTATCACATAACAGAAAAATTACACTATCTAACAGAGATTTGGTGAAATTAAAATTGATTATGCAAGAGAAGAGGGATGAGGCAGACAAATACAAATGAATTAAGATTTTTTAACTGTGACATCCCACTGGCATAATTCAACTCTTAATACTGCATGAACCAACAGGTCTCCCAAAACATGCTTAGCATCAACTTCTGCAAAAAGTGCAAAATATTACTGGCCATAATTTTTTTCAAGTTACAAGAGCAACAGTACAACAATTGCAATGAATGAGAAACAAAGCACACTTTCCAGCTAGGAGTACTTCAATGTATTTAACTTTTCAGAACTTGTGTTTGACATCTGATACAGTACACACAAATACAGGGATAAATGTTTCATGGCACTGATTTTCACAAAAATGGACACTTAATATGGAACCACCTTGTGAAATTATAAGAGAAAGGCACACAAAACCATCAGATGGGTAACACATTGATATAGTTCCATCAACACAAAGGAAATGAAACAATAGAAAAATAGATGAAACACACATTTGGGTCAAAATTGGGAACAATAAGGCACCCACAGAAGAGGTGACAAGTGGTAGTATCAATTTCCGTTTGGACAAACTTTTGTCATTTAAAGCAACATGTCAAAAGACATGTTTCTTCTTATTGCATCAACAAGCCAGGATAACACATGTTTAGAAAAAATATAGAAGACATCTGTATCTCCACAAAGAAAATTTATCATCATCATCAGTATTAGTATTTTTTCAATTCCAAAACATAAATAAAATTTGTGACTACGGAGATTAATAGTTACAGTAAATAATGGCACAAAAAGTTTCCAGAAAATACTTTGAGAGGTGGACACTGATATACAATGGAGCTGCCTGAAGGTACTCAATTAAGGCATAAAATTCAGGGAGATAAAAGGATATAGAATAAGGAAAACAAACAATTTTCTCTCTCCTTCCATGACTTGACTAACATACATAATATAACAGGTTAACAATAATATTATGTTAAAAAATCCACCATCCATACACACTAGAATAACAATAAAACCTCATTTTGTTCAAAATTAGTATAACAAGACATTTTAACAAGAATCCCTACATACACAGGCACACCAAATATTATAAAATACTACATTACTGACAACTTTTGCAGTACCATTAGTAAAGAGAGACATAGATACCAACTTAAAACAAAAACTCCAGTATTGCCATTCAAAGCCTAGGATGCACCTCGTACTGAGGAACAGTTTAGGAACAAGAATCAAACAGCAAAAAAAATCTTCTGAGGAGCAAAACTTTATACATTTGGAGTTGAATGTTACGTAGACTAACTTACGAAATTGTTAAAAATTGTTCATTTAGTGATTTACTGACAAATTGCTTTCAGGAGGTCAGAACAAATAAACATTTTACTAACACATAAAAAATGCGCCTTTGGAGAAATTTGAAGGCGCTATTGTCCGAGTCGGTTCAACAAACAATAAGTGCTAGTGATAACAATAAATTATTCAGTCAGAGGAAAGGAAAGCTTTCACACAAAGTTAGGCCTTTTAGCTGAAGAATTCCAAACAGTTTCACGAAAGATGAGGCGCTACTCTACTGTTTATTTTGTTTGTTAAAAATTTCTCTCAAGCTTGTTCTTTCCTTTCTCAAAAGCCTAACCTATCCTAATGAATTGTTCTAGTCAAGTGATTTAAATTCACCTGAGTAAAAATGCAACTATGACAACACAGACTATGGAACAACACTCTTGCTTAAGTCTGGCACATGTTAAGTAAGGCTAGCACAGAGACAAATATGCTGGACACTAATGAAAAGGAAACTGAAAGGAAATTTGTGGCATAACCATGATTCATGCACAACAAGGGTGATAATACAACAGGTACAATTTACATTTACTGATAACAAACAATGAAATAGCTACATGTGAAACTTACACTAATGTCATCACACAAAGATGTTTTGGTAAATACCAGTGAACACAGTCAAGCGAGAAAGGAAAATAATAGAAGAAAAGTAAGAATGTGAGTTCATTTTGACCAAATGCATTCCTTAGAGATGAGGAAGGAGGACTCAACTAGAGCCACCAAACTTCTTAGAAAATTTTCAGAGCTCAAATTGCGACATGACTTCACATATGAGACTAACATTTCACGAACCGAAAAAATAATGATGGAGATATTGGGGCTGAGGCTTTGCCTCAGAGGAATGTTTAAAAAATAAAATTCTAAAAATAATTTAACTTTTACACGGTAACATGGTTGACAATAGCTAACCAAATTTTGTACATGAGATGCTACATCAAATTCTGTTTACCAACAGTACCAAGTAGTTAGAAAATACAAACAGCAAAGGGGCAGTCACAGAGTCGATTTAAAGTTTACTGCTTTCCAAATTACATAGTTTAGAGGTATAGTAGAAGATAAAATACAATGCAGATGTGGAATGTGTATACTTGCCCAAATTGAAGGTATAAAGTAATCCTTGATATTTTCTAGACAAAATGCAGTGAAATAAAACAAATCCAAAATAAAAATTTGTTTCAAATGATGTGTTCAATACCAGGGGGTAACAATCACAAGCTCCAACATGAATGAGGAACTCTTAGAAATTAGCAATTAGAATAACAACATAATAATTAATAATTGAAGCATGACATAAGCCTTATCTTTAAATATTCTTATCTTTACAAAGAAAGCTTCTACACTACTTTTGACTTTTCAACATTCCCAAATGATGACGGTTGCATCAGATGGAGGAAGATGATCACAGTCCCCTATCCTGATATATTACAGTGCTTTGCGAAGTTGTATTTCAGTCGACTGAGAAACAGTTTTCCTGACATAGACATTATTGAAAGCAAGGACAAGGACTTCAGTCAAACGTGAGAGGTATTGTGGAATAGGGCAGAATTGGACTTGTAGTTTCGGTTTCCAAAGCAGTGGCCATGCAATCAGTTGCGGTATCAAATTCCTCCAGAGACTCAAGGACTTTCCCTAAATTGTACCTGAAAAAGAGGTTCATGAGAGCTTGGTGAATTTAAGAACAAATGTTTGGACATGTCACAGACAAGTGGTGCAACTTACCACGTAAGATAAGATGTGGGGTCAATACGGGCAGCGTCGCGTAGTGTCTTCTCTGCAATACGATGACTTCCAAGATAATGGTAGACCAAACCCTGATGAAGTAGATCAATGAAAAACAGTTCATTTATAACCATGTGTGATGTTCATGGATTGAGAGCCTTACCAAATGTTGCATGCTTTTAATATGCGTAGGATGGATTGCCAGTGCATTTTGGTAGCACAGTTTTGCTTCAACAAATTCTTGCTTGTGCTCATGCAGTAACCCTCTCTGTAGAAGGAATTGAGAGTTTAGTAAAATAAACAAGTGTAGTTGTAACAATACACAAAAATAAATTGCAAACACACTCACAGTATACATAATATGGTGGGAAAGAGCAAAGATATTGGTTGCTTCTTGAATGCACAAAATTGCAGAGCTCGGCTGGTCCATTGAAAGGTAAATTTCTGCCAAAAGCAACCACACATGAAGTTGCAACATCCATGAGCGATGAGGCCCCGGTCTTGGTGTAAACGAACTTAATGTTGATGCTACTTCTGACAATGCCTGTTCTACACGAGATGCAGCCAAAGAATGAGCATGAAGAGAACCTGGGAAAAATGATAATATTATTTTTTTAAGAAAGAAGGCGACCAAAATAGTCACAAAATAGTGAAGAGTCACCAACTTACTTGAATCTTTGTCAGACATTCCAGAATGATACAGATTAAACACACTTCGAGTCTCACTTCTTCTTTCGGATTGGTCAAGAGATTCATTAGAAGTTTGATCTTCATAAAGATTTTTCCATATGGCAAGCATTTTCTTTCCAGTTAAAAGCGCGCACTGAAACAAAGACATCACAAACACTGTAAAAGAGGAAAATTTTGTAAAACATAAAGTTAGAAGAAAATGATTACCTCTCCACCATGAACTTCAAGTTCCAAGTGAGCTTGAACATACATAATGTTCAAATTATCAGGGTATTCTTCAAGTATCGCATGTACAAGAGACAGTGCTTCCTGGTGCTGCTTTTGGGCTGATAATAAGAGCACAAGAAGATGAAGAGAGGGGACATGGTCAGCACGGAGTTGCAGAGCAGATTTGACATGACGTATGGCTTCTTGCACTTTGCATGCGTTTGCTTTTTGTAGAGCCAAATAGTATTCACTAAGATGATCATTTGGGTCAATGTGATGAGCTCTAAAAATAAAGTTAATTACTTTTGTTAATAAAAGGGCATGAGTTTAAAATATACTTAAATGCTCTGACTCATTTCATTAAAATGTAGAATGTTGATAAAAATTTATTACCTTGCAAAGGATTGGAGGGCTTTACTATTTAGTTCTTCCTTCTCTTTTCGCAGATGTGTATTGGCAGCCTGCAAACTGTATCCAATGCCGAAGTACAAATAACACCGTGATTCTAAATGTTGGGGCCTGGTGAGTTCTCTCTCTAAAGCTTTTTGACTCCATTCTAAACCTTCAGGGATCTACAAAAGAAAAAAAAAGTGACAATATTAATTTAAGTTTATCAATAAGTAAAATTAGAAAATAATGGTGTTTAGTTTAATTATGTACAAAAGGAGCTTACTAAGTTTAGGGTTTCATAACATGCACGAGCTGCCACTAGACATGGACTGACACTTGCAGGGTCCAGAATAGTTGCTTCTCGCAACACAGAAAGTCCATGCGCATGTTTACCTGCCGTTATTAAGCACAGAGCATGCTGCAGCCAGGCCATAGGTTCATTGGCAGAGAATTTCATGGCTCTTTCAAAGGACTGTAAAAAGACTCAATGTCGTCAGTTAAACAAGGTCATATTTTTATCTTTATGCCTTACTTTGCTAACATTGGCTTACCTCAGTAAGGAGGTCTACTTGACCCCAACGCACCAACGCAACAGTAAGTAGATCATATACAGCAGATGCATTACCATAAGCTCTAATGCGGACTTCTTTGAACTCAGGGGACTGACTTAAAACCGCTTCTCTGACGGCCATTGACTCACTGAACAGTTTGAGAAAAAAAAAAGTAAGCACTCGACATTTAAGTAAAGAATAGTTAAGTAAAGTAAGGTAAAGTAAAGTATACAAGCACTATTCACCTTATTAACAAGAGTAAAATTATTTCCTCATTTTCATTTCTGGGAACAAAAAGATTGTGACCACCATATTTCTTTGGCTTCCAAGGACTATCTGTCTTACTTGCAGCAGGCAGGCCTCTCCTGTAACCTGAAAACCGCAAATCATTTAAATGGCCAGGAAGCATTGCCAAAATATATTGGCTCATGAAACCAAGATTGGAAGCACGTACTTGGTTCAGAGGTGTTCGTAGGGCATGTATATTCAGCTGGGCTGACTCCCCGCAGGATAACTTCAGCCAAGCGTCTCGTGAGAACCAGGCGTAGAGCTTGGGTGGAGCTGGACTCCACAGCACTTAAAACAGCTCTGAAAATATGAAATATGCCCAAAACATGTACACAAATTTGTAGCTGATGAGAAAGACAAATGTATTAAATTTGAGTGTGAGGTACCTGTAACGATTGACTGCCTGTTGGGTTTTTCCAACTTTAATGTACAACAAAGGAGACCGTTGAATAGCATTTTCGAGAATGGGTCCTATTTGCTTTTGAGGATTTGGTGGTTGAGGGGAATGCGAGCCTGAAAAGTGGGAGCCATTATAACTTGTAACAGACTCAAGGGGAAAAAAAATCCCAAATTTTAATAAGCCTTAGCTCACCACTAGTAGCCATAGTGCCTTGTTGATTAAGTTTGTCTACATCCTGTAAATAAAGCAGGGCTAGGTCCCCACCAGTCTGATAACACTGCAACATTTGCTCTTCCCATTCAGCCTGCTTATACTTTGATGAAGAAGATGGGGGAACTTTCTCCAGGCACATGCCTTGAAAAAAAAGACATCAAATCAGATTACTCTGTCAAATTTTGAGCCTATATGAGCTTTCCAAGTGATTTTCCTACCTTTGATGGCAAAGGATTCTGCAACTATGCGCAAACTACGCAAGAAAAGTGGCTTTTCGCTCAACGATTGTAGCTTTGCTGCATTATAATGCTGCAGAGCGGCATCATAGTATCCCATTGCATAGTTGAGCTTTCCGAGAAGAAGGTTGGCATCAAGAGACTCATCAGGTTGCTGGAAGGATAATGATCTCATAAAATGGGAAGTAGAGGAGAGAAGGCAATCAATATGTTATCTTACTTACTTTAGTGACTGCTACATTGAGGAATCGTTTCACCTCTATTAGCCCAAACCTTGCTTTGGCAACATTTGCTTCAAGAGGGGGAACTTCTTCCAAAAATGATTCTAACTTGCCTTCACCAATAAGAAAGTTGGCCAGACAATCTGAAAAAAAAAATTAAAAAAAATAAAGAACATGGTTAAATCTTGAAATTGGGAAGTAAACAAATAGAATTGTGTAGGAAGGAAATCAACCAATGTCAAAGCGTCAAAGTTAACAAATTACAAATTTATCAACAATTTGATGATTGAAAACAATACAAGCAGAAAGACTCAAAAACAAAAACGCTGACATATGCATGATATTAAAGACATAATTCCTCCAGTTAACAAAGTTGTGAGAGAACATTTTTTGCACAACTCAAGGAAAAGAAAACTTGGCAAAACATGCTGTCATGCTCACTTCTCTTAGAGGTTTATTGACAAAATGTTGGTAAGGTTATGAACCATCGATCATGAAATAGAGCATTACTCCAGGCATTTGCATTACCATGATTAGGAGACCTAGCTTTCAGTTGCTCCGCAAGTTCTATAAGTCTTTTCCAATCGGATTCTTCTCTACTCTTTTCGATTTCATTTTCAATCCTCACATTAGCCTTTCCTTTTCCTGCCATTTCTTGAACGTCAACCCAACCCCTCTCCTGTCACCACCCCCTTCGTTTTCGACCCTTCAAAATCAGCGCGCTGATCCCTGCGCGAGAGTATCAACAGCTTAACTATGAGAAATTCTGCAGAGCGCATTTTAGTTTTACTAAAAGGGCGGCCTTCCCTGCCTTTACTTCAACCCGCTACTACCTTCTATAGTTAATTGAATAACTGAAGTAAATTACAAGAGGAGGCGAGGATAGAGGGCGAAAAATCCGCAGTAAGATCAACCCGGAGGGCATACCATACAAGCCATTCCCTTTAATTAATTATGGGAGCGTGGAAGGCACGATTTTAAAAAAGGTCCCCACCCAGCCCTGTTTTTGAATAGCATTATAGCATTGTTTTGTAAGTCTGATGGTCTGCAGGTTCAGGAAATGAAAGAAAAAACAGGAGTGTAAAGCAAATAAAACTTTTATTACCTATCTCAACCTCATTTTCACACAAAAATATCACCAGTCCTTCAAGCTATATTGTCTAAACATTAAATCTATGATATACAAGAAAATAAATAATTTGACTGAATAAAGTCTGTTTGATACTGATATTGTTTCCAGTAAAATGATAAAACTTTGTACGGTGAGTAATACGTCTTTCAATAGCAAGTCGCATAAATAAAATGTAAAAATTATTAATATTAAAAAAGTTCTAATTTTTAACATAGTTAGATGATTCAAAGTTGTTACATGCCCTAGAAAAAAAAACAACACGAGTTACTACCTGTCATAGAATTACAGTTCACTGCTATCACATAGAAATAAATATCACTAATTGTTGACTACACGATGACTGTAGTTGATAATAACAAAAGGTAGACACAGTACTCTGTCACTGTTATTGCAAGATCTACACATGTACAAGATTTTTGATAAGTAGAAATCAAGGAAGTACAGAGAGAGAGAGACAGATACGATATTATCGTTTCACAGCTCTAAAAGACAAAATCCACTGGGAGGTAAAGGAACACATCAGAATGTGCATCAGGTAGTCTAGTGGGGGAAGACCAAACAAGTCTAATAAGTCTAAATAAAGTTTGTACAAGAAGAATACAGTGTGTTTGATATTGAAACCTCACAGACAGTCCCACACAAATGCACCTGCACTGTCAATTTAAGCGGTAAAATTGCTGAAGTCAGTCTTGAGCTTTATCGTTGGAGTCTGAGATGGTAGTGGCTTAACAGATGATCCGTCCACTTTAGACCTCTGCTGTGCCTGTTGACTGCTCCGTATAGCTGTTTCCAACTTGGTTTTCATCTCAGTAGAGGTCCCAATCAAACACTTGAACTCCTAAACAGGTATTGCAAGAAAAATGAAACATGAAGTGATGAGCAATAGAATACACATACAACTAAAGGAAAAAGAATTCAGCACAAACCTGAGGATACTGAGGCCCAATTTTCATGAGCCACTGAAGAGAGCGTTCATGTAAAGTTTGGCAAGGCTTGCTTGCATCCTTTAGTGCCGGACCCTCAAGAAGGAAATTTATCAATACTGGTACCAACAATGAAAGCATTTGAATACCTGTTGACACAAACAGAAAGGCAGGTTTTTAAGAGATTCAAAACAATTGGCACTGGCTTATTCTCTCCTGAAAGCATCTGAAAATTGTTCAACGCTACTTTCAATAAACATCACTTGCCTTGCATGATACCTCCTTGAAAGCAATAACAGTAAAAACAAAAACAAATGTAAAACAATGCGACATGCGAGATAAATGAATGATTGAACTGTGAGTGCTTAAGAACATGTCCACTTACGGTTTTTGGTTTCGGTTTGAGAGATCAAGGTGTCCACAGCTTGAATGCACTCCAGTATAATGGTCAATTCTACATCAGATCTTGGGGTCTTGCTTTCTTCAGAGTATAAATATTCCATTACACGAGGTGCTAACATGTTTATATAAAAGTGAGCAACATTTCGCTCAGGATGTGCAAATAAAGAGCGCAAAGTTTGCAAGCATTTTAATCGGACCTGAAAAATATAAGATACAAATGAGATGTGCTATAGGAAATACATTTAGTTTGAACAAGGAACAGGGTAGATTGAGTAGAGTACATACCATAAGATCTTGGCTTTGCATGCAGTGTCTGAATTGATTTATGCAGGGAAATAATATATTGGGAGCACATACAACTTCTACAGGAGCATGTCGAACAAAGACAGCAATTGCAAGCAGCATGGTTGCTTCATCGAGCTTTGTCTCTTCTGGACCTGCAAATTGTACAACAATTACAAAATGCATATATTCAATCAAAGCACAAGGTGAAGAACAGTAAATTACTGTTGGACTCATCTCACCTGTTTTTGCCAGATCAATGACCTTAGCCAATGCACTTATGAGTAACTTTTTCCATTCTAGCTGGGAGCGTTCGTCCTTACAATAACGGCTGGTGCACAAAGTACGCAAACACCTTAGAGCAGCAGATACAGGAGTTCCAGTTGCAACAACCGTACTGTCTGTCACATTCTTGGTGGCCCACTCTCTCATGACACCAGTTGTCAGAAACAAAACAGTTGGTAATATAGCCACAGCACCTTCAACAAAAATATTACAATCACAAAATGAACAAGCATAGTTTAAAGTAGTTTTATTATATTGAACAGCTCTTGCTTACCGTTTGGGGAGCAAAGGCCTGGCAACTCCTCCATAACATTCAAAGCGGATGCAACAAGTTGCCCACATTCAGCTGAATGAGGTTGGCCAGGCCGAGCTAAGGATACTGGTGAGACAATTGGTGTAGGATTGAGAGCGGGGAGAGCCCGAACCAACAGACACAGGCACACCTCTAAGGCAGCAAATACCAGAGATTGACCAGGTGTAATCTCACCAGAACTGCTACCCTCACCAAGCAAATCGACTTCAGCCTGAACAGTCTCTCCCTGATTGGCTGGTGCCATTTCTTTAGAAAACAAAAACATTAAAATTTGCATTTGCCAATTAGTAATTTTTGAGAATGTGCATGAATGATGAAACATACCTTTTTGTAGCTTCTTCTTTTTGGATTCCAAGCTCTCTCCAGCCGCTTTAATGACTTGCTTCAAAATGTCCATCACTACAAGTTGAGCAGGAAAACTTTCCCTCGTGAGGAGGGACCTAAAGAAGAAAACCAGTTGTGATCAGAAGCAATTTTTAAAAAGGTTTAAACTTGTGATAAATAGATAATCCAACCTGTGCAGCACATTGCAGAGTTCAATTGGTAGCAATGCATCAGCAACAAGAATTTCTCTCGCCCAATAGGAATCAAGCAGTGTGTACAGAGCCCGGAGACAAGTCAAAATACTTTCTTGTGACTCAGAAGAGCGTTGGCAGCATAATGCTTCCATACATATACCTAAAACAAATTTAAAAAACAATATTGCAGTGCAAAAATTTGACTTTGTTCGACATATTTTGATAGATAAAATAGAACTTACCAAATAAAAGGTGAAACCTATCTGATGCTGAATCAACAGAGCATTTGCCCTCATTTGTATTGTTACTGCTGTTCTTAGCATTGTTGTTGGCTTTCTGGGAGTCATTGGTTTTGTAGCCTCCAGCAGTAAGCCACAATGCTGCAGCATGGAGTATTGGAGGCCAGGATGCTGAATAATGGGGTCGGGAGGACTCGGTAGTGTCCGTAGTGTAGAATGCCCCTCCATCATGTGGAAGCTGACTTGCAAATTCTAAAGCAACAAGAACATAATAATAATACTCTTGAATTAATTTTAGTCCTACTGTAGAGAATGACATGTCAACTACTTGCCAGGAGGAAGTGAAAGAAGAGCATGGTCGCGCAGTGCTGCTAACCAATGCCGCGACAGACTAACCAACTCAGGCTGAACCAAAGTGAGCAAACTTTCGCCTTGTGATTTAAATTCACCAAAGTCACTATCTTCCTCTTCCTCAGCGTCTGACTTTCCTTTCAGTCTGGACTGGTCAGAAGAACTTACATTTCCCACCATGGCAACAATATACACCTGAGCAGACACATTTAAGATTAATGACTGTGATGTTATTTGCTTCATATTTATTTATCAAGTTAAGAAGAACAGACTCACTTCTGCCCAAGCCTTCAAAATAGCAAGTCTTTCAAGAGTTGCCAGACTTTCATTGTAAAGCTTTCCACTGTTTGAGCCTTTGTGCAATTTTGTGAGAGATGAAACAAGCAACTGATGAACACGACGCAGATCATTCAGGTCTCGAGCCACTCCACTTCCTATCCATGCACTACAAACTTGGCAAGCCATTGCAGTCACATGCGATGGTGTCTCTGGAGAAAAAGCTGGTCGAAGAGCTGCTCCAACCTGCAACACAAATTGGACTCATAAGCAAATATACACTTTTTGTATTGTGAGAACAGAGACATTTTCCATTAACTTACTTGAGCCTGGAATTGCTCCAATAAAAGATGTCCAGGGAATTCAGGTTCAGGAACAGAGGCAAACTTATCAATAACTTCCTGAAGGGTCTTTAGACCTTCCAAGCGTAGAGGGTCTGAATCACTGGTGGCAGCCATGAACGCCATCCGAACAAGGTCAGAGAGATGCAACACCAAATAGTCCCCTAAAAGGAAAAAAGAAGATAAGAAAAACACACACAAACTTAATTATTGCTACTTCTTGTAACACCAATCATATATATCAACAAAAAAGTGGGAGGGAGGGAGAGAGAGAGAGAGGAGAGAGAGAGAGAAAGGTGGTTTCGCAAAGGCCCTACCCCTGCTCTTGGTGAACTGCTGCTCCTTGGCCAGGGCGAGGTCGAAGTGTGCGGTGCGTGCGCCGTGACACGCCATGATGATTCTGCGGACGCACTCCGCAGCGAACACCCTCGTCGGCCAGCGGGGCTGCACCGTCAGGTGTGACTGCTCCTCCGCGGCGTGGAACTCCTCCTGGTCGTCGTCCTCGTCCTCATCCTCTCCACGGTCACCGTCCGCAGCCTCGCTCGACCCACCCAGCGAAACACCTCCGGTGGGGTCTTCTAAACCTCCACTTGAATCTGCCAATTCATTTTTTTTACATTCAATGCTGGCAGACAAATTATTAAAAGAACCAGTAAAGACAAAAAAATAATTACATACCAGTTGAAACGGTGAGGACATCCTTGCACAAGCCCAACCACTGGCTGAGGTTATCTGCAGCCAGCATCTGAAGCATACTTGTCAAAGTATCGTGGATGTCTTTCATGAGGCGGGCATCAGTTTCCGTATCCAGCATACTGAAAAGCACCCCAGGGAGGCCGCTTTCAGTTATCACAAGGCCCTCGACAGTGTTGGCGTCTCTGCTCTCACTAGCCAGTGTCATGGCATGTTCACACACTTCTCTTGCCTCCCTCTGAGCCAGCTGACGTAAGCAAGATATGGCTGCCTTACGCAGAAGAAGGTGGTTGCTAGATAAGGTACGCTGAAAAGATGAAAGTAAAATCTTGTTTAAGCACCAAAAGCCTTTTTACAAACAATACACCAACATATGATACTTACACATAGAGTGGGCACTAAAGACGACAAATTTACATGTCTTGGAGCAAACAAATGAAGTTGCTGCAAGCATCCAGTGGCTTCAGCCTGAACAAGAGGGTCCTGGTGGTCCTGCATGATAGCACATGCACACAAGAAAGAAGAACGGGCCATGCAAATAGAGGTAGTGTTCCCTGCAAGAAATAGAATAATGAAACAAATTTAAGCTCCAGTCCACTTTTAGGCAAAGGCAAGTGAATGAAGACAAACAGCTCCTTGCCTTGAAGCTCAGGTCCAACGGTTGTAATTAATGCTGACAAAACCTTGCCAATGCACTGATGGACATCAACATGAGACTGAGGCACATTTAAGAGTAATTTTAGAGCCAATGATAATGTTGGCTCAACATATCCTCTAAACATAGGGCCTCCAGAGTCAGCTATTAATGCAAGGGCATGTAACGACCACACCTAGAAAGACCATAATACAAGTTGCAAATTAGAATGTCACTTTTTTTTTTAAGACGCTCAAATCAGTCACAAAATTAAGAGCACTTACTTGGACTACCGGTGAAGTTGAATCCTGTGCCAAAGCAAGCAAAATGCTCACACTTGTGTTCAAATGCTGACTTGAACCCATACCACCCACATAACGGTGTAAACATCCCAGGGCAAGAGAGTGACCTGTGCGGCTAGCAACATCACGGGCAGACTTGAGGCGGTCAAAGCTAGTCTGCGCTAATTCAGCAGTGAAGCGGGGATCGCCGACGACCTGTGCCATGCGACCAAGAGACTCACCAGCAGCACACCTTAATATTGGGTTGCCACTTGTAAGAGAACTCTGAAACAATTTAAAATGAAACTTAAAAATGTGATACAAGACAAGAAAATGAAACACTTCAAAAAAGTACACCATTTACATACAATTATCAAATTGGTTGCAGCCTTCCTAACATCTTCCTGTCCAAAACTACTCTTGGTTTCTGCCAAACCTCTAAGGCCACTCAAAACAGCCGTAAACACATTCATTTGCACTGCTTCCTGACGGACTGACTTTGCATGCTTGAGACATTCCGAAAAATGATCCAGCATCTGGAGGCGGTGTTTGTTTGCCACTCTTGGGAAGATTTGTCCAAACAAGGCCACTGATTGGTCAATCACTGCCACCCCCAAGGGAAGAGGACCCGGAACAAACTCACCCTGGGCAAGAAAAATTAATATCTCCAGCTGTAGCAAAATCCTCTTTGTAAAATAAAATTAATAGAATATTCGTTAAGGCACTATACTCACGCTGAGAAGTGGTCGATACAGACAGCATGAGTCATGTTCTAGAGCACCAGATCCTGCAGCACTGTTTGGCTGGAGCTAGAATGGTCCAACATATAGGTCAGTTTAGTCAAGGTAAGTACACACGTTGATTACAATAGGTTTCAAGAAACAAGCCAAAAAACAAATCAAAAATAGCCAGGGAAAAATGCATTCATTACTGAGGGTAAAAGACATCATAAGCATGACAATCAACATAAAGAAATCCTAAGCAACAAGGCAAAAGAATGGGAATGAATAAATGAAACATTCATCACAGTGTACTGCCCAAAAAAAATGCACTAAAGCTATAATTCTAGGTAATAACTGATTGGTAAAGTTACGCCAAAAATATACCAAGTGGGGATATAAAAAACAGCCAGAAAAATAATCAAGCAACCAAAATGCAAATAAAAAGTAACTTTTTTTAAATTAAGAAACATAAAATAAGAGTAAGAAAAAAAAAAGAGAAACAAACATAAAAATTGAAAACGAATTTTGACCATAAGTCTTCAATGCATCCACACTTACATGCTCCCCATCTGCCCTGCGATTTGGCTCCATCTAGACAAAGCATGAACATATGCCTCATGAATATATGTGCTCCTAATGAGAGTGGCCAATCGTATGGCCTTCTTGATGATCCCCTTGAGGTTAACCCCCCACCCCACAAGGACGCATAATGAGAGGTGGGAAACATCACGAACAGAGTACCCTCACCGACCACATAGAAAACACAAAGAGCATTTAACTCACCTGATCCTCAATAGTACGGTGATCAGTTTCTTGGAGCCAGGTTCCAAGAATTACTGAGTCATCTGCATGGCAAACAGCTCGCAGTAATGAGGTAGTTGTATTAGCAGGATTTTCTGTTAGTGTAAACTCTGCGACCAGCATTCTTAGGAGATGAGTGTAAGAGCCTAAAAACAAACAGATTTTTTAAAAAAATTGTGGGAAAAGACAATTTTAAGTTTGATAACTTAGTTTAACATACCTTCAAAGGCTTGAGGAGGCAGTAGAGCAAGAGTCTCATACAAACGAAGCCTCACCATGGCTGAGGGAGCTTTCAGATGCTGACCGTAAGTCTTCAAAACATTTGATATACTGTAATATATTTTAGAATAGAAAATCAGTATTTGACAGGACGGTATATTTCAGGGATGCAACTAATATGAAGCACGGAACATACTTTGTCAACATAGCAAGAGCAGATTCTATTGGTGTCAGCAGACGTCTTATGATATCATCGGTCACTAACTCTGGACAATTTTGAACAAAGCTGTGCATTGCTGAGAGAGCACCAGCACGTCCTTCCAAAGTTACCTGCAAGAAATAACATTATGAAAATTTTTGAAACAGTTATAAAAGCAGACCTTAAGATTTGGACCAAAATTAAGAAGAAAATTACCTGCCAAGTGAAAGCATCACCTCGAGCTTTCTCAGATTCCAATTCTTTATTTGACCTTGGGAAGGAGTTTCTCCACAGAAGTAGCATGCGTGGAAGAAGCCCACGGACAACAGGGACACCTTAAATTTTAAAAAAGAAAAAGAAATAAATTTAAATGGAAGGAGGAGTTTTTAACTTCTCAAAATTAAAGCAATGTATACCGACCGAGCGTCATAATGGCTCCGATTAGTAGCCAGCCAGCCTGAGTTCGATTCAGAGATAGGCGGCTATTCTGACTTGCACTGCGGAGCAGCTCTTCTGCTGTGTTGAAAATAACTTTTCCCTTTGTATGGGGTACACCAAGAGGCGAAAGTCTAACGCCACCCAACACTGCCGCAAGAGCAGCACTGTAACCCCCAATAGCTTCTGGAGAAGTCCTCATATTCTCAATGCCTTCTACACATTTGTCAATGAGAGGTGTGATTTGACTTGGAACTGCCACACAAATGCAGCGCAGAGACCAAGCGGCAGCCAGTCTGGCAGCTTGACAAGGGTGTACCAAAACTGCCATATTAGCATCCACCAGGTTGAGTGACTGATCAGTCAATAAAATGCTGGCTGTAGTCCCTAGGCCTAGCACTAAGGCCCCAATCTCTTGGAGAGCGCACACAAGAAGGTGCTGTCCAAACAATGTTTCTTGATTGCAGTCTTTGGCATTTTCTGGGTTGAAGTCAATAGAATTCATTTGCTTAACAATAATTTGTGCTATTTCCTTTGCTGCCGATGCCTGAGCTTTTTCTCCAAGCATGCGGCCGAGAACCGACCTCAGAATAAAGCTAATGCACTTTCGAGAATAGACAGCATCCACATGAGAAGATGCGGCTTTGGGATTCGCAACCAGATCAAGCACATGGCTCAGAAATATTCCTAGATTGCGCTCCAGCCAAGTTCCACCCAAAATTTGAACAAATATCACATATGCATGGGTGACACCTACTCTGACTTCTCTGTTAACCCCAGAACTACCCTTAATCATTTCACCAGTTCCTTTCAAAAATCCAGTGCCTCCCCGTAGAAAACCAGTCATCAACACTCCAAGAGCTTCATCAAGGGAGATTGATTTAACAGCTTTGTTGGATTGTGCTGGAAAGAAAACATGTAAATTAAGTTTCATTTTCATGCAGATATTCAAAACAAATGGTTGCCGATGAATTTGTACCTGACTGGTTACCCTTCTGAGGCTGCTGAGTGGTAGCCACAAGTGCTCCGAGTAATTTTGCAACAGCACATCGGACTTCATAGTTGGACCCATCAAAAGCACGAAAGCAGAGTGTGGCCAGACTTTCCAGTTCGGTCAGGTAGAGGAAAGGAGCATGGTTTAGCATCTCAAGCAAGCACTGAAAAACAAACCCAACAATTTTTAAAAATGAATGGTCGTACAGAAAATAGACAAACACAGCATTTTTAAGAAATGAAATAATGAAGAAATAATTACTTTTGCAGCAGCACAGCGCACTGCCATCACCCTATCAGTCAAACAAAGCTTTGCTGCTTTGTATATTTCTTTGTGCACATTGGAAATAGCAGTTCCCATACCACAGCAAACCTAACATATTGAAAAACAATCAATAAGGTGAGATAATTTTATTGCTAATAGATAATAATAATTTTAAAAAAATGAGTAAGGCTCATTTATTGACAAACCTTCTCCAGAGTAATCATTATTTCAATACGAGTTTGAGATTCTGCATTGCGTAGAGACTTTACAAGAATCTGCACTGTTTCCTCGTATGATCGCCCCATCATTCGTCCAAGTTTTTCATACATGTAGCCCACGCAGCAAATAGCAGCTCTAGATTGAATATTAAAATATACAAAAATATTAAGGGAAGTTGGAAGAATACCCCACAAAGACAAAACGAAACAGAACTCACAGTCTGGTGGGAAGAAAGCTTGGAGAGTCATCTTTGTTCTTGAGAATGTCGTTGCATTTGTTGACCGTATCAAACAGCAGGAAGGTGTCTCCCACACTGAACAGCGTGGCCAGACAGCGGCCAATCAGCTTCCTTGTCGGAGGACCGGGGCATTCCTGAACATGCTGTGTCAGCTGCTCCACCAGCTTCTTCTGGCACCCCTTGATGTCCGACTGCAACAGAAACAAAACTCGCGTTTCATTCCCCGAGGGAGTCGTGCCGGGCCTTAAGGCCTGGCCGTGCCCAGGTGTTCTGCCGTCCGTCCTTGATGTGAAAAGCACCGCCACCACCAAAACAAAGCAAATAAAAATCGAGGGGAAAAATAAATTGAATGATTGAAAAAAAAGGAAGAAACCAAATCACGAGCAGTTTCTCTTGGGATTTGAACCCGCATTCTTTACCTTTGCAAACCCCGCGTCAGTATTGCAGACCAAGCCGTCTGACTGTAACAACAGATGCAAAAAAATAAGCAAAAAAGAAAGAAAAAAACGCAAAAGAAAACTAAAACCCGCGTTCAAACTGCGTTGCAAAGCGCCAAATAAGAGCCAATTAGTCACAGTCACGAACGCAATAAGAGGCGACAAATCAAATAAATAAATAAATACCAGGAGCTGAATGATAGAAAAACTAGCGCTACTGAGGACGCACTGCGGGTGCAACGGCGCCTGTGAATCACTGCATAGGCCTGCCGCAAGACACGCCTGCGTCGAGGCTGGGAGGTTGCCTACACTGCCTCACCATCCCGGCAATTCCCCCCCCCCCCCCCCGCCCGGCTTGTGGCTTCCTTGCGTAAATAAGTAACGGAGACACAATTCCGCGCATCGAGATGGACAAGGAGCATGGAGACCGCAGACAGGATTTCCCCTGCCGCTCATCGGAGACCCCCCACCCCCTCCCCTTCCCTCTGGCGGGGAAGTCACCGCCTCCGCGGCGTTGAGCCATGGCGGAGCGCACAGCCTGGCCACGGCCTGGCACAGCCCACACCGACATGTAGCGGCGCGGCGCGGGGCACCACTTTCCTGCTCAAATATTAACGAGATTAACAGTGGCGTGGCGTGGCGTGGCGGGCACCGCCCGGACCGATTCCAGTCGGGCTGCCGTGAATAATCCACAAAGCTAAAAAGCTTCCAAGATGGACCGATATGGACGAGGGAGGGATACAGACATCCCACGTCACGACGCGTCGCGAGGACGGGAGGAGAGGGGAAGGCTCACTTTCAATAATTTCTTTGTGTTTAAATAGTAATCGAGTTGGTCACTTTTTTCCTTTTCGACAAAAAAAGAAAGGGTCAGTTTCGTTTGTTTCGAGATTCACCGAGTGGCGAGTGGCAGAGTCGCGCAGAGAGACCCACTCTGGCCCCTGAATCCCTGAATTACGCAGCGAGAGACGACACCGTAACAGTTCGCTGCAGAATTCATTGAAAAGAGAGAGAGGCGAAAAAGCAACGACAAGGAAAGAAGAAACGGCTTTGGCGGACGTCCGATGAAATTCGCATCAGGTGGGGGAAAAGATACGTGCAGCGCGCCAGCGGCCACTGCAGGTCGGAATGGGGCCGGGCGCGGTGGGGCGGAGCGGCGCGGGGGGAGGTCTCTTTGCAACCAGAGGGGGTTGGCAGGTCAAGGAAGAAAATAGTCCGCGAAAATACGGCTAATCGAAAAAGAAAAGGCGATTGAAATCTAAAGCAACACGCTCTCCGATTAAAAACAAAAAACAACAACAAAGAAAGGCCTCGTCAAACATGCTGGACCAACCTTCTGCGCCGCGACGAGGACCTTGTCCAGGAAGCGGAGCCACTCGAAGACGAAGACGGGCCGCTTGGCTTCGGGGATCTGCTTCAGGGCCTCCTCGTTCAGGGTCAGGCTGTGGCTCAGCTCCATCATGGCGGCGGCCACAGCGTCCGACCTGGCAGGAGAAAAACCAACCACCAATTAATACACCATTATACCAATATTTGAAACCCAACGTCCCGGTCCCGGGCACCGCCAAGCCCTTTACAAATGGACGTCGGTCGCGGCGAAGCACCTGCCTGTCTCCGGGAGAGTGGGTGTGTCTGAGGGACGCGACCAACGACTCTAAAGGGCCTAACGGGGGCCTAACCGAAGCCTAACGGGGGCCTAAAGGCACATCGGTGCGTCTCGGAGTCTGGGGCGCTGCCCGCCGTGGCCGGCACTATTCTTCACCTGCACAACAACATCCAACATGTGTCTTTGTCAAGCGCACGGACTTATGGGCCCCTCAGCGCCCCGCCCCGCCCAGCTCCCCAGACGCGGTGCGGCGGCGTCAACACGTCCAGGACCGCCCTGGGCCGGGCCTAGCCGGGCCGGGGCAGGCTGGCCCGGCACGCCCTAGCACGCCCCACCCAGACTGTACAGCACCGCGGTCCAATTTGTCGGCGGGCAGGCGGAGCGGGGTTCCCGCGTCGCTCTGTCTCTCTCGCACGCAGGGGACGCGCCGTGACGGCGAGAGAGACAGAGAGAGAGCGCCTCCGGAATCGGCGTGCAGCCTTTAAAGGCGCGGCGGGATTGGGGTATTCGGGTGTTCGCGAGGCGCGGCGCGGCGGGTAGCCACTAAAGCCCCTCGGCCGCAGCCAGGAAGGGTCGGCGGTCTGCGAGGCGGTCTGCGAGGCTGCGAGGCTGTGGGTATGAGTAGGGACGGACACCAATAACTTGGCAGAGAGCAGGGCCATAAATTAGACGACACGGGGGAGGCGACGGAGGCCAAGGCGGAGGCCCGCGGGACGAGCAGGGGAGGCTTTTGCTCGGGTCCGTCTTCACCTTGCCGAGGAGGCGAACTCGCGAAAAATAAAAACCAGCTCCAGTATTCGAACTTCGAACCCGGGGCCTCGCCGCCCTTCCCCCAGCATCCTCGATAGCGGCCCTCGCGCTTCCATGCTCACGCCAAAATGATCTCAAAACTTTTCGCCTTTGTAAACTTTTCTATCGGTCGATCGAAGGCCGACCCTAAGAGCACACACACTAAGTACTTATCGACAGCGCGCGCGTGTGTGTGTGTTTGTGTTCAAGGCGCCACATCCAAGACCGCCAGGAAGAGCCTACCCTTTTAAAAATTCACGCCGCATTAGCCCGGCCGCGAGATTAAGTTTGCCAAAGTGGCATTTCCGGCCTAACCTATCCGCCGCAAAATTATACAATACCCCGCTGATAGTGTGTGCGTGGGGTGGGGGCGGCTGGCGGGCCAAATGTAGTCGGGGAGGTTGGGGGGGGGGGCGTTATTACTTCTCACCTCAGCCGCGACCCACATCTCCCTCCCCTACTTCGACTCCATCCGCGAGTACACAAATTTCCAAGCACTCTGCTCCTCCACCCCCTCCCTTCCCCGAGCCACGAGGGAGTGCAACCTTTCCGAAAATGGCGGGCAGCAGGCTCATTCCGAAGGGGAGGTCCCCGTCGGCCAGTCTCTCTCAGACCTATGCGGGACGCCCCATGAGTGCGAGAGAGAGAGAGACCTCCCTCTCGGAATCAGCTTGCAGCGGCGGCGCCGCAAGTTCGGCGACGACCTTTCGACGGCGCGGACAGGACGGCGACGACGAGGACGACGGCGGCGAGGGTCACGGCCGTGGTGCGGCAATCAGCAGCAAGGAGACGAAGCCCAGGAGGCGCGAGTCGAGTGAGGACCCGCAACGCGCGCACGGCGTGGATGGGCAGGGCCAGGGTCTCACGGCGTAGCACAGTGGGCCAGAAGACCGGTGGAGGCGGCCAAAACTCTAGACGCGTTTTGAGCTCCAGAGTCGCTAAACAGGACTCGAAGCGAGCATGTGACCCCATCGATGGATTGCTCGTTCGGAGAGCAATCCATTGTTGGGGTCACACGTTCGGTTCGAGTCCCATTTAGCGACTCTGGAGCTCAAAACGCGTCTAGAGTTTTGGCCTCCTCCATCGGTCTTCTGGCCCACTGTGAGTAGCGCGGCGCAGCGCGTAGCGACCAGAGGGGAGGGGCGGGGACTTTGTTTCACGGATACGCTGTAACGGCGAATCCAAAGCCCGGCTGTCACACCCGCCGCACCGCGTGGGCCCGGCTGGGCCTGGGCCCTGAGTGTGGATACTAGGGGCGGGGCAGGGAAGGGGAGGTTTGCCGACTGCCGCTCCTCTCGTCGACGGGGTTCGCCGCAGCCCTTTTTGGCGCAAGGAGAGCCTACACTACACGGCGGACAGTGGGTCAGGAGACCGGTGGAGGCGGCCAAAACTCTAGACGCGTTTTGAGCTCCAGAGTCGCTAAATGGGACTCGTACCGAACGTTTGACCCCACCATTGGATTGCTCTCCGAACGAGGAATCCATTGGTAGGGTCATATGCTCGGTTCGAGCCCTGTTTAGCGACTCTGGAGCTCAAAACGCGTCTAGAGTTTTGGCCGCCTCCACCGGTTTTCTGGCCCACTGTGCGGCGCACCGATACGAGCAAGAGGCCCAACAGCCACCCCATGGACGCCTCGCACCCTGGCTGAGGCCCTGGCTGAGGCCCTGGCTGAGGCCCTGGATGAGGCCTGGCTGAGGCCCTGGCCACGCCGACGATGGCCGCCCTGACATTTGGTCGTTGACAACGTGTACCGCCGTAAAGGTTACTGTGTCGCCGCGGCGCCGCGTCGGGGCCATGGATGGCGCAGGGCGGGCAGGGGTGAACGGCGCCCTACCCTGGCATCCCTACACTGCCATCGCAAATAAACTTCACGAAAAAAAATCTGAATAATTCAAGAAGGGTGAGCTAGGTTTAACCAGCACGTTAACAGCTAACCAGAGGGCCGGCACGCCGCGTGACAACCAAGTCGTCCAAGTTTGCTCGCGGATTCGATTCCCGGCAGACTACCCCTCCCCCTCTCCGCGGCGGCGCCGCTCCAGCCGGCTCAAATGACTCATGGGTCGTACATCGAGTGACGTCACCCTTTTCGGCCAGATTTGGCCGTTCGGCTTTCCGGGTGTTTATTCGGGCTGAGGCGTTCGTTAAACGCGGCGCCGACACGTCCGACAGCGGCGGCAGCCCGGTCATGAATATTGATGTCAGCGGTAACCAGAGGGCGAAAAAAGGGGCTGAAAAAGTGAACGCTCCACAGTGGGCCGGAAGACCGGTGGAGGCGGCCAAAACTCTAGAGGCGTCTTGAGCTCCAGAGTCGCTAAACAGGACTCGAGCAGAGCGTGTGACCCCACCAATGGATTCCTCGTTCGTAGAGCAATCGATTGGTGGGGTCACACGTTCTGTTCGAGTCCCAATTAGCGACTCTGGAGCTCAAAACGCGTTCAGAGTTTTGGCCGCCTCCACTGGTCTTCTGGCCCACTGTGACACGGTAGCGCCTGCGTGAGAGAGGGCGGGCCAGCCCGGACGGCGGCGATGCTCACCGGGTTGCCTACCGTCGCGCGATCGGGCGCTAGAGGCCTCCCGAAGGACCCGAAGCCCGAAGGGACAGTGGAGTGGAGAGCTTTAGCCGCTTTAGCGGACGCTAGGCTCGACTTGGCGCACCAATCCCAAGGATCGTTTCGTCCCTCTGCCTCTCTCGCACCCCGACGGCACGACCATTGAGTGCGACCGAGACAGAGCACCAGTTAGTCTGCAGGGGGCACCAGTCCCGTCATTTATCCCTGAGTGAGCGATCCCCCCGTCGTGCTGCGCGCTTTGCCGAGCAGACATGTCAACGTTAGCAGATTTTCTTTTCCATGGCATGGCCACTTACTAGAGAGTCTCTCTACCTCGCACTCGCAACGAGACGGGCTCACAGTGGGCCAGAAGACCGGTGGAGGCGGTCAAAATTCCGGACGGGTTTCGAACTCCAGAGTCGTTAAATGGGACTCATCAGTAATCTAGACCACTAGTGAGTATACTCACTAATACCGTTAAAATTGAGAAATTCCGGTCCGACCGATTGAATCCCAGTATCTCATTCAAAATCAGTGCGGACGTTCAAGTTCAAAAGCTACGGTTGGCGCCACGCCACCTACCGACGGCCGTCGGCGTGCTGGCGGTACCGCGCCGGGATCCTGGACGGCGAGCCGCACTCCGCCGCCGCGTCCGCCGCCACCACGTTCATGTTCAAGTCCACGTTCATGGCGACCGCGCCGTCCCCGCTACATGACACTCGCGTTGGCGCTCACGTCCGCGTGCGCACTGCGCCCCGCACTAGTCCGTCCGCGCGCTGTGTGCGCTGCGTGCGCTGCGTGCGCTCCAGACCCCAGCGCCCTGCTGCGCCCTGCTGCGCCGCGCCCACACTACTGGAGCGGTATCAGTCGCCAGCCTGAGTCGCGGCCTAGAGGGCCGCCACGGCGCACGCGGCACTTGCAGTGCGCAGCCATGGCTAGCCATGGCGCAGCCCGCACCGGCTGGGGAGGGGAGGGGGAGGGCGTCCTTCTAGAACCGCAGATAGCATCCAGCAACACTTCTCTGCCCGGGTGCAAACATTGACGCCTCGCCTTGTCCGGGGCCAACGGCCAGCAAGCGGAGCAAGCGGCCACCGCAAAGAGATAGCCGCAGCTTCCGCGCCAAAACGATCGCCACGGACTTTTGCAGCGAGTGTTGGACGAGTTGCCTGCGGTTGCCTACCGCGCCGGGCCGGGCCGCGTCGCGGTGGGCATTCCCTTCTGGTTGCCCTGTTGCCTGTTGGCGGCAGTGGTATAAATTTGCCACCGCCGTGACAAACTGGCACCCTTCCCCCTCCGAGGGAAATCCCAGGGAGAAGCGTGCCCGGCGATTCACCGCGGTCTCGCTCGCGCCGCTAAGGGACGCCCCTTGAGTGCGACGGAGACCGAGCGACGAAACCAAAGCGGGTCTTCGCAACCAGCCTGCTGCTGAGGTGAGAAACAAAGGAGTCCCCCGGGCCGGCCCGCCCTGGGCCCGCCGAGCCTGGCCGAGCCTGGCCAAGCCCACCAGTGTCCGGCACGGACGGGCACGGAGCAGCGGGCGAGGCGAGACCAGGCCTCCAGGCGCCTCCTGGCTCTGCAGGTGGTCCGGAGCAGAGGTGGGTGGCTGAGGGTGGCGGGGTGGGTGGGGTGGGTTGCGGCGTGGGGGTGGGTGGCGGCCGGGTGGTGGGTGGAGGTTCGGGGCAGGGCTCAACTCCCTTGGCGCCTTGGGCAGGTCTGGGCTCCGAGTCTCCGAGCGGTGAGGGATCGTCCCGGTGTGAGCACATCTCTTGCTTTTCTATAACGCCATGCCTGCAGGCCTGGCCATGCCCCGCTGCCACCAGCCCCGTCAGCTAGCTCTCCTGCCCTCTAGCATCCTCGGACTCCCCCTTCCCTTTCCTTTTCCTCTTTTTTTCTTCTTGTAATCAACTAAAGGCCGATCCTTTACTTTAATGGATACGTTTAGCGACCAATGCTTTTTCAATACTAAGGCAAATGGGGAACCCCTATTTAACAGGATTGGCTACAAGGAACTTCCTCATTACATTGCCAGGAAAAGTACACCCCAAACCACCACAAAATCAATTTTAAAAGTAACTAGACTCTGTAAGACACATAATGAGGGTTGTGACAGCAACGTAAGTTACATTTGTCAAATGTCCTCTAGAGCTTTGGTGCTGACATATGTCAGCGGATTCTATACTTCCCTTTTATCATTATTTTTTGCATACTACATCGTATAACAGTACCTCAGGATAGTCATTTTTCCATTGATAAGATTACGTAAATTACATAAACAACCCTTACATTATCGGTACACAACTTTGATGCCATATGGGGCCTACAGGTGCGATGAAACAGCACATCATATCAGACAAAAATCAGCTCAATAACCCCAGTTAGAAGAGCCATGCACTAGTACCAGGCTCAGAGAGTCCTCTGCAGATAAATTACATACAAATACTCGACCATAACCTCTTACAAATGACCACTGACACGAACTGAAATCTCCGAAGGTTTGAAACGAGGTTCGGAACACGGTTTCGCTGGGTTCTATGACCAAAGCTGGGTAGGGAGAGACAAATCAATCACACTCACCAGCGGGGAAGGCAAAGTTTGTGATGGCAGTTCGGTAAAAGTAGTCTGCTACCCTGTTTTGACGTAAGGAAAGTAGGCTAGCGATGGACCAAACCCGCCCAATCTATACCGAAAACGCAGCATTTTCGACAGTGAAGAGGACTTACCTCTGGCTAGTTGAAACGTAGACTCTGAAAGGATGTCGTGGGCCTCAAATCACTTAAAAAGCATGGAAAGAACAAATTTGTACAACGAAAAACACTCCTTCATTTCTCAGTAACTAGCTCAAATTTGCCTTCATGAATGATACACCGCCTTTGATTAATGACGTCACGAAGCAGAAGAGCTGAGAGCTAGGTTAGGATTCGGATTGCGTTTCGCTCGGTTTGCCAACGCACCGCACACATTGCCTTTGACTTCTGCTTGCTTCTGTAAACACCGCACTTATGTTTGACAACCACAAAGTAAAACCGAAGTCTTTTTCTGTTTATTTCCGATAGGTATTGTCTTTTTTACAGGAGCTGGTTATACCCGTCACCTTTTGTCACTGTCAGTGGATATACTTCCACTTCGAAAGGTTTGCCGTAAGTTGGCGTGATTTCAAATCCTAGGTATGCAATATTTACGTTTCTCCACATTTCCGATCGAGACTAGAAATTTTCAGTACCACGTCATCCACAACCGTTTCGCTCTGTTTGGTTTGTAAATGCCATAGGTTGCTATGTGGGTGTTTGGATATGGATCACTTGTGTGGAAAGTCGGATTTCCTTATCGACGAAAACTCAATGGTTATATCATGGGTTATGTCAGACGGTTTTATCAGTCCAGTGAAGACCACAGGGGAGTTCCTGGAAAGGTAAATTTGATCCTTTTTTACTTTTGTTTAATCCACTGTTCATTTACTGACTTGTCAGTAATTTCAATGATTAAATCTGTACTTGTTTGTGTCTGTTTGTGACGTCTGTCACTATAGCATTATTGCTTAAAAATTCATTCTCAATGTCTTTACAGCCAGGATTAGTTGTAACACTTCTTCCTTCATCAAATCCAAAAGTAAGGAGTTTTTCGTCATTAGTCTTTTTAATTTAAGAAATTGTATTGAGGACATGTTTCAACTTCACATTGTTCAGGATCGTGTGTGGGGTGTTGCATACGAAATAGCCAAGGAAGATGAAGAAATGGTGACAGTTCAACTTGACCACAGAGAAAAGGATGGATACAACAAGATATTAGTCACATTTTGCCCTGCCAACAATCTTCTGACTGACTGTGAAAACAATAAATCTGGTAAGATTGGTGTCCTATAAGTCATTTAATTCAGGAATGTGTATCAGTGAGTATCATGAAATAATCTTGGTTGTATATTTCTAGGCAATCTTGACCCCTTTGAACTGGTTATTTATGTTGGTCTTGACACAAACCCTTGGTTCTGTGGACCTCTCAGCACAGAAGAAATGGCTCGCCGCATTGTCAATGCCCGAGGAAAAAGTGGTTCTAATCAAGAATATCTCTACAATCTAGCAAATTCAATGAGGGATATTGCTCCAGATGAAGAAGATGAACATTTGTTTTCTTTAGAAGCTGCAGTCCAGGAGCTTGAATGCGTGCCCCAGAGCACAGACACATTTTCGAGAAATTCCGCCTAGTCTTTATCTTTGCGTGGGGTCTGACTTTGATTTTGAGCTTGCTTTCTGGAATACTGTGTCTCATTTTACTTTATTTATTGTGATGTGACCAGGCTTAAATTCACAAATTGAAAGGCTGTACCGTCCAGAATTTTATTTTGTATTTCCAACATTTTAAATAAGTTACTGACTAATTTTATTCATAATCAGACTGCAAATTGTTATTTTCTAAATTGAACATTCCTTAAATTCTAATCTTCATTTTTTTAAATGAGAACTTTTAATTTATTTATTGGGGGACTTGCTTTAAACTGCAAAGTGTACGAAATGGCAGACTGAGACCATTGACTAGTCAAAGTTCTCAAAGTGAAGACACATTTTATCATATACTCGGATTTTTGCTGTGATATTGTTCTTAAGAATAAACTTGTGAATACAATAATTAGCCCCGATGGTCATGACTTTCATTCCACTCCATGATGCATCAGAGAACGATGGACTTCCCTCTCCTGGCTTTTAAACTCGAAACGAAGCGTATGAGACTTGGAGAGCTCCCTCCCCGCGACACCCTGCCGGCCTGCCCCACCCTTTGTCTACGCGTGGACCTGTCCGCGCCGCGTCTCCGTCGCGCCGCCACCCTCGCAGCGAGTGGGAGAGAGAGAGAAAGCGCGGAGGGGATCAATACTCTCATCCGGTGGTCCTGGCGCTGGGCGCTGCTGCCCCGCCCCGCCCCGCCCCGCGCCGCGACTCGGTGCTGGCTTGCTGCTTGCTGGCAGGGCGGCAGGGCCCGAGGGCGCACGGCTGGCAGGCTGGCACGGCGCACCACCCCTTTGCCTCGGCCCGTCTGACAGCCCCACGGCCAGACCGCCTGCACTTCTGCATGCCGTCGGCCTAGCGACCCCCACGGCAGCCCCGACTTCGGTTTCTTCGACGCTCCCATGGTCAAGATCAGCATGCCCGACACGTCGACTTCTGCGGAAAACGCAGGTAGGCACTCGCGCAGATCGCAGCGTTCAGCCTGGTTCAGCCGTCTCGGGGTAAGCCTCTGGGGCGGAGCGAGGATCGATGCGCGAAGCTGGCGAAGCGAAGGGAGATGAAAGGTTAGCGACGTTCCCCTGAGTTGGCGAGCCATTTTTGTAGCTTCGCCACTGAATGGTCTCGCATTGCCTTGTTCGGTGAGAGACGCTCCCAGCGAACGTGTTCGGTCCAACAACTCGCCACGTAATGCCGCGGTCTGAAGTCTGAAGCCTCTGTCATGCTGTGCAGACTGATTCTAAGAGACATTTCTCCTTCTCTTTTGCACCTGGACGGAACGTCTCATGAGTGCGAGAAAGACAGAGCGACAAAAACGGCTCGGACTCAGTCTGCTGTTCGCGCCCGGCCGCGCGCGCCTGAGAGGCAGGCAGCCCAACGGACACCTGGTCCTCCCCCGCGCTGCAGCGGCAGACTGATCCCGACAGTCATTTTCGTCCTTCCACCTATCTCGCACCCATAGAGAACGCCCCCAGAGCGATGAAAATGAAAACGACTCTCGGAATCAGTCTGGAGGGCGGCAGCGCCGTCGGCGTTCCCATCCCAACGTGCTAAACGTGTTTCTGTTCCTGCTGACAGAGTGGACCGCGGAGGACAGGCGTGCGGTCAAGGAGCTGCGCGACCACCTGCGGCAGATGCGCGAGGTGATGGACGACAGCGAGTACGCCGAGGTGCTGGCGGCCATGGCCAACACGCCGCCGGGGAAGAAGCCGCGCGTGCCCAACAGGGCCAGCGTCATCGACGGCAGCTTCATGAGCTTCGTCTTCATCTTCGTGTTCACCGTCATCTGCTTCGTCAGCTACTACGCGTTCCAGAACCTGTACCACGCCATCCTCAAGAAGTTCCCCACGGTGCAACACACCGAGCTGTAGGCTGTCGCAAGTTTCTCTTTATCCAAATTTTCTAAAAAAAGAAAAAAATGTTATGTGAATTTTTCTCCTCTATGTCCCCTCTGTTTTTCACGTAGGATGTTTATGCCACACTTCTCTTGTGTTGGCTGATTAAAAAGACCAGGCATCTAGTGGCATGTTCTTAATTTATTTGTCTTACTCTTTGCTGACTATGACAGATATGCATAGGGTGTCTACTCCATGACTAATCTTTTTCAACTAGTGCGTGGGGCTCACAAGCCTTTGTGACCTGACAAATAAATAGATTTTTACTTATTAAAATGACTGATGAGAACTAAAGTGATTGAAGACTAATATTAATCTAATGTAATCATGTGATCCTTTAATGTGAAGAAAATTGTTGTTCTATCCTGTTCCATAAAAAAAGACTTACAATCTCTAATTCCATGGGAACAGGTGGGACTTAACAGTTGTAGATTCTTTTCTAAAACCCGAGAGGGAATTAAACTGCATGTTAAACTTTAGCAAATATGAAACATCATTTTAATACTTGTTTTGTATTGATAAACTTGAAATAAAATCCAAAAAAGATTTCATTGCTTTCCTCTAATCTAGAAATTTAATCCTTTCCCCATTTTGTCTGGATAATCCTGATGAAATTGCCAAAATAAGTTGTCATCAGTGTGAAGGACTTGAAATTAAAACAGCATTGCCAGGCCAAAGGTGTATTTTTTCAATACCTGCTGGGACTATACAAGATAACCACTTTGATTGTGCATCTTCTAATTTAACTGATCCTGTTAGTGTTGAATATGATAACAAGAAAGACGGCCTAACCTTATTACATGGTTAAGGCAGCATTGGTTACATTTACAGATATGGGCCAATTAGCCGTGACATAGACATAAAAACAAATTAGGAAAAAAAATCAACAATGTAATATTTATTTACATACCATAAAGTACACATTATCTCCAGTTCCTTTAAGATGAATCCACGCCCTTTCCAGAAGGGGCGAAAGCAAAAATTTCATGAATACAAAGAAAATAAATAAATAAAAGCCAGTGATCATTAGGAAGTCTCAGACACTCAAATCACTCCTAAGAGCACTCCCTAAAATTATTTTAGCAATTATTTTATGCATACAATCATGACTCAATACACATTACATGTTAAAAATCCTACAGAACATGGTGGCTCAATAAATCCCTATAAAAATGTGAGGCAGTATGAAAGTTGCACAGGAGTGCATGACTCTTTGAGCACATCACATTTATTGATGACGAATTCTTCCTCATAATGAAACTGCATACTAAGCAACTACAAGTGAAATATTTAGAGAAGGAGGAACAATGCACTCATCACATCTACGTCACTTATTACTTACAAAAAGTATATCACAAAACGGAAAGAAATTATCATAGCATGGATGACTCCTGAACGACTGACAAGCGCATGGGATGCAGCTTAGTCCAGTCCAACTATAACATTCAACAGCTTATTATACTGCTACCATAAAAAATGTAAAAACTTAGATGTTGTATGTATAAACTGTAACATTCATAAGGAAACAAATTAGGTTGTGGAATATTAAGCAAGGATACAAAGATAAAGAATCTAAATTTAAGGCTTGTATGAACGCCGACAGACATGAGTCAACATGAATTACCCTACCCACAAAATAATAGGGTGGCTTCCTTCTCTAAAGCTATGCTGCACATGGACAGATTAAACGCACTTGTATGCTAATAGATATGGCCCAAGGTCCTGTGAGTTAGATTAGGGCATGCGTGGTGCACATTGCTCCATCCAGGAATCATATCCGGACTAAACAATTAAAAGAATGAAATAGCATTTACACTCCACACAACAACATTAAGAGAATGAAGAGATAAGTATCCACATTTGAGTCATTGACATGTGAATTGTCTCTCATGCAAAAACTCAAACCAACTAATTTATCCCAAGAGTTAAATCTACCCAAGCAACAAGAGAGTTGCAATAATTTAGAATGACAAGAAGATTGCCACATGAAAATTGTGGACAACTCATTGTCAGACAAAATTAAGGGGGCCTTGTGCAATATGGGTGGGTTCAATGCCATCCCATATTACAATGATGATCAAAACAGAATTTATAAAGATTCAATTTATTCCCTTTTGAACGACCCAACAAAACAAATGTTCAAAGAATCAAACACAATGGTCCAATAGTATAAATCAGCATTGGAAGCCTGCCTTTGATTGGAGGTTCATTTTATGAAACACAGGGCTTTATCCAGAATATACATGTACATGATATAAATGGTAACATGATGTAAGGCAAAATATAATAAACCAGTGAATGTGTCTGTAATGAATCCTGCACACTAAACTACTTTCCTATCATATTAAGTAGTTAGGTGAGATTCAGCATTCAAATGACAACCAAAAAAATATACACACATAACACAAAAATAAAGTAAAAACAAAAATACAACAGTAACATAGGCCTCAAAACCCAATCAGTGCCTCGGCCCTACATACCCATGTCAAGAACCAGACTTCCACAGATGTATAAAATTTGTAATTCAGGCTTGTAATATAATGATCTAAACCTAAAGGAAAATGAGTGGAATGTACACTCACCCAAAATCAAGACAGTTAGCTCTTGGTGAGATCTGAATGCATACTTCTAATTTGGAACCATTTGAAAGGAAAATTATGAAACTAAAATTTGATTGGGATTAGACTTACAGTAAAAAGCAGCATGCAATTTTTTTTCAGATAACTGAACTTGACCAAACTTAACAAAAAAGGCGAGAGACACACACACATACCTCAGAGGAGCAATTAAACCTTTTCAGCGAAGGTCAGGGTTATCGTTGACCTGTTTCTTAATACGTAGCAGAATTGACGTGAACCACTGGTCTAGTCGTGATATTGAGTCGTAGTCCCTTACTGCATCTGTAAAGCCATCAGCGTTCTGTTCTTCCATGTGCTCGATCAATGTCTAGAAAAATGGGAGCAATCAAATTAGAGATTCTTATAAAGAGGTACATGATTTCAAACATAAAATCATAAATAAAATACCTTGATGAATTTATATTCTCGGGAATCCTGAAAGGCTGGGTACAGTTGGTTGTACCGCTCCAGAGCATGTTGAGCATTAAGGATATCAACACACAAATGACACAATGCTGCCTTGAAGAAATACTCTTTCACACCATACTTCAAGAGAGACTTGTTCAAAGATGAAGATGCAACCTACATTTGAAAAGTTAAATATATTGTAAAATTTGTTTCAGTTACTTAATTATACAGAGAAAAAGGTTCAAACAAAATACCAACCTGCTCATAAATCTGAATGGCCTTGTCATAGTGTTCAAGTTGCGCGGCATATTGAGCCACTTTCAGGATGCACTTGTTGGCAGAGGAACTGCTCTCTTCTCCTTGGAAGAAGTCAGCAGCCTGCTCATAGTGCTTCACAGCCTTTTCTAAGTCGATCGCCTCCATTTCATAGATTTCAGCAATCGACTGGTGGTGTCTTGCTGCCATCGTGAAGCGACCCATGTCAGTGTAGATTTCAATTGCTTTCATCAAACAGTTTGCAGCCTCTGCACAACATACATTAAAATGTTAGTAAAGGCAGTTAAATTATAATTTTAAAACATTGTACTGGGTGAGAAAACATTTTGTACAAAACACCACACAGCACATGAACTGAACATAGGAGTAGGTAAACAATAGCATACCGTTGGGGTCCGACTTTCTGAAGCAATTGGATGCATCCACATAGTTTGTTGCTGCATCATGACGGCTCCCAGCTTTGAAATGGAGGTTTGCAGCTTTGCAGAATGCATTTCCTGCAGCGCTCCAATTCTTGGCCATTTTGAATAAATTGGCGGCTCGTTGGTAGCAGTCGACAGCATCCTCCACTTTAGATGAACCACTGAAAATATTTTTAAATTGATTGGAATGTGTTATGACAATGAATTTATATGTGATTGAAAGGGGTGGTCGTACTTTTCCACCACTCAGACGAAAGCTAACAACCACCCGTATAGATAAGGCCAAGTCATAAGGACTTCAGTGACACATAACCCCCTCCTTGACCTAGTGCCTGACATACTAAAACAATACACAGCAAAGGCTCGTTGCTTTGGGCTAAAAAGAAAAAAGAAAATATAACTCCGAGAAAAAAAAGGAGAAGTATGCAAGCATGTATTGTCCAAAATTTATGGACATAAATGAGACACTGCTGACATGGGAATTGGCATGTTTTTCCTTGTCAGCAGATGCTCTACGTCGTCACCAGGTGTAACAGGCAGTAACAAGATGGAACTCATGGGAAAGTACTTTAATTATATAAAATGAAATTAATAAATAAAGCGCCAAGAAGGGCTAAACAAGCGAAATTAGAAGTGTCAAACAATAGCCCCCCCAATGAAAGCTAAATAGGCGTCTGCTACGATGGACACTGGTTACTCACCCAAATAAGTTTCCGAGGAATCCTTTAGATGAATTCAATTTCTTGTCGGCTTCTGCCATCAAGGCATTAGCCTTTGATTCGTTGTCAGCCATTCCTAATGGATTTTTGACACGTAATTTTTCAACACTTCAGGGACACTTCCTCCCCCTCCCTTATTGACGATTTAAGTCCAATCGATGCACCTAGAGGGCTCTGCCTTCGCTGCCTTCCCCTTCCACACAAAATGGGGCCAGGAAACAAAACCCGATCAGCTCAAGTGTGCAACTAAATTTTGTATGTGAACCTGCCTCTTTCGATTCTAGCGGAACAAGAAAGAGGGCAGCGAGTTTAAATCACTTTCATTCAGGCACAGGTTAAAGATACTTGGGACCTTTCCGTAGGGATAGATACGACAAGAGCAAAAATCCTCCGCACCCGTGGGAGGGCAAACGAGACACAGCACATGGCGCAAAAGATAGCCGCTGTTTCCGGGCGCGGGATTTAAACGTAGATGGGACTGTGGTGACTTGCGGCGTGCAAATACAATTTAAACATTCCCTGGTTCTCCTAATTTTTTTCTGTTTCTTGAAACAAATGTAATTGGACGTACGCACTTCGTCCCAGGATTGTGTGGAATCAAGTTATAGTGCAGGGACTGGGTGCGGGCGCCCGACCAAGCGAGGGTAGGCAAGCCCGCCGCGCCGGGGTGTGTTGCGGGGCAGCCTATCCGGCAGTCCGCGGGCGCCAAGGGCTTCAGGTACTGAAGGCAAGCCCTTCGACCTCTGCAGGGCTTGACTGGAAGGCAGCGATATTTTCCACTCGCATCAAATGGGCGGGAAAACTGCGCAGACTGACGTTTGTTCCGGTTTGGCGCGGCGACAATTTGCCGGTTTGTCTGTGATCTGCTCTGCAGTGAGTGCGTGGCGGACACCTGAGCGACCAGCGCCTTGCCACGGCTTTGCCGACGCGATTTATCTCAGCCAATCAGTGGAGTTCAAGTTCCCCTCGGCGTGTCGTTGTCCCGGCTGTCCTGCCGCGCCCCGCCGCCCTGCCTTGCATCAGAAACTGGACCACATCGCCTCAAGGTCCGGCGGCCGCGCCGCACCACCACGCCCCGCCCCGCCCCGCCACGCCCGACGCGGCCCTCATGCTCCACCCGCCTGTCAAAAAAGCTACCGGGTTATTGAAACCGTGTCGCCGGGTGACGAAAAGGTTAAGGTTCCCTTCGAGGTTCCCTTGCAGGCCGCAGGAATGTTGATTCTGGAGGTCGGTGCACGCGGGGCGACGCGGGGCAGCGCGGGGCCTCAACGCGGAGCCTCGCCCGGAGCCTTGCCCGGCGCGAGACTACGGCCGCGACTTCCTCGACGCGTTGCAAAGCCCGCAGCCACGCTGCGGCGGTCCCATTCGGTCATTTTGATGCGGGTGAAAGTATAAATTGCGCGACTTTACTCGAGGCGATTATCGACATCGCTTTTCTGCCATCGACTGCACTACCAGTGCACTACCAACAATAGCTACGACGCCACGTGAGAACAATGCCTGGCCCTCCCCTCCCCTCAGTCCCTTTACCTCCCCTCCCGCCCCTGGCGTGCGCTGCGCGCTGCGCGCCGCTCGGAGCTCGTTGCATTTTCCAACAGACACATGATTCGATTCGATTCGGCCTACTCCGCTCCGCTGCGCCACGGTGTGCCAGCAGGGCGGCACGCTGCAGGGATAGCAGCCCAGCGCGGAGCGCGCCCCGATAATCGAGATATCCACTTTACTACTGTGTGTTTATTGTTGGCAGCATGCGAGTTCTGCGGCCTACTGGAGTGGAAGTGTGTGTTCCAATTCGCGTGGCGATTCGCGCGGGCCTCGCGACCGCTCGCGACGCAACCCCGTAAATGAAATCCAGATCGCTGCTTGATTAGGAAACAATAATAACACAAGCCGGCGGCGCGGCCCGGCCCAGCCACCCACATCTCGACAACAACTGCCATTTTTTGCTGCATTGCGCCGCTCTCAAAAAGTGATAGGTGGCTTTGATAAACGAGCTCTTGCATGTGTGTATAAAACCTGTCTGTCGGCAAGCTGTGGGGGCGGGGCGGGGCGGGGCGGGGCGCGTGCAGCACTGGGGACAGACACCAAAGAGTAATGTGCGCTGGCGGCGCGGCCCGCCGCCGACGCCATTTTTCGATGTGGGCGGTTCAGTTCCAGAATCCGTCCCGATACTGTCTCAAGTTGAGCGTCGTGAGCCAGGGCAGGGCACAGTAGACTCAGCGCACCTCGCACTTTTGCAGTGTGTCGAGGCGCACCGTCGTCAAATGTGTCACCGTTTCCACAACACTGAGGTGGTTGACGCAGGCTGTCCAATGATTGAACTCTCGCCGGTCATCTTTGCCGACCTACCGCGCGCATGGCGCCCGTACGCAGGACGCGGTCGTAAAAACGAACCCGGTCGGAGGGGCAGAAAAAAGAATACCAACTTGATTCAAGGAATGCGGTTTTGTATCGGATCCGCTCCACTTCGTTTTGGCGTCACTGTAATCCTATTAGGTAGAGCGACTCGTGGTGCGCGAGGCGTCGCTCGGCCAGCCAGCCGGACGTCCTCGCATGGCGAGACTCGCGAGCCACCCAGCCACCCTAAAAACGCGAGAGTGGAATCCCCCGCGCGGGGCAAAGGTCCCCGAGTCCCTGGTGTCGCGGCGTGTCGCGGCGTGGCGACGGACTGCCGGCCGGGGTGTCGCAGCGCGCCCAGGATATTGGCATGGCACGCCGCCAGGGCGCGCTGCGCTGGGGTCACCGGGGCCACGACGCCGTCCTGCCCGGCCAGCACGGCCAGCCCCAGGACGGCGGCCAAAGGACGGCCTGCAGCTCGGCCTGCATGCCGAGCGCGAGGAACGGCAAGCGGATGTGGCCAGGCTACGCCAGGCCGGGCCCGGCCGGGCCGGGGGTCAGAGGGCTGGCGATCGACTACGAGATGCCTCTCCGCAGCGAGCTCGTCGCCAACAGTCGCGAGGCGGTTTTCCTGCGGGAAAACGGCCCTCGAGAATGCGGTGTGGGCGAGTCTGTGTTTCGACAGCATGTACTTGCAGGGTTTATCTCCGATGGTGGGCCGGCTGGGCTGGGTGGGCTCGCTCGTGCGGCACTTCGGAATAGAACTAGCCCCTCACTCATGTCGCCGGCCGGGCCCCGGTGGGCAATGGTGGCAATGGTGGGCATTCCCCCGCGCCCGCCGCGCCCCGCGCCCCGCGGACCGCCTGGCCGCCGCGCCGCCGGACCGTGGGATATGCGACGTGCGATTCTCGGCGGCGGACAGCAGGCGTCCGCCAATGGCTCGCATACACGGTAACGCACATGCCCGCGGTCGTGTGTGTCTGGGGAGGGCGTAGGCTGCCTCGTGCGTCTCTTTATGAACCGTAAACAATTATAAGGGTAATTGCTTCCAAGCATGCCACCCAGCCGCCTGCGTTGCCTGCGTTGCCTGCGCCCATCGCAAGGGCTGCGTGCGGGTCGTCGCGGGGCTCGGCTTGCACTGCGCGCACGCACAGTGGGCCATAAGACCGGTGGAGGCGGCCAAAACTCCAGACGCGTTTTCAGCTCCAGAGTCGCTCAATGGGACTCGAATTGAACGTGTGACCCCACCAATGGATTGCTCTCCAAACGAGGAATCCATTGGTGGGGTCACATGCTCGGTTCGAGTCCCATTTAGCGACTCTGGAGCTCAAAACGCGTCTAGAGTTTTGGCCGCCTCCATCGGTCTTCTGGCCCACTGTGGCGCGCCGCGCGCCTCGGACGCACGCGTGTTGAACACGGCGCTGGACTTGACGCGGATGCTGTAGTGCGCCTTGCGAGTATTCCGGCATGACCAGCATGACCCGACCCCCGCCCGGCCCCGGCCCCGCTGACCTGCGACCTCGCGCCGGCCTGCATGCTGCGGCCAAGGGAGCGAGTCCGTTCCACACGGCGCCGCTTGGCGTCGGCTTGCCGCGACAAGGGCACGGACTGGGACTGGTCTGACCGGAGAGTGACCGCGCCTCGCCGCGCCTCGCCGCGCCGGACGATGGATAGAAAACGTGTGTGCGCGCTGACACTGCTGACACTTGTGCGCGAGGCGCGAGTACACTAGCAGGAACCCGAGCCGTGAGATTTCCATGGCGCACTGCAGGGCGTCGCGGACGTGCGTCGGACGGCGGGGAGCTCCCTCCCCGCCCCGGCGGGATCCTGGATCCGCGTGTCCTTGCGCGGCCGGATCCGCCACGCGTGCCGCCATTGGCTGCCGCGAAGGTCGTCGCCGTCGTCGCCACCGCCGCCACCGGCAGCCCGTCGTAAACACATCGCGCGCCGCGACCGATCGCCGTATTGTCGTTTGAGTGGCGCGAACCGCGAACAGACAACCGACCGCCTGGCGGCGCGGGGCGGCCCATTTCCCTTTCCCCGCTCGCGCCGCTGATTTGCATACCTCGTTCCTCGGCCGTTTGTTGTTACTGCCGGCAAAGTGTTATTTCTCGCCGGAAAATGAGCAATACGAGAACGGGTGCAGTGGCCGGCAGCGGCAAGGCGTGGCGACCGGCGCGCCGCGCCAGCATGCGCCAGGCTGGGCGTAGGGTAACGCGACCTCGACCCGAGCGCGCCGCCCCGCCGGGCAAGTGCTGCCAGTGCTGGGCGTGGGCGTGAGAGAGAGCCTTGGCGGGCCGAGCTTCCAGTGCTGCAGCGCAAAACAAAGTCACACACGCGGCGAATCACATTACGTTCCCGATCACTTCCACCGGCAACCTCGGCCGGCCTCGGCCAGAACAAGCAGACCGTCGCCGTGGCCGCGGGCCGCCCCGGGCGTGTCTCCCGGAAATGCCGCCCGCGGAACCCGCCCCGCCCCGCCCCGCCCCGCCCCGCCCAATCCAAAGGTCCGGCAGCAATCACGACGCCGCCCCCGCCGAGATGAGGGCCGCGATGTCGAGATGGTATCGATTTGAGGCACGGATGTATGTGCGCGTACGTGCGCGCGCGCGTGTGTGCGCGACGCTGTAACTCTACAAAGAGACTGCGCAATAAACGCGCCGTCCTTGAGGCGGTAACGCCGCGATTCCGCGCTCGGAACGGATAAAAACTATCCTGAAGCGGCGGGGGGCGGCGGCGGCGCGAATCGACCAATTTCTCATACTTCAAACTGGCATAAATGGACGGCGCTTGGACTTGGCAGGGTCGCCGGCTGGTAGGCGCTGCTGCGCGCACATGT